CTGGATTAAAACTAGATAAAGATAATATAAACATATTCTGAAACTTGTTAATGTGCTCTTTGTTCGGTCACTCTTCTTTGGGATTGGAGAATTTTTCTTTTCTTTCTTTCTTTCTTACTTTGTTTTTGCCAAATGGGTCAACACAGTTTTGTGTCCAGGTTTAAAAGCTTCAGATAAATTTGCCATTTAGTGTTTGTGCAGCTGCGGTTTTCTGCTTACCTATGTTTTTTTCAAATTTCAATCTGGTTAGGAGCAGACTATCTACATGCCCCAACATAAAAACACTACAATGGATCTATAGTAGCTCTATGTTGGTTTATGAAGGCTTAAATTCCGACATACTGAGAGTTTTCAGAACAGTAAATAAAGATGTTATTGCTAGATGGACAAAAGAAATAGTACAATTTTCTTCTTTTTTTTTTTTTGACACAGCTTGTGATTTTGAGTTGAGCGGTCCAGAGGGCTTTGTGGAATCCACACAGATAGCCAAAGAGGGAAAGGCGCAGCTGACTGAAGCAGTGGACTGCAGGTGGTACATCAGAGCTCCACCAAGAGCAAAGGTGAATGCTGGGCCACCAAAAAGTATAGTTTTTGCATTCAAAAATAAAACATAAGAAAAAGAATATCGGCAAATTGACAGTTATAGATATGTTGGTCTACCATCCACCACACGTGCAATTAGGAGGCGTGCGTGGCCTACCCCCCCATTTGGATTTCTATTCTCGGATCTCAATCTGTGTGTCGGGCTTTTGTTGTGCGTGTGTGTGCTTTGGAGAGTTTCTGCTTGTTGGTTTGCCTTTCTTCAATCTTGCCCCCCCTCCGGCAGATCTACATGCGGTTTTTAGAGTACGAAATGCACAACTCAAACGAGTGCAAGCGCAACTTCGTCGCCATCTACGACGGGAGCAGCGGAGTGGAACACCTGAAGAACAAGTTTTGCTCCACAGTGGCTAACGACGTCATGCTGGTGACCTCTGTGGGAGTGGTGAGGCTCTGGGCGGACGAAGGCAGCAGGAAGAGCAGATTCAAGATCCTCTTTACCACTTTCCATGAACGTGAGTGAAAGTCAATACATGCACAGGGAAAAAATGCATGTGCCTGTGGTTCAGCTACAGTTTGCGTTCAATTTGCTTCTTTGATGAATAAAAAAAATAACAGGCATGTGTCCTTTGACACGATGTGTGTTTGTTGAAGTCAATGAATTGTTCCCACTTGTCAGGATGGGACTCTTTTTGAACCAAAAAACCAAAAATATTTTCTAACATTTTTATGGACTTTTCTTGCTTTAAGAATGATCATGTCTTTCTTCAAGAAGAAACTACAGTAGTTGATCAATGTGGGCAATATTATTCCAATTTACTCTATCAGTTGTTTTTTGTGGTCTTATGCTGGTATGCTGAAAGTCCTTCCCAACCAATCACAGGGGTCATACGAGGGTTTCTTTCTTGTTCACTTTTTGACTGCAAAACATTTGAAGGTGTCTTAACTTGAAAATAAATGTCTACCTGCTGCCTTGAAACAGGTGGACAAGAAAACTGGTTTCTTCAACTCAGACATTAAAGTTCATGAAATTGATTTTACAAGTTGTCTCTTGTTAATGAACTTTTTTAAGTTCAAAAATCTTGAATTGCGAGTTTTAACTATGTCATTTCTTTACCATATGCAAGAAAAAAAACGTCCTCATCTAGATAAAGACCAAATATTTCTGTATTATCTTCACTCACAATATCAAGTTAAAATGACTTGTTTTACTTTGGAATATTTTTAATTCTTGTTTTACATTGTATGAACAGAGTTTCTTATCTCATAATAAATTTCACTGAACATCACAAAGAGTTCTGCTCAAAAATACTTACTGCGAACAGGACATTGTCCTCAAATTTTGCAAACTGACAGCTGAATGAAAAGGTGCGCTCTAAGACAGTTTAACACATTTTTATTTCACTCCCGGTGCAACACAGGATACAAAAATATGGCACTATGCACACTGGGAAATAGTTCCCACTCCTGTCTTTTTCTTTCAGTTTTTTAAGTGCTAACCTAAGAACCCTTGTTTATTCAATTCTTGGAGATTTGACAAAATGAACAAGAAGTTGTAAGTTTATCTTTCGCAAACCCACACATTTAGGTTGAAAATCTAAAACTCCCAAGTTTTATTTGACTTAAAGAGCAGAAGATAGTACACGCAAGTGAATGTGGCTCAAATGTTTTGAAGTGCATCTGTTCATCCTTTCATAAGAACCTGCTCTAAACTCAGTAAAAATGAAGTCACACTTCACCGCCTAAGTTTGACACTTCAAATTTGTCATGTAAATAACAAATAATAAGCAATCAGTTCAAAGTTCTCAAAAAACTTTAGCTTTCATATGAACATGCTTGTACTCAGTGATGTTTTTTTTAAAGATCTGTAATGGTGAGAAATAACAGAGTGAATCCCTGAAATAGTCTAAATAGTTTGCCTTAAACTTTGACCTCTGCATGTCCATCGTCTTTTGTCTTAGCTCCATGTGAAGGAGACACCTTCTTCTGCCACAGTAACATGTGCATCAACAACACCCTCGTCTGCAACGGCGTGCAGAACTGTGTTTACCCATGGGATGAGAATCGCTGCAAGGGTGAGCTGACGGTTTGCACTTGCAACATCGTTCTTTCTATTTTTCTTTTTGGTTTCCGTCTGCTGAGCCATGTTTGTTGTCCACTTGAAGAGAAGAGAAAAGCCAGCATCCTGGACACGCTGGATAACACCAACCTCACAATCATCGGAGTCACGTGCGGCCTGGTCGTCATCCTGCTCATCATTTCCGTCATCATTCAAATCAAGCAACCTCGCAAGAAGTACGTCATCCGCAGGTGAGGGATGAAAACTCTGTGCAGTGCGCTTTGCTACCAACGTGTTTACCGACAATAATTTACTGCAGTGTGGAAGTTAGGAGCTAATACTTGCCAGAGGTGGGTGGTGACAAGGGAGATTTACTGAATTACTGTAGATTTAGTGTTTTGGGGGGAAAATAGTACTTTTAGGAGTATTTTTACTGTGCTGTACTTTTTACTATTAGTTGAGGGGGCAATTAAACTTTTTGTCAGGGCGCCCAAGATTTCTGACAGCGCCCCCCTGAATTTGAATATGTAAAAGAAACACCAGGAGCCCACCTTCTTCCAAATCCTAACGTTGTCATGTTATTTTCATTTTGCATCCTAAGAGATGACTTTGACCCAGCCCTGCTCCACCCTGGTTTTGAGCCGCCACACTACGAGCTCTGCACCCTGCGCCGCGACCCTTCTGGCGACCTCACCGACGCCGCCCTGGCAGACGACTTCGACAAGTTCCACAAGCTCAGGCGCTCGGAGAGCAAGTGCATCCGCGACCACCACTGCGGCTCGCACCATGGAAGCATCCACGGCAGCATCCACGGCAGCCGCAGCAACCTCAGCCTGAGGGACGCCACCATCGCGCCCGACGGAGGGGCTGCCGTACCCCCGATGTCACCGAGGTTGGCGAAGCAGATGTCTCCGCACCTGTCTCACCACAACACGCCGGCAGGTCGCAGGAGCATCCTGGTGATGAAGCACAGCTACTCGCAGGACGGGGCGGAGGCGTACAGGGCGGAGGACGAGGAGGACGATTTGATGATGGACGTCGGCCCCACCACCAGCCAGCACCACATGCACCACCACCACATCCACCACAGCACCCCCGGGTTGGACCGTACGTTGTCTAACGACTTCTAATTTATCGCAAGTTAGAAAATTGAGTCATCTGCAATTGGTTTGCATTGAAATCGGTGAGAGATGTTCTCGGGGGGTAAAAGTAGTTTGGGACTTTTTCTTCTCAATGGTGGATGAAAATCCTGGAGTTTTTAAAACTTAGTAGATTCCTTTGAGTGTGTCTTCCTAAAGTCCCTGTTTGACATGCAGCGAACAGAAAGAGCATTTAAAGATAGTTTTAATATATGTTCCCTCAAGCCAAAGAATCAAGTTCGGTGTTAAATACAGGCTGTTTGTGGCACAAATGACATAAAAAGGAAAGAAAGTAAACTGCAACAAAGTTGGGTCAGACGTTCTACTGGATCCCAGTTCCATTTTTTTGTTCCTACATTTCTGCCCTGTTTATCTAAAGGATAGACATATACTGTCCTGTTTATTATTTTATGAGCAAATTAATGAATTAACATTTTTCCGCCACCAAAGCAAAAACAAATGTTTCTTTGAGTACTAGATAATTTATCATCTATGTTTTCACCCAATTGTTAATTGATTTGATTAGAGGTTTTGTTTTGTTCGTTTTTTGACCCTGAAAGGTAGTATGGCATTGTTCTTTAAGTTTCACACCCCTTTTAATTGTGAAAGTATGTTTTATGTCCTTGAATTTCTACCACTTAATCATTCCCACATTTTATTACAACAATAAATGTGTTTCAGTGGGATTTGATGTTATGAATTGAAATTAGTGCTGAATGGAAAATTGTGTAAATATTCATCACTCATAAAATATTTTATCTATCTATCTATCTATCTATCTATCTATCTATCTATCTATCTATCTATCTATCTATCTATCTATCTATCTATCTATCTATCTATCTATCTATCTATCTATCTATCTATCTATCTATATATATATATACATGAAGACATGTATGTCTTCTAATTTAACATGTATGTTATTCTAATTTTCAAATGCAAATTTCATTTCCATTTGAAATGAAATTAATGTGACTAGAAACGTGTGCTTGTGAATAGTCATACACTTATACGTGAGGAAGAGATTATACTTTTTGTGCAAATACTTGAAACACCTGAAGGACTTTGAAGAGTTATGTTTTTCGAGAGGAAAATTTATTTTGAAAAGAGGTTTGTAGAAGGTTTGTAGTGGATCCATGAAATTAACCAAGAAAAAATTATTTGAACAGGGGAGAAATGAAAGGCTTAACAACTGCAAAACACATTCCATACCAGCAGGTGGCAGTCACGCACCACTCAGCTTGCAATCAGAGCCGAAACAAAGAAAAAAAACTAGATTTAATTCAGTTCTTGCCGGTTGTGGAAGGACATTAAAAGTGGCCGATGGTTGATAAACAACTACTTTTGGATTTGACGTAGTGGGACTTTTGAATACCTGCTAGCACTTTAGTAAAAAAAAAAAAAAAAACCCTCTGTTCATGGAGGTTAGCTAACGCTAGCTGACTTTTAGCTTGGGGTGGAGCGGTGGGGGTTAGCATCATGTCACGACATGAGGTCGTTGTGGACACTGGAGCTGTCAGCGAAGGGAGACGGAGAAGTCGACTCGGGCTGGTCGTCACCGGGCTTGTTGGAGGGTCGCTAGTCGCTCTTTACGCGGTGGCCGCTCCGTTTGTTGCGCCTGCCCTCAGAAGAGTCTGCCTCCCGTTTGTTCCGGCCACCACGGCTCAGGTGGAGAACGTTCTCAGGGTGCTGCGGAGCAGAACGGGGACTCTGGTGGACATCGGAAGCGGAGATGGAAGGATAGTAAGTGCAGAATCAATCAATCTATCTAATGTTTTTTAAGTACTTTTTAATTTTTCCCCTGTTGGTTGACTAAATATCCAATTCAAGCTATGTAACTTGGTCTGTCATTTTTTTCTTCTTTTTTTCAGTTCTTGACCCCATTAGTTAGCTTTTGTTCATTTCGTCAAGTCTGTTAACGAATAACAGGTGGAAAGCGATCGCCTGCTTCACTTGTTTCCAGAATCCCAAGCCCCACTACTAAGTTATTTAATTCATGAGTAAAGTATGTGAATCTGCAGAATGTGACCATCTCACATTCTGCACATCTTAAATGAAGTCAGATCCCTCTAATCTCTTCCTGCCAAAAAATGGGTTCTCCCCACTTTTAGGAAACAGACAAAAATACTGAATGGTTGTCCTGAATTATCTTCAGTACTGCTACATCCTTGTCCTGTCAGAAGCCGACAGCAGCTGAAAAGTCCACTTATATCTCACGATGGCTTTATTAAAGCAACAAAAGGAGCGCACTTCTAACTTTGCTGTCTCCTCTCTCTCTCTCTTTTTTTTTTGCAGGTGATAGCAGCAGCAAAATGTGGATTTCAGGCTTCTGGTTTGGAGCTGAACCCTTGGTTGGTTTGGTATTCTCGCTACAAAGCCTGGAGAGAAGGCGTCCACCGCTCCACCTCCTTTCACATCTCAGATTTGTGGAAGGTTGGTGGCTCCTGATCAGTGGAGCGCGTACGAGTGTTCGTTTAGCGCGACATGTAAACGGTAAAACTGTATTTCTACTCTGAAACCCAAATGTTTTTTGTATTTTTGACAGGCAAGCTTTGCTCAGTATTCCAATGTTGTTATTTTTGGAGTTCCTCAAATGGTGAGTTTGTAACTCTGGGATAAAATTTTGCTGGGTGAGGAAAAACTCCCTAATATGTTTTGTGTGTTATTTTTAATTTTTTCCATGACTGCAGATGGATCAGCTTGAGGTCAAGCTGGCGAATGAGCTGTCAAGTTCAGCCAAGGTGGTCGCCTGCCGCTTCCCCTTTCCTACATGGGTCCCTGAAAGCACTGAGGGGGAAGGCATAGACACCGTGTGGGTGTATGACGCCAAAACATTTCACTCAGGTCTGCAAAGAACGACGGGCAAAAAGTTGTTAGGACAAGAATCGCATCCACACACATGAGATCAGTGTTACCTAAAAGCTCCTGGATTTTTTTTTTTTTATTTGCAAAAATATACTTTGAATTAGCTGCTCATGGCATCCCTATCCAAAATTTCTCTATGAAGAAAATTGGATGACTTGAGTAATTTTGTATGTATATATTTTTGAAATAAATTCGCTTGTGTTCAAAACGACTCTAAATCAAACATAGTGATGATAGGTTGAGAAAGCTGTTTCTCACAGCAACAGAGTGCAGCTCTCATTAATGCTTGTATAATTTATTGTTTTTGTGTGTATTTAATAAAAAAAATGCTGTAATAAAAAAGTGTCCCGTTGCTCTTTGGTGCCATCTAGTGGTCAATAAGCCGTACTATCTCGTGTTGTCGCTTTGAGAATGTAGTGACCGCTAGCCGAATAACTATCAATAAGCATACGGATTATTATGTTTTTTAAAGGCATGTCATTCTGGCCATTTGAAAGTAAACACGGCGCCAAAATGTTTACGCGGAGATAGCTGTCGGATGTCTGTTTTCCACCCCACCGTCGGGCTGCATCTGTGGAGCTTAGCAGCCAGCCAAGATGGATACCGCAGAAGAAGGTAGCTAATGTTGTAACTTGAAATTTGTCTTAATTTTGTGTTGCGACGTATTGTGGCGCTCGCGCTGAAGCCTCCCCGCGGAGGGTTATGTCATGGTTTGTATAGGTATATAAACCAACGACAGAGTCGAGAGGAGGGCTTCATGCGTTCTGTAGAGACGGGCAGTGTTGAGTGACATTTAAGAAACCGTTAGCCAATTAGCGTTAGCTCCGCAGCTAACGGGCATTAGCTTCCGTCTGTTAGCCCAGAGCTGTAAAAACAAACCGCTGTTTTGGTTCGGCGGTTAGAGACGTGATAATGAAATACAGAAAGATTACACTTGAAGACCCCTCAACTAGTTACGAAATACAAATGGACTCTTGTGCAATAACCCCGTGCAAAGTTTCTATATGTTTTTTTTTCCCGAGATAACGTTGATTAAGTTGCGCCGTTATCAGACGGTTACGCACAGCAAGAAGCTGGCCACTCATACTATTAATTAGGCAACACTATTGTATTGTCTCTGCACTTGTTACAGTTGAAAACGCCACATTTCCAGATTTATGCTGATTTCCAATCGGTCTTCTCATACACGCTACATTACACACTACAACATAATTATGCAACCTTTAAAAACGCTCAACTAGCTGCCCTGACTTGCAATAAATTGACATTCACGCTGGTAGTCGCTAGCGGATGACCACCGAGGCCATTCTAAATGTCATCACACGGCAGCGTCACCGGCTAATTATAGGCATTTTTATATTTTGGTCACTGAACTACAAAGGGTAATCCAAGGATTACAGTTTGGCGCTGTTGCCCTGTCCTCTTCACCTGCCAATATGACACCACATATATTTATTTCAATTTGTTAGGCTGTTAACTGGCAATAACTCTACACAAACGTGCAAAAAGTGGCATGCTGTGTCTTTGATTTTCAAATTTTTGTTCTTTTGACTTGCTGATTGAATGCACATGGAGTGAATAAAAAGGAAATTGAAATACTTTCATAATCTCCAGACAACTTCAGTGTCAAAAAGAACTGGACCCGTGGAACGTAGACTGGATCTAAAATTCAGAATCATTTATAGTTTTCTTTTGTTCTAGACATTTATGCATCTACTATTTAAAATAAAAATGTTTAAAAAAATTCAATAAAGCCACTCAAGAACTTCTTGAACTTCTGCTGATCGTAGATGAGCTGCCAGAGAGAAATGCTGTGTCGGAGTCATTTTGATAAAAATATTCCAAACCTTCCTAATTTGTGTTTTGTGTGCCTTTTACAGCGGACATTTGTCGAGTGTGTCGCTCGGAGGGCACCCAGGAAAAGCCTCTCTACCACCCTTGCGTTTGCACTGGCAGCATTAAGTTTATCCACCAGGAATGGTACGAGTGTGAAAACATTAATACGCTCTAATGAAGGTGCATTCAGCTCCATTTTCTGTTGCTCTCGATGCCAAGCCGTTGCTTAAATACGCACAAGTCATGTTAAACATCAATCTCAAGACAGAACAGATAATGCTGTCGCACTCATCCTGTTGTGTTTTGTCTTCACAGCCTACTGCAGTGGCTGAAACACAGTCGGAAAGAATACTGTGAGCTATGCAAACACAGGTTTGCATTTACACCAAGTGAGTCGTTCTGCAAAAAATGGAGGAAAACATGACAACAAAGAAACACTGCCATGCAGAAGAATTCACACCCCTTCAACTTTTTCACATTTTGACAAATACAAATTTATAAATCCCTTTTTAAGTTCGCCACGCACGTTGTTTAGCTCGAGGCTGTGTCTATGTGTTTGAATGGCCCAGTCAAAGTCTAGACCTAAAGCTAAATGAAAAGACCTTCCTAACTCGTGTTCCTGACCTGACTGAGCTCGTGTTGTTTTGCAAATAAAATTACGATCGATGCACTTGGTAAAATGCACTTGAAAAGCCGGGTTGAAACTGCACCAAAGTGCCCTACAAAAATTATCACAAAATAAGTTGATGAAAAGAAAAGAAAAATACAAGAAAAAAATACATGCATAATATTAAAATAATAAGAGTAATAATAAGTGAACAAAACAAACAAACCAAAAAACCTCATCACAACAGAAGAGCTACAGTATCAGGCCTCAATTAAATGTCAGAGAATAAAAATGACTTCCAAGAAGCAATTTAAAATGGTCCAGGCAGATCTAATCTGGAAAAGTAGATTATTCCTTTTAGCAACGGAGAAGGCCCAATCTCCTCTCTTAACTCGAGTCTGAGGATTATTTGATCTTAAAGCTCTGGACACAGAATGAAGTTTCAAAAGATCCTGAAGATAAGGAGGGGCTAACAAATTAAAAACTTCATAAATTGTTAAAAGAATCTTAAAATCTATTCGATATGAAACAGGCAGCCAGTGTAAGGAGGCCAATATTTGACTTGCATACATACTTGGAATTCAAACCACAGCAAAAGGTGGATGGATAAAAATGCACACCGCACGTTTTAGATTTTTATTTGTTGCAAAAAAGAAAAAAATTAACTCCTACTTTATTTTTATGTGCTAATTTGTATCAATCTGTCACGGCAAAAAAAGAAAAAAAAGAAAGAAATGTGGTCATAACGTGTCAGAATGTGAAAAGGTTAATCAGTTATGAATATCTGTTCTTCCGTTTTTTTTCCTCCAGTCTATTCTCCAGACATGCCGTCCCGTCTGCCTGTCCAAGACATCTTTGCAGGGCTGGTCACCAGTATCGGGACGGCCATCAGATACTGGTTCCACTACACTCTGGTGGCCTTTGCCTGGCTAGGTGTTGTGCCTCTCACTGCATGTAAGTCCCGAAAACCAGCAAAAAGCAACTCAAAATAAACAGAAGAAGTGGGAACAGGCTTTCGCCGCGCTGTTTTTGCTGACGTTTTGTGTCTTCCTGCCAGGTCGCGTCTACAAGGGTTTGTTTACCGGCTCCGTGAGCTCTCTTCTTACCCTGCCGTTAGATATGTTCTCCACGTAAGTCTCTGTACTTGAGTTTGTCTTCCTGTCTGTGGTTTTTGCAGCTCTTCACTGACCATCGTGTTGTTGAGCTGTCAAAAAACAGTGATGAAATTCATTATTCCATTCTTTAAAGAAACTAAGTCAGTTTTTGATCAGACGGTTTTAAGGCAGTGAGCAATGGTGGATCTTTCAGGAATGGTGCCCTGGGCACGTGCCTCCTTCTGCCACCCTCAACTAAACGCACACAATTATCAGATTTAGCTTTTTTTTTCAGCAGAAACCGGGTAATGTAGACTTCCACGACTCAGTAGCAAGTAGGAGAAACTTAACATTAATTTCTCTATTTCAACAACTAATTTCCCTCTGGGATCAGTAAAGTATTTCCGAATTTGCCTTTGAATTACTCCTCTGCACAGACATATAATTAGCAGAAAACTTGTTCAGAGTAGAGCTTACAGATATTTTATTTTTCAGTTTTTGGGCGTCCCATTCTTTTATAATGCTGCCCTGAGCATCTGCCAGTATCAAAAACCAGCACTGGAAATCTTACTGGAGAAATTTTATTTATTTATTTTTTTGCTTTTAACATTTGCAAAGCAAGTAAGAATGAAATGTAAAAAAAAACAAATGGCGTGCAGAGAACAAATGAGTGCTGAAACCTAAGATGGCCTTCGATATTTTTTTTGCATGCTAAATTAGAAGCTGACCTTTATATGATTATGATATTTTTTTGTCATATTCAAAAGCTGCACTGAGTAGCTGTAATGCCTGACTAACTCCTGTTCAGTCTGAAAATGTGTAGAAATAGACTAAACGTATTTCCAGTTCTGAATAAGTTTGGAAATAAAAAAAAGAGTATGAATGGAGTGTTTTTAAAACTCTATTTTTTCCCTAGACTCAGTTTTATAAATCATTTGACCAAAAGAATACATTTATAAAAAGGTAATTTTTTTTCTTAGTATTATAGTAAGTCTGGAATTTTCAGGTGAAAATGTATAGAAACCCCTCTGCTCCATTGTCCTAACCAACCACCAATTTTCCCTCTAATTGCTTATTTCACCAGTGTTTTTATCTTCCACCACTTTCAGTTGTTTCTCTCCCTTCATTAGACAGATCACGGAGTAGATTTCAACATTTTTTTTTTACTTTGCAGGCAAAACCTGCTCGCCGACTGCCTCCAGGGCTGCTTCGTGGTCACCTGCACGCTGTGCGCCTTTATCAGCCTGGTGTGGCTTAGAGAGCAGATTGTCCACGGCGGAGCTCCACAGTGGCTGGAGCCCAATCAACCCCCTCTGGTTCCAAACCAGCCCAACCGTCCCGCACAAGCTAACGAGGTGAGCGCCATTCACGCTGCAGTTCGGCTACTTTTTCGATTTTCCTGCACATGGGGATGGACATGTGGACGTGCTCATTTAATTGCCCGTTTGTCCTACGTGAACAAGCCACAATAGCAAATCGATCTGAGAAATGTGTATCTGAATGATAGGAAAACTGCTGGTAAAATCAGCCCCCCCCAAAAAATGTGTCGTTATTGGAATTGAGGTTACATTTAAGTGCAGCTCTTCTAAACTTTTCCAGGCCTGAAGCGGGTTTCGAACTGTTAAATCGAAACTCGCCTCTGGGAAATCTGAATTTGAGGCTGGCTGGAGTGGAAATAGGAAGCTCAATATTTTCTGTACGCAAATAAACTATAGAAAATCAAAATCCTAACATAACTTGAAATAAGACAAAAGTAACTTACAAATAACTTTTCAGCACAATATGGGAGCTTGTTTTAAGTCAATAATTCCTTTAACATTAATGGCAAAAGTACTAACTCCATTGGCAGATTATTTCTTGGGAGAATGTCCTGTTGAAAATAAAATAATCTACCAATGACTTATTATTGACTTAATGTTGACTATTTCTTACTGAAAAGTTCCTTGTAAGGTTGTTTTGCCGTATTTCAAGTTTTCTAAGATAGTTTCTGTAGAAACTTGACAAAAAGACTTGGAAAGAGTTTGATTTTTTGCAGTGCAGGATGAATATATCTGCTGCACAGTCCTAACCACGTCTCATCCGTTCGTTTGATGTTTTTTTTAACAATTCACGGCTGTGCAGAATCCGGCTGATGACGCCGCAGCAGCCGATGTCCCGGCTGCCGCAGACGAGGCAGGGGGTCCCCGAGAGCACGGCCCCGACGAGCCGGATCGGGCCAATCAGCAGGAAGCCGGAGACGAAGGGGAACTGGACGTCAACGATGGAGAGGACGAGGACGATGACGGGGAAGAAGACGAAGAGGAAGACGAAGAAGAGGGGAGGGAGGAGGACGCCGCTGATGCCAACAACGCACGGCAAGGTGAGGAAAATAATAACGATTTATTTTAGTTTGTCCTTGCTCCATAAAAAACTGCTTTGTGATGCTTTTGTTTCAGCGCTCAAACATTTTTTATAATTCTTGCTCACTGGGATTTTACCGCACTTCTGTAAATGACAGCTCCCATATCGTGCTGAAAAGTTATTTGTAAGTTACTTTTGTCTTATTTCAAGCTATGTAAAATACTTGTTAGGATTTTGATTTTCTGTAGTGTATTTGCGTACAGAAAATATTGAGCTTCCTATTTCCACTTCAGCCAGCCTCACCTTCAGATTTCCCAGAGGCGAGTTTCGATTTAACAGTTCGAAACCCGCTTCAGGCCTGGAATGGTTTAGAAGAGCTGCACTTAAATGTAACCTCAATTCCAATAACGACACATTTTATTGGGGCGCTGATTTTACCAACAGTTTTCCTATCATTCAGATACACATTTCTCAGATCGGTTTGTGGTGTACAGCTAATTAGAATTAGCTGAACTTAACACAAAGGAGTCCTGAGATTTACATTTGGATAAATTTAAGTTTTAACTCAAAGTGCCTAAAACAATATACACAATATTACAAAAAAAAAAAAAATTGAGAAGGCTGTCAGTAATACTTTCTGTTTCTTTAAGCATCTTCCTTCTTTTCAAAAGATTTGAACTGGAACGCCCTGGAGTGGGACCGAGCAGCAGAGGAGCTGACCTGGGAAAGGGTAGGAATCTTTATTTCCCTTTTTATTGCTGCCCTTGATTTGATTTCATTTGAAGTTGTTTTAAATTGTACAGAAATAGCCTCCATTGCTAATGGAAATGCAAACATCATTTCTTTAAAAATGATAGATTTTTTTTGTTCTCTGCTTGCTCTTGTGAAAGTCGTCCTTATCCGCCTTAAGAGCAGAGGCGCTATAGCATGATGGCTTAAAATAAGGTTTTCATCATCTTTGAAAACTAAGCCAACAATTTCAGAACTGCCATCTTAAACCATCTTTAGCGTCTTAGCATTTTAGAAAAACAGCAGCCTCCATCTAGAAAAACTAAAGTGGCAACTGTGAAGTTTCCTTAAGGCTGCCAGTGTTTCTAAATCCAACACATGCTGTGATAGAAGTTGAAAGGTCAAATGGATAAAACTGCTTCTTTCTGTACGGCTTGCTTTCTCTTGCTCTCCTGCAGCCGGAATGAACTGTACACATGTCTCGACAGACATATTGTTTTAGTTTGGCTAAGTTTTAGTATTGTTCTCCATTTGTTTCTCAGATGCTTGGACTAGATGGTTCCCTTGTTTTCTTGGTAGGTGCATTGTTTTTCTTGCACTTCTTCTTCGCACGTAATTTGAAATCTTGTTGTAAATGAAATGAATATGGATCTTTAAAGGGCCCAATAATTCCGACATGAAAGGCTTCCATGAGAACTGCAGTGCCGAATTAAGCCGTGTGATTTAAATGTGTGTCCGTTTCTAGGAACACGTCTTCTGGGTGGTGTCTCTCAACACACTCTTCATCTTGGTGTTTGGTGAGTTCAGTCAGTCTTTATACAGAGTCACAAGCTTTGACAAACATTTGCCTCTTTGATGACATGAGAGCCTTTCCGCATTTTCTTCCAGCTTTCTGCCCATACCACATTGGCCATTTCTCAGTTGTCGGGCTGGGCTTTGAAGACTATGTAAGTTCACCAGAATACATGATGAGGAACTTCTGACTAGACGGGATGGTAAAAAAACCCCGAAATTTCTTTTCTATCTGCAGATCAAAGCCTCACATTTCGACGGCCTCGTCACCACAGTAGTGGGGTACATCCTCCTGGCTGCTGGTCTCGTAGTCTGCCATGTATCCTCTTCATGCTGCACTATTCTCTTTGGAAATGATTGTCACAGAATCTTGAAATCTTTAACATTTATCCAAAAGAATTTCAGTTTCAGTCAGTGTTCCTGTCTTACAATGTCTTTCAAGTATTTGCAGCCCTTGGATACATTTAGTCATTTTACAACCACAGACTTGAGTGTGTTTTATTGGGGATTTTATAGAATTGATCAACACGCAGAAAAGCTTATGCTCTGTATGCTTTAACTTGTGAAGTGCAAGTAACAGGATGGAGAATTTTCAAACATTGTCAAATCCAGATTTCTTTTGTCCATTTGTATAAGTCCTTAATTGCGGCTGCTGCAGGCTTTGGCTTCCCTCTTCAAGTTCCAGTGGCCCAGACGCCTGCTGGGTGTCTGCTACATTGTGGTCAAGGTAAAGAAACATTGGAGACACTTGCTCTCCATCCCTCTCTCTCTACACGCACACACACACACACCCACGCACGCACACACACACACACACACACACACACACACACACACACACACACACACACACACACACACACACACACACACACACACACACACTTACTTTCAATTCGAGCAAAGCTTCAAGGCAATTTGGATCATTTTAATTGCGAGACTGTTTTTTTTTTTTTTTCCTGTCTCTCAGGTTTCCCTTCTGGTTGTCATGGAGATCGGCTTGTTCCCTCTGATTTGCGGCTGGTGGCTCGACATTTGTTCACTGGTAAAGCAAACGGGTGGAGAGAAAACATTGTGGTCGTGTCGCTTCAGTGGCATCCTGGGCAACGCGAAACATTTTGTTAAAATAACGGCGTTTAAATGTTAAACCATTTAGCCTAAATCCTTATATGAACTAAAAAGTAATCATTACAGGAAATGTTCGATGCGACGCTGAAGGACAGAGAGCAGAGTTTCGACTCTGCTCCCGGTACAACAATGTTCCTCCACTGGCTGGTCGGCATGGTGTACGTCTTTTACTTCGCGTCTTTCATCCTACTGCTAAGAGAGGTAAGCCACAGCCACTCACATGTGCGAAGAGTTGCGTTCGAGAAAGGCGTCCTCCAAGAAACATTTTTGGTTTGCGCGTGGGCAGGTTCTTCGCCCGGGCGTGCTGTGGTTCCTGCGCAACGTGAACGACCCAGACTTCAACCCAGTGCAGGAGATGATTCACCTCCCAATCTACGGACACCTCCCGAGATTCACACTCTCAGTGGTAGGTTGAAAAAAAAGAAAAGTCCAGCAAACAGTTGCTGTTGTTATCAAGAAATACATTTTAGTTATCTAAAATATATTTTGCAAGCGATTGTTTTTACTTTCAAGGACAATGTTTGTATTTTATTTTTTTCACAAAACAAAAATAATACTATTTCTACAAGCAAACAAAATCTTTGTTTGCTTGCAGCCTTTAAAATGTTCTATTATTGTGGATATGCATTCATCACCAGCCCCTTTCCACTTTTAAGCTAATGCCCCTTAATGAAAAATCAACTAATCGCATGATAAATTAAAACAATCTGAATCATTTTCATTTGCATGATTTTTTTTCTTTTTTTTTTTTTTTTACTCTGTTTGATACTTTGGCTTCAACTTGTCCTTTTTTTCCTGAAGGATAATTTTCGTTTAATGAATCTCCATAATTCATTTTATTTGTTGTTTTATTTATTTTGGATATTTAAAATGTCTTCCAGTTCCAGTGTTAAATGTTCTTTAGAATATAAAGTTTATTAACCTTTTTAGAACGTGCTTTTGTGTTATTGTCACCATTACTTGAAAACGTTTTCCAAACAAAATCGTTTGTCACAATAGCTTCTGTGACAATTTATCGTCCAGCTAAATTTGCTATTGTGACTTGCCTGTTTACAACCAATCCTAAATAAAGGCCACCTGCTTGTAATTTAATGTCTGCATAAATGCTGAAGCTCTGGTTTAGACTCAAAGCTCTCCTTTGGTGGAGCTTTCTCTCTCTTTCTCTTTGTCTCTACCTTGTGCTGACCTCGTCACGCTGCTGGGTGTGTGTGTTTTACCAAACAGCCCGCGCCTCAGACTTGAGGAAACGCCTTCATCAACTATGTGTGTGTGCGTGTGTGTGTGTACGCTCCCTCCAGGTTGTGTTCGGCTCAATCGTCCTGCTGATGCTGTGGCTTCCAATCAGGATCATTAAGCTGCTCTCCCCAGCCTTCCTTCCATACAACGTGATGCTGTACAGGTGCGGCAAATTCAAACCAAGCCTCATTTGGCGGTCCACGCATAGGGAAAGTGAAAAAAGACTAGTTGTCAACAGTGATATTACCATTACGTAGTGAATGGGAGACATGGATGTGTGTCTTCCACAGTGATGCGCCGGTCAGCGAGCTGTCGCTGGAGCTGCTGCTGCTTCAGGTCGTCCTGCCCGCCTTACTGGAGCAGGGTCACACCCGGCAGTGGCTCAAACGTCTCGTCCACGCCTGGACCTTCACGGCTGGATATGTGCTGTAGGTCTGACACACAAGCTAAGCCTTTTATCTTTGTAGAACAAGCTATTGAGTTTAAATGAAAGTCTTAGTTAGAAAAGGCAGCTCATAGTGCTTTACATCAGTGGTCCCCAACCTTACAACGTCCTGCAGGGTGTGGTGGTGGATTCCAAAGAATCTGATCTGCTTCTTACTCATTTTGCTGTTTGTGGCTCAGTGTTGGCGCGCAAGACGTAACCAGGATTTTCAAAATAAAAGATCCTGCAGACTTAAATAATACATAAACGGAAATATTTAATAATTTTTTGCGCAGCCCGGTACCAATTGGTCCACGGATCGGTGGTTGGGGACCACTGCTTTACATTATGAACAGATAATCCAGTGACCAATCGTGAACCAAGCAATAAACATAAAATTTTTGGCATATTCTGTCGTCATCAGGGAAATCTACATCAAATATTTCAAACCAGGTTGGGTTTTTAGCTTTGATTTAAAGGAGTTCGGTGTTTCGGCGTCGTTGCAGTTCTCTGGAAGTTTGTTCCAAATTCGTGGTGCATAAAAACTGAATGCTGCTTCTCCGTGTTTGGGTAATAAACATCCTGCCAACAGCGACCTTCACTCGTACCTCCTGGGCGACCACGAAGATAGCGCCAACCAACCAAATAACGCGCCCAATCGACTGAACAACCACCGCAACCCGGGGATCGAGGAGGGGCTTCACGCCGCCCACCAAGCCATCCTGCAGCGGGTCGGTCCTCTGGTGTTCCAGCCCTACCAACGGCCCCCCCACTTCTTCCTCAAGGTGCCTTGTCACAGACGACTTCAACAAATCCACGTCAGTTGTGTCGCTCTGATCTTTAAAGGTTTTCTTTCATATGTTCTTGTTCAGATCGTTTTGCTGGTGGTCTTCATGTGTGTGACTCTTTTACTCACGAGTCTAATCTGTCTTACACTCCCAGGTAAGCACTGAAATTAGAGCAACCACAAATAACTTAGGCTAATAAAACACATTTTGGAACCCTAAGTATATTTTGTTTGCAAATACATGTCATTGTCCATTTTAGGTCAATTTTAAAGAGTTTATTTTACTTTTAAATGTGGCCAGGGCTGGACCAAGATTTTATACGGCCTTAAGGAGAATATATTTTAGCCCTCTCACCCCTCGTCCTGTAAAAACGTCAACACCATCTGCACGGATTGGGTGGAATCTGATAGAGGGACCAAGTTTTATTGGTTATTATTATTGTTACTATTGTATAATTTGTAAGCAAATGCAAAGATTTAACTTGTAGCGTCAGATTGCAGCCATGGTAACGCTACAAATCAAACTATGAAGATCTATTTTTGGCACTTTTGCAAAGTAAACTTGCCAGTTCCTTTGAATGTTAAATAGAAATGTTAAACAAACCCTGAACTATATGTTTTTTTCTACATTTTTTTTGTGTAAATTGACAAGTAAAGTCTCTTTACAATCAACAGTCAAAATACAGTAATGAAGTGATTTTTCAGCAGCAGCCCTAACTCACATAGCTGTCTCTACAATCTACAAGTGGCCATAACATCAAGATGCTGTCCTGTCACTTCAGTCCTTCACAGAATACACCAGATAACTTTGAAATGACCTAGACAAGGGATACCAGAGTACGCTTACTCCTAGTTGTTACATTTGATCTGTCTGCATTGGACCTCCGCTCCTCTTCCTCCGTGCTTCGTTTCCCCTCTCAGTGTGCGTGGGTCGCTGGCTCATGTCTCTGTGGATGGGCAGCACAGTGGTCCATGAGCTGTACACGACAGCGAGCGGCCTGTACGTCTGCTGGGTGTCCGTCCGGGCCGCCACCGTGCTGCTGTCCTGGATGCCGCAGGGCAGGACGGCCATCATGCTCAAAGTTCAAGAGTGGACGCTCATGGTAACGTCCTGTCTCTGCCGCAGCCGATGACGAAAACCTCCGGCGAGTGAAATCCGGATCGTTTTTATTTGGCTGTCTTTGGTGGCCGCAGATCTTTAAGACGGTGGTGGTAGCCGTGATGTTAGCCGGGGTCATCCCTCTGCTGCTGGGCCTGCTGTTTGACCTGGTCATCGTTGCTCCTCTCAGAGTCCCAATTGACCAGACGCCTCTCTTCTACCCCTGGCAGGTAGGAACACACAGTAAAATACACGGTGGGATTTTACTGTCAATTTTATCACTTTATTTGAGTTTCTTTTGGTCATTTTCGAATAACTTGTCAGTTTTTGCTTAATTTTAATGCATTTTTTTTGTTTTTGTTTTTTTGAACTACAAAAGAGTTTAACATGAATTTCTCCTGATAGTTACTGTCTAGCATAATTCTTCCTTCTTGTTTCCTGACTGATTAGCTGTCCACTTTACCAGGTTTTAGGCTTGTAAAATGTGGGTGATAAATTTGAAGTTTTCTACTGCAACTTCCTAATTGATGCCAGAAAATAACTGGGTTGGTTTTTAGTTAATACTAAAGCATGTTTTTTTTTTTTTGTTTCATTTTTTTTTTGTAAGGATAACGGTACAAGAATAAAACTTAACTTCACAAATTAGAATATTTATCTTCGAATCCCAGCAAAAAAAACCTGCCGAAGCTCTGTGACAGACATCGGTAATTCAGTTTATTAGTGTCTTTTTACAGCTTTTATTGTCTTAAAAGAACAACTCCAGAGTTTTAAACATCTACGTCTGCCACCAGTTTCTTTTTTTAATGGTCTGTAGATACATTTTCATGTTCACACCGGAGAACTGGAATTAAGTTACAAATTTACACCTTTTTTTGTTTTTATTTTACTGTAAAAAATATCTTTACAAACTGCAAAAACACAAAATCCTACCAAGTATTTTTGGTCTAGTTTCTGGTGTAAATATTTTAGTACACTCGAAATAAGAGAAAACTAACTCACAGATAGCCTTTCAGCAAAACATAGGAGCTTGTTTTAAGTCAATAATTCCTTAACATTGATGAAAAAGTACTACTTCCATTGGCAGATTATGTTGCTTAAAACATGGAAACGTGCCTTGTTATAAGTGAAATGATATGTCTTTGCTACTAGCACTTTTTCATCAATGTTAATGAATTACTGACTTAAAATAAGTTTAGATTTCTTGCTGAAAAGTTACTTGTAAGTTGTTTTTTGTCTTATTTCAATTGCACTAAGAAATTTGAACTAGAAGCTGGACTACAATTATTTGTTAAGGGATTGTTTTCTTGCATTGCAGTTACCTATTAGGCAGTCAAAGTGTGACTTTTTCCACTTGGGTGCAATAGTGAGACATGATTGCATATGTTCTGGTTTTAGTTTCAAATCTGTTTGGCTTCTAATAGCTTGAAAACAGGTTTTCAGCATTGAATTTGTTAAAAACGAACTATCTTGGTGTGCTAACTTGAAGGGCTTCTTGTTGTGCTGCAGGACTGGGCCCTGGGAGTCCTTCATGCAAAAATCATCGCTGCCGTAACACTGATGGGCCCCCAGTGGCGGCTCAAAGCGGTTATAGAGCAGGTCAGTCTCGCTTTCCGCCACGTTCCTGCCAATCAGAAAGTAGAAAACAACAACAGGGATGTTTGTATACTCTGTGCAAGATGGCAAAACGTTTAAAACCTCTTGATTAGAGATGCGATTTCGAACTGTGCACCCTGTGTCGTCTGCATCATCAGGCATTAATGATCAACACCTGATTTCTAAACTCTGTTGTGATTTGACAACTGTTTAAACTGTATCTGTCTCCAGGAAGTTAAGAATAATTATCAGTCAAAATATTGGCTGCCAGCCATCTTGCATTTTAAGTTTCAGTATTTGGAGTGATAAAAAAGATGCAAACTCTCTGGAATTTCTTTTTTTATTATCCAAAATGATCCTCGCTTATTTGTCTGTAAAAAGAACGTTTTGGAGTCCCGTAAGTGTTTCCTCGCTCCTCCTTGCAGGTGTACGCCAACGGCATCAGAAACATCGACCTTCACTTCATCGTGCGGCGGTTGGCCGCCCCCATCATTTGCCTCCTGCTGCTGTTGCTCTGTGTTCCCTACACCATCTCTAAAGGCCTCACGCCACTGCTGGGTGAGGACAGCTCTGGATGTTTACCATTTCACTAGATTTCTTTACAATAGCTTTTGAGGAAATTCTAAAGATTTCGGGAAGCGTTGTCAATTTAAATCTAGTAAATCCCAGTGATTTTAGTTTGGCCCCTCATTCGCTTGATGCGTTAAGACAACTGCTCTCGTCATTTCCTCACATGCTCCAGTCATTTTGATTCCTCATTCTCTGTTTTTTGTTTCCTAGGAGTGCAGCCAGAGATGCAGATACTAGTGGAGAGGAAGATCTATCCGTTTCTGCTGATAGTGGTCATGCTGCTGGCCTTTCTCTCCTTTCAGATTCGCCAGTTCAAGCGACTTTACGAACACATCAAAAACGACAAGTCAGTAAAATCTAATATCAGTTCAACTACTTTTAGCTTACAGATCCTTGCTAAAGGACTCTAAGGCAGCAATTAACAGGTATTTTATTCTGATGATTAATCAATTAATCGGATTAAAAAGACAATTGATGGATGATGCGGATTTATCATTGAACCACTGTGCACAGTTCCACAGGTCTGAACTGACACTGCATGTGTTTTTAAAAGGCGTTTTCTGTTGTTGTTCCTCGGTTTTGGGAACTGACGGTCTGACGGTACAACTTCCCTGCTCCCGTGCTGTCCGTTTTTATAAAACAAAATGTTAGAAATAGATGACAAAATGAAAATGAACAAATAATTTATTTTCTTTTCAAAAGAAGAAAACAAACATTTTATTGCCTAAAATGCAACACCATGGCATTTTGTTATTGAATTCAAACCTGGTGAAGCTAAATGGGCAACGGAAGTTTTGGCTTTTTACAAAGAAATTTTCATTTTATTTTATTTTTTTAATACCTTAATGCAAAATATTTATCTAAGTTTTTACAGTTTTGGCTAAGTTACAGCCATAATATTTTATTTGTCAACAAAAGGCCTTTTTTTTATGACATATAGTTTAGAAATTATTTGACTATTATTTCAAACATCGATTCATCGCGATTAATCCGATAGATTATTTCTGAACTTTTTCACATTTTCCCTCCATAGACTTGAGTTGTATTATAATGCGAATAACAAACTGAAAGATTCATGGCCTTCTACTTCTACTACTACGTTTTGTTTTTTTTTTTTGCACAGATTTATTTCCCCGTTGCGAGATGATGTTGCATTTTGTGAGTAACGTCCGTTTGCGTTTCTTATTTCTCACTTCTCCTCCAGATACCTGGTAGGACAGCGACTGGTGAACTATGAGCGGAAGAAGGGCCGGAGTTCCTCCACCCCTCACACCACCTCCTCATAAGTCTGACACTGGTGTGGGATGACATGGAGCGGCAGCTCCTCACCTCCGGTCTTAAAACACTGCTTATAAAACCACTGACTGCAGCCTCACCCCTTTCTTCTCCAGAATTCTCCCACAGCAGCAGTCGGTGGGAAGCAACGCCGACGACAGGCGAAGGCAAAAAAAAAAAAAAAAAATCTGCCTCCGAAGTGTTTATGTGAGGTTGAAAATCATAACAAAGTCTTGAAGCTTGTTTAGCGCTCATTTTGAGTCAAACTTTGGGGGATTACAAAATCCACTCGCTGGTCCTTCCGTTGTAGTCGCCTGCTCAGGTGTTTTTTTGTTTTTGTTTTTATTTCCTGGACGTTAGCTTCAAAGTTCAGGTCAGATGAGCATCGCTTTTACCTCAGATTGAGCTTCCTTTGAACATATTGTAGAATAAACGTGTGCGACATGATATATATATATATATTTTTTAGAGCTGTGAAGGAGATGTTTGGACTTTAGTTGGTGTACTTTGGTACTCAGAGAATCTCTAAGGTCAGGATGGAGTTACGGAGTTGGAAACTGATTGGTCGATACAAAGACAATGCTCAGAGAGTGAGAGGACGGGAGTGGAGTTGTAACAAAAAAATGTGAAGAACATGTTTTTATTTTTCTGATGTCACTGAGTTTTAGCGGTAGGCTTCCTCATCGATTTTTAGACATTTTCAAACTGAATCCTTTAAGATGTGGGCAAAAACAGAGATCAAAGGCTGCTGTCTGACTTACGTCTTCTAGGCCGAGCCCAAAAGCATTCGATTACGTAGCAGTTTGAGACGCAGAGTCCTTTCTAGTACTCTGAAAAAAAGGTTGACCTCCTTAACAGAATTTGACCTGAGTTTGCACGTCTTCCAATGTTTATTCTGTGACGACTGCTTTGGAAAATGCTAATACGAAACCAGCCTGGAAACCCTCAAAAGACAACAGTTTAAAAAAAAAAAAACAGTCTAAAGAAAACACTAAGAGGAGATTAACCAGCATCTAAAACAAAACGACGCACTGAGAACGTTTCAGAGGTCAAAAACAACTTTGTTCCACTCAGCTGCTGCTAGTTCTTCATTTTTACGAGACGCTTATTTGAATGTAAAGTCATTTGCCAGTTTTGCTAATTTGAACAGGTGAGTAAAATCCACACGTTGTCCGTGTAAAATTAGAAATCCGTGTCCGTCATGTGACGAAAAACAACGCGAAAAGTTCAGTAAAACCGAGCTGCTCTGCTCGTCTTTCAGTAAACGGTGACTGGAGCCAGAGCTGCGCAACTGAACGACGTCGAGCGTGCAAATTGCAGCTCCCAGTTTGACCATGCAGTTCTTCGGGGATCCATAAAATTTACAGAGCAAAGCTGGGAAGTGATCAGTGAGCTCCGGAGTTTTCTTGATGGACAGAAAGTTGTTAGATGCAGACCCGATGTTCCCTTTAGACGTGGTTCTTTGGTGGACGCTTTGTAAGGTCACACTTACGACGGGGGATCCATCTGGGAATTCCCTGGGTCAGTTCTTTAACCTTGTGTTTTTTTTTTGTTTGTTGTTTTGTTTTTGTTTAATCCAACTGGCATAACTTAAGCCACACGTCTTCATAACTGCATCGGACGGCAACAAAGCAAGAAATCAGAGACAGCTGCTCCACAGTTGGCAGCCTATTGGTCAAACCTCATGCAAAGGGCAGCTAAACACTTTTATATTCTTGTGTATGCGCTTGGTCATATTTCACAGATGACGGAATCTTAAAATAATCCACGCGCATCTGTGAACCGACGACTCAGCCGCGACAAAACACGGTCTTGAGATAATCACTGATACCTGCATGGCAGTTTTGTGGTTTTATTTCATTTTTTATTTTTTTTTCAAGTGAATAATTTTGTTGAGATTATGCGGTTTTCCTTTCAAACGTGTGAATATTCGCTGAGCTTCTCACTTATGTGACCAGGTTTTCTGGATTTCTCTGCTATCGCTTCTAGAGAAAAAAACTCAAGACAGCTGAGATGCGTTAGAAGTGTTCAGTTGCTTTTCATCTCCAAAGATTTGATCTGATCCCAACAACTTAGGTAGAAATTGTTCAATATCTAAGCTGTCTACCTTGCTGCAGATTACCTTTTCCCTCTAATATTTTTGGAAACAACTCAAATGAAATTTTGTTTAGAGAAAAGAGAAGCTTTTAACTCTGCTGCTGCAGCTGTTTTTTGTCATCCAGTAAAACGCACCGTGTTTAATAACAGCCTGGCTCTTAGCTTGCAGTCATTTCTGCTGCAGCTCCAGGAAACAACTCCAGGGTGTGGAGTTATTTCTCTTGAATCCAATTACCTTGGAGCCAAAGCACAGCCTCGACGGTCAGTCCAAGCACAGATTAGGGTCAGCGTTCCCATGCCAAGCCAAACCAAATGTTTCCCTCCCGTTCTCCGTTTTTCAGGAGCACAATGGGACCTGTGTTGTCATGGCGATCAAGTCGTGGACCAAGCATCTGTGGCTCCTTAAGGAGCTCTGGACAGATTAGCCGGGTTAGTTATACTAAACCTAAACAGCACCTTTATATCACATCACATGTTGGGTATAAAGGCAGGCTTGTATGTATGAATGTTCAACTTTCCCCATGTATTATTTTTAACTCATTCATCTCACCTCCTGCTCTACTTCGCACAGCCATGTCAACTTTTAGACTCAAGTTCCCTTTTCACATCATATCAAATTGAAGGGATTGTTCCACATTTTAGAGAGCGGGTTCTGCTATAGGGTTGAAACCACATCTTGGCTTCGAAGGCACCAATCGGGGCTCAATAATTGGCGAGATGCAGTTGATGTTTTTCTTGTGCATCGTGTCCTGCTCGCTCTGACACCTGTTCATGACTGCTTTGTCACTCTTGTTCTTGCCACAACACTCGTCTTCAGTCATGCTCCATTTCGTTGTTTTTGTCTGTGTTCCACTTTGCCAGTATTTCAGTTCACTCATGGCTTTACCAGCTGGCTGCTTTTCCTACAGCTGCAGCCGAATGTCATCCAGTAGTCACCGTCCCTTTCTTTTTGGAAGTCGTGTCTTTTCCCATTCCTTGTCAGTTCCTCCTGTTATGCTGCTCAACACTTTTCCAGTTGTTGTCGTCGTTGGTTTTGTTTTCTCTGTTGGGCTTATTCTCCACTTGTTGGATTTTCATCCACCGCTTCTTCCTCCATTTTATACCCTCACCACAACCGGATTTCTATGGGACCTTTATTTGACCGGGAAGCTAAACATGCCACGCATGTCTTTCCGATCGTTTCTGATTCTTATCCTCTTTGTCAAGAATCTCTTTTGTTTACTAAGTGGCACAGGTGAATTCAACTCAAAAGGACTCTTAATTTTTTTTGTAACAAGGTGGCATGGCTAAAGTTTGGGTCGATCCCAGGTTTCCTACTGTAGCCTATATACTGATGAGGTCACGTGGGTTGGAAATCCAATTTAAGATGGCTGTGTTAAGTGCAGCAGGAGATAAAAGAAAGAGGGGGTTGAGTCAGCTTAGTTAAACTAATGACAATTCACTGATGGGTATGTTTGTGTCAAGCCACGATGGCAAATGTAAAATTTTTTAACTAGAGTTCCCTTTAGGCACTGGGAAAAAAAAAAAAAAAAGATTTCCTCCAAAAGCCTCCAAATTCCAGAGAGATTTTTTAAATTATTATTTCTACCCTGTGTTTAACTCAGTTTTAGGTCAGAGAGAGAGAGACTAAATGGATTATCAAGGAGCAGTTCAACAGAGTCCCTTTCATCGCATTGCTGGCCATCAGACAGCCAAGTGCTCCCCCACAGGGAGACACAGGATTAGTCACTCACCATCGTTGGCTTCTTCTCATTCGAGTTTTTGGAATTATACCACAAGAATCAAGGAATTTTTCCAGTGCGAGGATCGAAGAATGTGAAAGACCGGGCGTATGGGGACACTGTCAAAAGCCACACAGAGGACGGCCGTGGCTTGCCTGTATTCTCAAACTCATGGATAATCTTCGACCTTTAAAGCTTCATTTATTTCAAATATGTGTCACTGACAAGTCATTAGGGAAGAAAGGCAAGTACAGTTTGTTGTCACTGACTCTTTTTAGCCACTGTGACTGCCTCAGATCATGCATATGATCAAACCTGTGCCAATGAGTCGCAAGGTTCTGTTGAATCCTGATTCCACAGAAATTCTAAAAAGGTGTTGGAGGATTCTCGATGGAGTGCCAAGTTCCCCATGGCTTTTTTCTCACTTCTTTTAGTTCTTTGCATGTGAGACTTTTAGAAGTCAACTTTTAGAGCGTGCTTTCACAGGATGAGAAACTACGATGCCGTGTGCTGTTGGATGTAAACTCTGGGTTCTATAAAGGTTTTTGTTGGTGCCCCACATGAATTTCAACAGGTAAGCTGGGCCTGGGGATGCTTTAAATGGTGTTAATAACAGAGGAACAAGTTAAAGATTCAAAGGTCAAAGAGAATGGATTTGCTGGAGGAGTTGTCCTTGGCAAGACTAAGAGTAAAGCCAACATCCTGGCTGGGGATGCACCCCGGATGTCTATCTGCAAGGTTGATGAAGATGGAGTTGAGTGTGCGGTTTCAGAAGATGATGCCAATGAAGAGGCTGAAGTTGATTACACACGAAACTACTGGGAGGATGAGGATGATATCTATCAAGAGTTTGAGGAACTGGACTTCGACTCCCTACCGGATCATTCGGATACCCACAGCATCACCACGGAAGATTCCTTCTATCCCCTAGACGATTCGGTTATCACCCAAATTAACCGCTCCCTCTACCAACTGGAAACCCCCGAACCGATCTCCTTCTTTAAGGCCTGCTGCAACAACAATGCCATCATCGTAAAGATTATGATCAGACAAGGAGTGACTGAAGAAGAGGTAAAGGAGACCGACCGGAACAGAAGAGTAGGTGTCTGGGTTCAGTACCTTTTACATTTTCTTTATTTTCTGCTAACTCCAGTCCTTAAGAGCGACTGTCCTGGACCTTTAGACCAAGCTCTCGAGGGCTGGAGTTGGAGGCCTCCTGTGTAGACTGCTAGACATTAAGATTATGTCACTTTGACCTTTTCCAGAAAGGAACCCGAATGCTCTTTTGTTCCAATAGATTTTTCACAGATCAAACTGTTTGAGGATTTACATTATATAACTAACCCAGACAGCCACATATCACCCTAGTTGTTAAATAAACCAAGCATAACCTTGATGTTTCTCCTTGACCTAATTGTCTCACGTTGGGATCTTCTGGTTCACATGGTCTAAAAAAACATCTATTGAGCAGCATGTTGATGTCAGAGGGAAATGGATAGACTTGTAGGGTTGACTTCAGTTGAGTTTGACCTTATTGAATGTAATAAAAGAATAAAGGTCAAAGTATATTTAGATGTTCAAAGAACTTATTTTTTACACCCATTAGATGATGCAGCATCATCCAATAAATTACTATCCATATTATCTTAGTTTTAACACTTTTGTTAGTAATTTTCTGTATCCATAACTAGTACAGTGCATGCCATTATGAGCACGCATAATTTTCTTTTCTAAATCAATGTACCATAATGCGGCCATTATTACAACCTCATTAAGTAGCATCAATAATATTGATAACTGATGGTTAGTTCTTATATTGCAGCTTCTTAAATGACGTTTTAAGCTGATGCTGAACTCATTCCACAGCTTCACCCCTCGTACTCGTAAACACGAGGCTTTTCTCGTGGTTCTGAATTTGGCATTTTTGAATTCACACTTTTTTTTGTCAATTATGAAGCCCTTCCTTTTGCAAGAAGCACTTTTGAATGGTTCCTAGTATTAAATGAACTTTGGCTTTAAAGAAGGTAAATGTTTGTTGCTCCACTCTATCAATAAATTTGAACACCTAGATTTTTTGTTTGTATATATTCAAGCTAGGGTCAAATTTTTCACATACACAAAAAAGTCCTGTTTTGCTGTTTCAGTGGTTGAGGACGGTGGTGGTTTGTCCTGGTACACTTTGAGCCCATTAGCATTAATTAAGCATCATTTAATTGCCACCGGCTCCCTTAATACCGTTGCTGACCATGTCAATCCCTTCTTGACCATCTACGGATGGCTACTTCCGGCAGATTGATGCACCGTGAGTTTTCTGTAACCCAATCTCAAGATCGTATTTCAACAGAGCTCTTTCAGGATGTGCTAGGACTGTAGAGGTTTTGAAACGTGCCGGAAGAGTAGAAACCCCCCTAGTGACGGTGGTGTGAGGCTCGACTGAGAGCCAAAGAGAAGGAAGGCGATCCGCAGCAAAACTGCAGAGAGCCGGTTCTGGAGGGAGGAGTTTAAGCCTTCTGGACAGATGGAGGGCGCAAAACTGCTCGGTCTCAACGTAAAGAAACAGCTTGCGTCGAGGGCTCAGCTTTTAAAGAGCTCACTAAAGGCGCTGACCTTGGTGCCGGGTCAAAGACGTGGTATGCTGATGGACAGGGACAGAGAGACGCTTGTCCTGATTGTGGGGCTGTGGGAAGATTTGGCAGACCCAGGTTTGTACCGATTGTCTACTAGTGTTAAAATAACTCTTTTGTGGGCTTATTTTACTCCAGATGTGGTCACAGGCCTCTACCTTGTCACGTAAAGGGAGAGTTATGAAATACTGATTTTATTTTTATTTTTTTTTTATCTTTTCATTTTGTAAGTGATGGCAAACTGGACGCCATCTGCTATCTTTGTTTTATCACAGCCAGATGGACCTCCTGGTGTCCAACATTGTTTCTTTTTTCACAATGTCAGTTTTGATTAGCAGCCTCCAGCTGTTTTATTTATTTATTTTTTTATTATCCAAAAGCCGAACTGCATGATTTATGGGCCTCTGTATCGGGGTTCTCTTCTCCAGTACAGACTGAAATATTTGATGAAAATATGTTTGTTTACACTTTTTCTGCTTCCATTACTCACACTGTGGGAACGGGGTCTATTTGGAGAACAGAACACGGAGGGGGGACTCATTTCTTAAACTTTTTTTACAGTATGTAAACCACGATTCGTTCATACGGTTTACCGCCCAGGACAGCATAACTTAAAAGTTTGATCGCCCAACAAAAGTGATGAAAGTGGGAGAAGAAGGTATTTCTTTCACGTTATAAATATTTTTGTTTACATGTCCAGTCCAGTTTGTGTACTGAGGTATGACTATTATAACCACTGTAACAGGAATCTGAGTGAGGAACTTGGCCAAGGCAACTAGACAAGCAGGAAACCACCACTGGACTGAGAAAATGTACATAAAGTCCTATTTTTATATCAGTGATATCAACGTAAAAAAACAACCAAAAAAAAACAACAATTTGGCTATTTCTCCTTTTTCAAATGAAGCCATAAAACAGTGTGAAGGTCAATTAGTTTAGCTCTATTTTTGACAGCACTAGAAAGTAGTTTTCATAAAAGTTATAAAACATGCAGGGCTTTTGTTCCGCCTCAGTGGATATTTTTAAAGATCCTAAATGAAAGACGAAAACAAATCAGTCTCCTGCTATTCATTGTGTGTGTTGTGTGTGTGTGTGTGTGTGTGTGTGTGTGTGTGTGTGTGTGTGTGTGTTACAGTCTGGCCTCATTGCTGCGTGCTACCATGGTTACGTGGACGTGGTCATGGCCCTCTCTCAGTGTCCCTACCTGGATGTGAACTGGCAGGACAACGAGGGCAACACCGCCCTTATTATTGCGGCTCAAGCAGGTAAACGCAGCTCGGCCCGCTGATTATCACACCGAGCGTCGGTCCAGTTCCGTCCAACACTTCTGTTCGCACTGATTCTTACTATTTGGATACTTTCTGGGGAGGAAAAAAAGAAAGAAAAACCGGGAGCCAGGAATCCCTTCGTCATTCTCACCAGGCGATTTTACAAACAGCTCAAAGTCACCAAGTGTTTTTCATCGTTATTTTTGTTTTCCCTTTAAACAGATTTGTTTATTTATTTTAAAACGAGTTTTGAGAGAAAATGTCATGGTCTTATTTTTGCATCCCAAAAATCTGGAATCTCACCGAGACTCGCTGTTCTCGCCCACAGTGGCTGCATCGACTAACGCTTGGCAATACCTGAATAGAAGTTGAGACTTACAATGACACGAAAAGTGGAGAAATATTAAGCAGGGATCATTTGAACCTTTAGAGGATTACTGTTTCCAGTGTTGCTGCACTCGATGTGCAAAACAAATGACGAGATAGCCTTCGATTTTAATGGTAGTATTTCCGTACATTGGAACATAGTGACCAGCAATCAGTCTCAAGTGTTCAGATTATGCCATATTCCGTGTTATTACACTTGAAGAAGTGGTCAATAAACACATTTTAGTGCATTTTCCAGCTTTGAAAGCCAACTCCGACCTTCTGACACTGTACCTGTCCGATTTGTATAAACCTAAAAATTGTGGCAAACTGTTCAAGAATCATTTACAATAGCAGACGATAAGGTGTCGTCATTAGCTGGATGCTCAGTTTGAAGCCTGGTGGAAGATCATGAGGCTTATTGCCTCAAAGCATGTTTGTCATAACGGAGGAGCATCATCTGTGATTTCACAATGACTCAGCCAGATGTGGCAGACACGGCGCCCCGCTCTCTCATCACCTAATGATGACAAATAGCTCTCTGGGGACGGTGATAAATAGTCGAGGACTTGCTTTTCATTTTCTGCTTCGTTAGAAGAAGTATTGATCCCCTTTCATGAAAAAAAAGAAGAAAGAAAAACAGAAGGGAAGAAGAAGAGGAAGAAAATAAAAAATACTCTCAACACCAAAAGGCTCCATCACGCTGCAGGAGCAGACTAAAAAAAAAAAGTATACAGTTTCCAGATATAGCATGGGATTGCAGCTCAGGGCCACGATGAAGTTCAAGCATCATCAGTCTTCCAATCAGCTTTGCCAACAAATTGTGTGGCACGCTTCGATCGGGTTTTTTTTTTTTGCGCTCGCTTGAAAGAATTAAAAGGTTCTACCTCGACTGTAGCCGCGTGAACGTGACGGGTTCGATAAATATCCAAAAAAAGAAGAAAAATCAGTAACAAACCGCTTTAACGATTTGGCGACTGCTCCGGTCACACACCTTTTGATCCGGTTTCCACTCGGCGTCTTCTTCACCCGAGACAGTTTGACAGGAGTTCTTGTAGTCGATCCAAATTCAGCCTCTCCTCTCAAAGACAGTCTAACTTTGACTTATGTTTTTTATGGGGAAGCGATTCTGTTGTTGAACTTGAAGCGTGCTAAGAATTGAAGTTTTGACCCAAAAAAAATTAATAAATTTCTCTTTTTCTTTAACTTCCTAGAAGACTCACATCCTCACATGTGAAGATCCTTCTATGGATATTCTTGCTGTACCGTTTGGCCAGCCAGCTGACCTCTGCTTGGTTTTCCTCTAGACTTTGCCTTGCGCTTCCAGAAGAGCTTGAAATCGTCCTTACGCCCGACAAAATTAGATTTAAGATGATTTCTTTCAATCAATGCGATGTAGCAACCCCGTGCGGTTTCACAGACCAGCCATGGAAACTTCTGAGGGCCGTTGGTTTCACTTGATTTTGGTTACCAAAGTGAGTTCAGCACAAAATGAAACCCACCATTTGTAGTTTTGAAAACCTTGTATTATTTCACTCTCATTCCACAATCGAGCATTACCTTGTGATGATAATTCCAACACCATGTTACGTGGAGAGATGCTTGAGGAAACTTAGCGCGGTGCTTCGTAACGCACGGTGCGTTTCTCTCTCTGTGGTTCACAGGTCACGCGTTTATCTCCAACTACCTGCTGAACTACTTCCCCGGTCTGGATATCGAGAGGAGGAACTGTCACGGTTTCACGGCGTTGATGAAAGCTGCCATGCAGGGCAGGCTGGAGTGTGTCAGAGCCCTTATGCTGGCAGGTAAGTTACCAAGTCATCACTTCGCAATGAAACCGATTTCAATGTGTTCTGTTTGGAAACATGATCGAAGAATCGCGCAGACTGAACTCATTTGTTTGTGTGGAGGATATGTCAATTCGGACACTTGAAATCACCAAAATATGTCTCTACATGTAGGAAGTGATATCCAGGCTCGGGACTATGGACGGAAAATGACCCCCAGAGAGTGGGCTCTCTTCACCGGTCGATACGAGACGGCAGATTTGATGCTTCGGCTCATATCAAAGCCTTGCGCCGAGCAGTTTTGCGACTCCTTCTCCCTAGAGTGGCCATTGTTGGAGGTTAATGCATCACGATTGATTTGAGTTTGAGTAACAAATGCACTGGCCGGTACTTGTTCAAACATTGTCTCAAAATAAAAAAAATGTTCTTTTGCAGGAACTCGTGTGGAAGGCACAAAATCCACAGACATTCAGTCAGCGCTTGATGAAACTCATCTCTTGCTGCCCTTATAGGTTCTACTTCAACAACAAGGTAAACCCTGTGAACGATGGTGTCCTTGAACACCTGGTGAGGATAACCACGGGCATCTCCAGCCCCTTAATGGCCACGGCGTGCCACACCGTCTGCCCGGGCAGCCCGCCGTGCGTCGGAAAGCGCCGGCACGCCGTGCAGGAGATCCTGAGGCGGCAACGGGTGGCGGAGCTCAAGCGCCTGGGTCCCGACAGGCTGAACAACTACAAGACCCTTTTCCAGAACTCAAGGGTCCTCCTCATCCCCAAAGCGAGGGACCGACGGGCGAGCCTGCAGCCCCAGCTGCTCAGCGACGTGGCAGCAGCGTCCACGGTGGCCATCAGACGAGCCAGCCTCCTGCCGCTCAACATGCTGAGGAGAAGCAGCGTGCGGCCAGGCGTCGTGGTGCCAAAGGTCACGCTCTGCAAAGCCCCGCCTCCGAGCTTCGTACCACAAAAGCCCAGCAGGAACGGCGACGACAACCAGCTCCAGATCCCCAAATGGGATTACAAGATGAAGAAAATAGAGAGGAGGCAGGAAGAGGAGAGGCAACGAATGCTGTCTGCGCTGAGAAGGAGGTGAAGGGTCGAAGGAGGACGCGGAAAGTGTCTTGCGGGCAAAGCGGGCACGAAGCGCAGCGTCCCGGCCTTAGCAAATCTGAACCTTCAATGTGAATTTAACTGCAAGTTGTTGTTTCTGCTTGTTTCGATCACCGATGCTGCTTTGCCTTGTTTCTACTTGAATTTGCACGCTTCCCTCGATGGGCATAATTTGTAACGGGAAATGGCAGATGAGAGAGCAGAAGAAATATATATACAAATAAACAAGTGACTTAGGGGAGTCAGGTGTTTGTGCAGAGATCAGACAACTTATTTCCTCACATTTGCAACAACTCTTTTTTTCTTTCTCGACATTGGCAATCAACAGCAAAACTGACAAGTGCTAATAAAAAAAAAAAATAATAATTTGGTAGAGTCAGTTTTCACTTAGATATGGAGACAAAAGCCTGGAGGAACAGGCTCACAAGTCAGAAGTAATCTCACAACCGGCTAGATGCATAAAAGATGGTTGAGAATTTTGAACACGACCCAATGAAACAGGAAGTAGAGACTTCAGAGCAGGTCGACAAAACGAGACAAAAGATCCTTATTGACTGGCGCAGAGTGCGTTTAAGGAGCGTTTTGAAGCGCGAGCTCACAGCGGCTTTGTTGGGGCTTTGTGAAGCAGCTGAAAGGCAGAGCCCAAAATAAACAGCTTTAGTTCTTCACTCTTGACTTTTTAAAGTTATCACGGCACAGTTTCCTGTCCGCAGGCCACCGGCTCGGTGAGTCGTGCCGCATTAAAGCCGTCGTTAGCCGTTTTTCTTCCAGGTTTTTATAGGTTTTAGGGTCACCGCTATAAATACAGAGAAATTATTTATTTTTTATGTTAGCATCTATATAATCTATAAATAATCATTACAGTTCTGTAACATTTCCCAGAAATGACTTGTTTTACACACATCTACACGTTACCATTTTTTTAAGCTCATTTTTGTTCCTGTGGAAGACAAGCATGTCCGTTTGGCCAAACAATGACGCTCGACATGTGGCACCGTTACTAAAAACCGATGCTGCGTCTGTCTTGGAAATCAGAGGTCAAGCTTGAGAATAAAATCACATATTATTGACGGCAGCCGTCAAACATTTGGAAAACAAAGAGTTTGCTTCCAAATTAATGCAGCATTTCTTTAAATGCCGACTACATCTAATGCTGAAGCTTGAGGCCTTCATTCAAATTGTTTTCCCTTTTGGTACAAGACATTGCAAGGCTTTAATATCTATGTTAGAGCTTTATATTGAAAGGTACAAGTAATAAAAAAGAAACAAATTATTGGATTTTTCAATTTAAAAAAATAATACAATGATATATTTCTCATATGTTGTATCAACTTGATGGCACTGAATGTAAACAAGCATAGCAGACCTGCTTCACATGCCAAAATCAATCAATAACTTTCACTTGTCACAGTCCCTCGCCTTATGATATGCTCATTATCCTAGTTGTTGCTTTTTTCTACCTTTTGAGTTTGTCTCTGAATATAAGATTCCTTCAGAATATCAACAAAGCATATATACACTTTTGAATTAATAAAACCAGTGGAGGTGGATGACATGCACATCTTTTTTGTATTCCTACGACAACAATCAACATGTTTTTCATTCGTTTTTAGCAATTGACCGTTTCGCTTCTCACGACACGAGACAGTTTAATATTAATGCACCATTCTAAAATTTTCTGTCATATTATTGACAGTTTTCCACTTCATTTTTATTTTATTTTTTTTTTAATTTGACGCTGCGACCTGTGGCAGGCTGCTGCTTCGTTTCATCGTAACCAAATCAAACTAAAAACCTGCAGGAATTTTAAGATCAGTATTTTGTGTGAGAAGTCCAGGCCCTTCAACAAGCCAGCTGTGCTTGCTTATCCCTTGGGCACACAGTAAGGACCTGCCTACAGATATAATTCACTTCTTTCTTGTCTTTGATGATCAAACGTTTGATTTCTCTTGTTTTAAACAACTATTTTTAGCACAACAGCAATGGAAAAGAGGAGTCGAGAGTCCAATCTGAAGTACGCGAGAGACGACAGTACCCGCAGAACGTGCAGAACGTGCAGGCTGGTTCTGCAGTGCCATCTGGGAAGAGTCAAGCAGAATGGACCTGCGAGACTAAAATGGCTGCCATCCTGACCTGTGGTGCAGTTTCCCCTCACGGCCGCCAGAGAGCAGTCATGACCCTTTACGGGTCAGGCAGTCTGGTTGCCTGCAGGACTGAGATAAAGCTATCCACAAACGGCGTAATAAAAATGAACTCATTTCAACTCAAATGACAAACGTCTTGCATTATGTTTCGTCTGCTGGCGATTAGTTTCTTGCATTTTGGACGCTTCGGATCAGGAGCGGTGTTTAATAAAACCAACTTAAAGGCTTAAAGTTAATTGAAGTAAAAAAAGGATTGAAATATCAGTATCCGTACAACCAAAACGAGAAGTTCAAAGATTGTTGGAGAATCCAGTTCGACGACAGAGCTCAGAAAATGCACTTTTATGCATTTGGATGATCGTTTTTGTGGATTATCTGTGATTGCAGATTGTAAAAGGCCCGCCTGCTGCCGCCGTGGATTATTGAAGGTAGTCCAACAATTAGGTTCTTAGTGATGGCCCCTTTTTTCCTTTCTTAAAAGGAATTGTCAGCGCGCACTGGTTTTAAAAGTCCATGTCCTGCTTTTGACCCATTTACCGGAACGGTCATCACGCCCAGAGGGAACCGCGAGCCAGACTGTGCCTGAGTGAAGGCGATCGATACGAGCCAGGAGGCGTTTCTGTCTGCTGCCAATCAGCGCCACATCCGCAGTTACTTAGCCTCGCCTCTGGCTCCATTCTCAAATATGATTTCAAACAACAAAGAAGTAGTTTTGCTGCCAGGAAAAAAATAAAATAAAATAAAACAAAAGAACAACTTGAACAATCAGAGGTTCTTCAATGGTCCATTTATATATATATAATTTTTTTGGAGCAGTTGCAATCTGTTTGAGGCAATAGAAAGATTCACAATTGTCTTTTTAAAACACATTTGGTCTAGCAACAAAAAAAAAAAAGAGAGAGGAAAAAAATGAAATAAAAAGAAAAAAAGGTCACCGACATTGCATCTCCGTTATAAGTCAGTTTTTTTGTCTAAGGATCACAAAAGACATACATGATGTTGTCAGTTTCCAGATGCTCACTAACAAATACGGCACATCTGTTGATCATCCAGTGTGTGTGTGTGTGTGTGTGTGTGTGTGTGTGCGTGTGTGTGTGTGTGTGTAGGGGGGGGACACCTTCGTTCTGAGTGGCGTTTTAAGCATTGGAAGGTGACCTCTAGGACTTCTAAAACAGCAGTGGGTAGGGCGGGGCCAGGGTCTGCCGGTCAGCTGATTCAACACAGCCTTTTTGTCGCTTGATGACAAAAAAATATATATACTCATGCATTCATGGGATGCAAGTTTTGCACTTTGACATGAGGAGGTCAGCTTATAAAAAGTGCATTGGTAGAGTACTCACACACTTTGACAGTTTCCCCCATGTCACAAGTAAAATAATCTGCCAGAGGAGCTAGTACTTATTTAAAATCAATATTAAAGAATTATTGACTTAAAACAAGCTTTTATATTTTGATACAAAGTCACTTGTAACGTTTACTTTTGATTTTAGCCGTATGTCAAATTTTCCAAGATATTTCCACTAGAAACTAAGCAGGCAAAAAAAAAAAAAAAAAAAAAAAAAAAACAGCACGGTAAAATTTTGTTGTCTTTATTTTGCAGTGTGTTGACTGTAAGGGGCTAAAGGCAAATGTTTGCCACACTTTCCAGATTTCATTTAAGTTTAAAAAAAAACAACCCAAAAACAAGATGGATTTCTTTCCTTCTCGCTCGACACCCATCTGTCCAATGGGCTCCGATTCAAGTCCATCGGCGTTTGTGCCGCGCGGCACAACGACCGTTAAAGAGAAGCAGTGTGAATACTCTAGCAAGGCCGTGCGGATACCCAGAGTAATCTGGAGATGGTTTGTGCGCTGTTAAAACACCGACACGTTGGTAATACTCAACAAATGTAGCACCTTGTTGGTTTGAATCAGCGACGACGTGGATCCCTGGCGCCTGGGCTACTCTACTCCACAAAGCAACAACGTTACTACACAAAGCTGACAGGTTAGTGTGTTGACATGAAAAAGAAGATGTGAACAAAATGCCTACATGTAGCTGTTGTCTTTTTTTTTGTTGTTGTTTTAACAAGTCTTTTCCCGTTACTGTTGCTGCTATAAGTGACATCCACATCTGCACATAAAAAGTATATATTTGCATTTATATAATATATATCCGTACTCTATTAACAGATTTGTCTACCATGAAGTTAGAACCGCCACCCGTTCTCTCAGAAAAGTTTTTTTGTTGTTTTTTTTTTTTTTTCTTCTTCGTTTTGTACTTCAAACATTGACTATTTTACAACACAGAAATCAACTAATTTTGTACATCGGAGCGAGTGAGGCTCTGCCGGGGCCCCACTGGCCCTCAGTGGGGTTTTGAATTAATTTTTTATTATTATTTTTTTCCATGTGTGTGTGGGTGGGTTTTTCTTCTTGTTGGTGCAAGTTAGACAATTTTCATCTCAGTATAACACAGTTTAAAAAACAAAAACAAAAAAACAAAGCATATACAAACTGGCACCGTCTGAACCGAGAGGCTGTTCAGCTGAACTTGGACCCTTTGATCCACTCCGTTAAGTCGAGGGGACGATAGCACGCTTGTTTGGCACGGTTATATACAACGACGGGTGACGAGTCGCTTCGAGGATGCCCTAAACGACGAGGAGCGGATTTGCAACGTCGAAGCGCAAAAGCTAGCCCAGGAAAGCGAAAGCGAGCAGAGAAGGAATGGCGTGTCAGTCTCTCTCTCTCTCGCTCTTCGGCTCTTCCTGGCGGCGGTACCGTCTGCTAACAGCAGGGCAGTGAAAGGAGCACCGTGACCCAGCAGTTCATCTCCAGTGTTTCACATTAGCAACAAAACACACGACTGTGGTGTGAGATTTTAAGTGCGGCTATTCCGTGTGATGCCAGGTTATCAGGTGAGGCTGACCCAGTGGCAAAAAAATAAATAAATAAAAAGACAAACTAAAAAAAGGCCAGAAAAGAACATGAGAAATAGTGCAATGTACAGTACACAATGCATCTGCGTCAACGTACAGTGGGACATCAAATACTATACACAGGAATTTAAAAAAGTAGAAAGAAACGGACAAAAAAAAAAAAAACAACAAAACCATCAAAATGTTTCCCGTCCTTCGGCCCAGAGGAGGAGACACCTCGCTGAAGCCCACGCTAAACGTCCGACGGCTCTGCCTCTTGTGCTTCACGTTACTACAAGCCGTGTTGCTATAGCACATATTTACAGGCGACCACTGTCACTGCGTCCCCCTCAACCTCCAGCCGTGGAGACCGCTTGTCCGTTTCCCTCCGTCGCCGCCGTCCTTCCGATCCCCAAAGCGATCGCCAACCCGAACCTTCCTCCCTTTCCCTTCTCCCTCCCCGTACTCCGTACATTCCGACTCTCTCCCCACGTCCGTCTCGTCCCTCAGGGGCCCGGGGTCTCCCTGCCGAGCTGAGCACTCTATGAAAACACTTGTTGATCAGAAATGCAACACATGAACAGAAAGTGTCCGATTGGTCGTGTGCATGCACATGCGTGGCAGCTCTTCTTCTCGTCGGCTCCGTCTCGTGCCATCCTCAGGCGTCTCTGAAAGGAGAGTCCTGTCCCAATGTCTCCGTACTGCTACTCCGTCCTCCTCTTCCTCCTCCTTTGTCCTGCTATCTATAATGCTACTCAGAAACTACAGGGGAGAGGGAGGAAGGGAGGCAAACTGTCCTCTCAGCTCGAACTCCAAACTTGAACCGTCCCCCCTTCTCCCCGTCATTCGTCTCGTCCTCCTCCGTTCTTCGTGTCCCTTCAGACCCAAGAGTCCGGTGAGGCTGGGTAGTGGCTGGTCTCGTAGTTGAGCTCGCTGTAGGGTCTGGAGGCCGAGTAGAAGTCTACATAGTTGCCGGTGGACTTTAGTCCCTGTAGGTGCATGTTGAGGTCGCCCTGCGGGGGACGGCCTCCCTGGTGGACCTGGCTGTCGTAGAAGGCCTGGTCCTCGTAGTTGCTGCTGTCCGGTGGCGGGGGGTTCTGGAAAGGAGGATAGGGCTCTGATGGTAAGCCTTGGGAAGAGACCTGGAAAGAGACCAAAGGTCCTTCGTGAGAGGAAGCAGTTTGTCCTGCAAACAGGAACCTCTTCCACACAGGAAAAGATTGTGGCGCACACAACCGTTGATGATACCTTCCCAAGACATGACCCTCTTTACCCTGTTAGCTTCAGCAGACTCTAGTAATTAGTTCTCTTCCAGTTGGCTATCGGAGTGAAGCGGGGGGAATCTAAATGGACTCAAGTTTTTCAGATTCGCATTTGAATAAAACCTTAAAACCACACACCGCTGTGCCTCTGTTTCACTGTTGAGCCTTTACATAAAACTTCAGTCAATACGTCAAATCTTTAAGATGCTGCATGATGACCGAAGCTCGACGGACACTAATACTCCTGCGTACTTTGTGGCTTTGATCCAGATTTTCTCAAGCAAACTACGAACATAAAAAATGAAAAAAAAGACTTTCACCCCCACCAGCTTTTACAATCTATTAATGACGCTTCTTTTCTTTAATTTTTTTACAACTAGCAAACAAATTTAATTTCGCTGACTCAATGAGAAGCAATAAAATTTTTTAAAAAACTGCTGCTCACTGCAGTCCTATAAAGAGCCTTGGTAATAGGTAATGTTGCCTCTTTATAGGGTGGGAGAAGAATCAGAAGCTCTTGAGGACTGCAGTATGCAACCTTGGCTCGAAGACATCTGGCTTGTTAATGTTCTGGCACTTAACTTTGAGCATCCTAAGCTGACTAGCAAGATAAAGTTCCCACTGCATCACCATCACCAACGCTTCATGGCTAAATAAATGATTATATCCCAACAGTTTGGTTTTTCAAGAGAGAGAGAGCGTTCTGCATGCAGCCCTTCGAAACAAATCGTACCCAATTTTTGTATTCTGCCGTCGAATTGTCGAGAAAGACTCGCCTTACCTGGTTGTACTTCAGATCGTCAGTAGGGGACACATAGGCTCCTCTGTGCAGGGTTGAAGATCCACCTGTGATCTGACCTGGAGGCACAAGGGCGAGAAGTTTGAGCGACAATGGCACAAAACAAGCACGAAATCTTGAGTTTAATGTTCCCATGCAAGCGTCTAGTGCGAAAGTATCGTCTTTGGTTTTGTTGTCACTCTGGACCCTCCATGCCGTCTCCCATTCACCCATCCGGGGACGGAAGAACGGGGTTTCTGCTGGTTTCACCAACTCAAATTTACGATGTTAAGGCCATTACGAATGGAATAAACTTGATCCAGCCAACTGGTGATAAACTGGATCTTAGCAAGTTAGCCAGCAAGGCTGGTTCAGCAGCTAGTTAGCGTTAGCCTCACCCGTCAAGAGTGGCATTTAATGTAGATGCCCACATTTTGAATAGTCCGTAGAGGAAAAGAATAAAATAAAAATAAAAAAATGTCCTGTGAAAACAAAACTTAAGAGTTGCAATCAATGTATTTCAGACCAACTTACTTTTGAAAAAATGAATTTAATACATTGTATAGCCTTGACTTTACATTCTTGAATTTAAGGCTTTTTAAGGACGCGTGTCCACCCTGTAGAAAGACTTTGAAATGCCAGACGTGTGTTTTAGAATGTGCTGTGCGCACACACAGGTTCTACCTGTGTGTTTCCTCAGAGGGGATTTTCCTGCACAAATCCTTAGACTTTGTTTCCTCGACAAACAGCAGGAAACCTAGCGTGGCTAGGCTCAGTTTTGCTTGTAGTTTAAAGTCATTTGCTATTAACCTTTAGCTCTCCTAAGCTACGGTTGAAAATCAAAACACTGAGGAACATAAAGAAAACATCCGGGTGCTTTTTTAAACGTGCGGCACGAATTAGGCCAGCCATAATGAACGATAGCTCGATTATTTGCACGATGAACTAAAACAAGCTCAATCGTTTCCATTTGCATGATTTAGATTTTTTGCTTTTCTCTTTTTTATTTCTCTTTCTACCATAAACTGGATGACAAAAGTGTTCAGTCTGTTGCTTTGGGCTCAACTAGCCCTTTGCTTGAAGGACAAATCTACATGACTGATAAATTACACAAAGTTATCATGTTACCTCCCTCAAAAAAACAAATATGGTCTTATTGTGCAGATGTCGAGTAAAGATGTCTTTGCAGAAAGCTCAGCTCAGCTCGCCCTCCTTTGCCTGCAGCTTCAGTCAGAGCACAGACGTCGAGTCAGAGCTGATTCTCCACCCTGTTGGTTTCAAAACCAATCACCCCAAAAAACGCGAAAGCTTTGCTGCATACAGGCAAAACCGAGAGAGACGCATAGGCCGACTTTCTTCCTAAAGCCTTTAACCCCACGGGGGAAAACAGTGACATTGTGACAGACATGCAAGGCGGGATCCCTACCCGTCATGGCGTCCTTCCGGGACGTGTGCTCGCCCTTGTTGCCATGGAAACTGGCATTGCCGGTAGACTCGTAGTCTGCCTTCCTCTCCTTCAATGCCATCATCTCTCTGGGGGACGCGGGAGCGCTCACTACGCACACACAAAAAAGAAAAACAATGAAGAGAAATCAACACATGCACACACAGAATATATTTACTCTTTGATTTCAATATACATGAGGAGGCGAGAACAAAGGAAGCAACAAGTATGAACGAAACATTCTGGAGGCCTCGCACTTCTTCCTTTCTGCGTGAGCTCGGCCGCTTGGATTCACTTGGTCCTAATCTAAACCGACAAACGGAGATCCGACGCTCTGCGGCCGAAACAGACCCACAGCATCACTGACCCAACTTGTCAATAATTCCTTAATACGGATGAAAAAAAAGGGCTTTTTTTTTTTTTTTTTTTTCACTTATGACAACAAACGTTATGTATTTCATTCATACTTAGGGATTATTGACGTAAAACAAGCTCCTACATCTTGCTGAAAAGTTATTATTTCAAGTTTTATAAAATATTTCCACTAGAAACCAGACAAAAAAATTAATAAAAATAGAAGTTAATTAAAAATGTAAATGAGAAGCTGAATTAAACATTGGACTTCATTTCAGTGTGACATCACGCTGATGTAATAAAAGATGATCCCCCCTCCCTCTAAATCTTTACCGGGGTGCAAATGCAACACGTTCCTCGTAGCCTGTACGTCAGTTTGTTGTCACTAATGTAGCCCCTATTTTTTGCGTCCCAGCTACATGACAGGCAGCTTCCATCTTTTTCAAACTTTATTGCTCCACTGTATGGCGAGGACACATAGAAAAACATCTGTCGGTTCAGAGCCAGACATGGTTTAGGTTTAAATGTGATAAACGCTCCACCGTTAGCAGCTTTGCACATAAAAGCAGCTTCACTCTATGTCTTCAGCATGCATTAATGCGGTTAACATTGATCCATATGTTCAGCTGCGGTTCGACTGTCGGCCTCTGCAGCTGGAGCGCTCTCTCGTTCCTAAAGCTGCCAACACACACAGTGCCTCAGTTTTTCCTTCCTATCAGAGAATGGACTTGAATTTATTTTCAGATCCAAACAAAAGTACGTTTAAAGTTAAGAATATCTTGGTAGCAGGAGATCATCCATCCTGCGTACGCAGCATTTCTTGTCTCTCCAGATGGTCTCCTTTCCTCTCCACGTGTCAAAATGTGATCCCTGATGTCTTTGATTTTCACTTTCGTGACTTAAAAACTTTATTTTGACTGCTGGTTTGTTCCAGATGCGCTCGAATCTGGCAAAAAGATATTCGAGAACCTGTCACTTTAAATTTAGGTCAGTGCTTGAGATTAAAGTAGAATTTAACCCATCATTTTTCCAAAAATTACTGCTGCAGCTGTGTAGCAATTATTGCTTTCTGGCTTTAATCCCCACAATTCATCTTGGCAGAAAAGTTAAAAACCCAAATCATGCTAATAACTTCAAGGAAAAACAAAACAAAAACAACACAGAGAAACCTGCTGTTGGACAGCAAGTCTAAAGTTATGTGGAAAGATGTGCGCTGCTCAGACGAGTCCAAGACTGAAAATCTTTCCCGTACGTGTGGAAAGCTGCGGCTCATGGCGGAAGGCCGACCCTGAACACACCATGTCCCTTGGTAAGATACAGTAATGGCAGCATCGTGCTGCGGAGATGTCTTTCTTGAACAGGGGAATCTGGAGAAAGACGTGCAGAACCGCGAAAGTATTTCAACTTTAACAGTAAGAAAAAGCTATTCAACAAAGAATTAACTCAGAGAGGCTTATTAGAGAAAATAAAAACTTTGGTGGCTCTTCAGAAATGTTTAGGACTGTTGTCATAAACTGTTATTTGGAAAATAATAACATTTTTAATTACAAAGTTGCATAGAAAGTGTCAAAATTGTATCATTCGGCAAATAATGACACTTTTGACCCTTTATGTCCTAAGTTTATGTTTTAAAATGTCCGCCTGGATATTTTTGCTCATTTTAATGTTACACAGTTCTTTAGATATTCTCTGAGTAAATATATTCGCCCATTCATCCATATCAACTGATATCTAGCAAATTATTTCGTCTATTAAGAGTGGCCCTCAGTTGGGATTTTTCACGGATCCCAAAGTGTGGCGGGATTACAGCACCGCAAGTTTGGCTGGATTGGTTAGAACCCCCGCGCTCCATTTAGCACTTCCAGGGTTTAAAGCAAAGTTGCATTAAAAGTGTCATTATTTACCAAAGTACTCTTGAAGACTGAAGTTGAAAGCCTTCATGGTGACTCTTTAATGTTTATGACAGGTGTCAGTCTAATGCGCACCCCTTCAAATAAAGTGTTTCCAGAAGCTTTGTGGATTTTAATCTCGTAGAAAATCAAACAAACCAAAAAACCTTCACATAATTTTCCTTTCAAATCCAATAAAAACAATTCATGATTTGTGTCTGTAGCAAAAACGAAATGCCCAAACTCGGGGATTGGGTCTGCGAGCATCGTTTCCAGCGCAAACTCGGCACACAGAGACACTTGGAACTTGAAGTTTGTCTCTTTGGTTTCACAGCAGCCATCAGCCTGAGAGCAGTCTGAAAAGATCAGAGATGATGAACATTGTCAAGGGCTGTCACCATCACCGCCGTCACCACCGTCATCATCACCAGCCCAAGTTCTGAGAGACTTCGGTGGCTTGTGTTATTCAAACAGCGCGAGGACGGGGAGCGTTCTTAATGGACACAGAGGACAGATTTTACTCGATGGCGGAGTAATCTGTCGGCAGCCGCCGTGCTGTGACGGTTGGAGAAGACTGGGGCTGTGATGGAGCGGCGCTTCTCTGACCGGCGGGAAGAAGGACGAGGGAGGACGCAAAACAGAAAGGGAGGCGTGGAGACACCCACCTGACCGGTTGTTCGGGGACGTCCGCACCGGAGAGATGGACGGCGTGCGAGAGGAGGAATATGGCCGCTGTCTGTCCCGCTCTATCGTGGAGGAGGAGCCCACGAAATGGTACTGCGAATAGCCGTCCTGAAAAGAAACGACGGGACGGGAAGGCGTCAGTTTTATTTTCAGCGTGTCAGTCTGGCATCACAAACAATAAGAACGAAACAAAGCAACGTCCAGACCAAAAATGGCCGTTTACCTTCTTGTAGAGACTCCGGAGGTCTCTGTACTGCCACATGCTGTTGAGGACTTGCGATGCCGCTTTCACCACTTTGGGACTATGTCTGGGAATTCAGCAGAGAGCAAAAAGACACGGCGTAAAGCTCGACTGTGTTTTTGTGATGGATGAAAAAGCCTCAGAAATATCAGCCCAACGAGCAAAAACTACAAGCCGTAGCACCTGCAAAACAAAGACGCGTCCTCAAACGACACGCTGCTGTTTGTGATTGATTAATTGGCCAACATTTCAATCGGCTGTTCTTCCAGGTTTTCACTCAGCTGACTAATGGCTCGGAGTTTAATTGGCCGGCGTGGCCTTATCAGAGTCTGCGAAATTAAACTTCATTTCTCCAAGACATTTCAGTCACCGTTATTGTTTCGGCTTTACATGAGGGCAAACCATTTATCAGAGAGAGAGAGGAAAAAAAAATCAGCTTGGTAGAAATCAGCTTTATGTTCCGAGAGCATCTCCAAAGCATTGTCTTTAGTCACAAAACTAAGTGTAGAGTTTATAGAAATGAACTAAAGTTGGTGTTTTACAGATTGGCATCTTCAGATGTCCTTATTTTACTTGTCCTTGTAGTTAAAATGATAATTGTTCTAGACACTACTGTACACATTTTTACCTACTCTGCCTTGGAACAGCAGTTTTCCACATTTTGTGATGTTCTAAGCACAACCATACAGTATATGCATCTTATTTAGAAAGTGCTAAGAAGACCCTTTACCACGCAGATGGCAGAGCAGGTATATGGAAGTCGGTTCGCTCACGAAACAACAACAGCAAAATAACGTTGAATTTTTTGACCAACATGCAAATGTTATGTGAGGCGAAACACGGCGGAGGCCGCATCAGGCTGCGGGAAGCAGAAAAACCGCTCACAGTAAACGTTTTGGATCAAAACACGTTTTGACAAACCGCAATGTGAAGATCTTGAACAGGCGCGAACACTTTTGCAAGGCACAGTTAACATCCGTTTGGCTTTTTGGATATCTCAGTTCCTGCCGCGTATGTTTATAAAACATTCCCTTAATTTGTGAAATTAAGGGAATTTAGGGCAATTAAGTTACTTTCTAATCCTAAAAGTTCAAATCATTTTAATGATAATTATTGTTCTGTTGTCAATTTAATCGATTTGATCGTTAATAGCGTTGATCTGTCAAACTGTGAGGAAAAAAAGAGAAGCTCTCCAAAAACCACACTTGTGTTCTCAACTGTCCTCAATGATGGATGTTAAAAATTCAAGTAAACAACAGTCGGCGCAGAGAGCACACAGTGATGACCCGGCTTTGATTCAGCTTGGTGTTTACAGCACACAGGTGACCTTCAGCTCCGCTTTCCTTTCACTCCCTCTCAGAACGCGAGCGTCCTCTTACGTCGGACTAAATTCCTCCCAAATGGAGGACATAAAGAGCAACAGCTAACAGTCGCAGTGCATTTCAAACGATTCCCAGACGAGCCGTTTGTAAGCTGAGCGGCGTGGACACACTTTAGGGGTTTGTCTGGGGATGATCGTAAGCGGTTCTCGGATACCATCAGCAGGTTTTTATTTGATTGACATTTAGTTCTTTTGAAACTAAAACCGGTTTTATTCTCTTTAAATCCACGTCAGACTTTGCAACCGTCTCCCCAGCTCTGCTTCGTTCACCCGCCGCCGCCGCCACCTTCCCGTTCGGCTTACTTGTCTCCTTTGCTGCGCGCGATGCCGATGAGCTTCTCGATGCCGCCGGCGTCCCTCAGGGCTTTGGTGTTCTCCATGTTTTTGGTGATGACCTCATGCAGCGCGCAGCAGATTGCAGTGACGGTGTCGTCCGACATGGTCTTCCCCGCCAGGATGCTGCTGTTGATGCTGCCTCCTCCTACGCCGCCGCCGCTGGTGTTGTTGTTGTTGCTGCCTCCGGGTAAACGATGCACCAAATCCCTCATGGCGTATTTGCCTGGTCAAAGGTGACGGACAGAGAAAAAAAAAAAAAGGTTTAGCGGGAGGCCACAGATTAGCTTTTAGAGGCTGAAAGAAATGAGAAACGAGATGTGAAATAAATACTGTAATTCGTGAGAGTATCTTCAGGCGGAGCTGCAGGAAACATCTTTTTAAAGTAACTTCCCTCCCCCCCTCAAAACTCTTTATGGAAGTGTTTTATCTAAAGGTTACACAAGTTTGAGGTGGAGCTTTGAAGTTCGACTTAAATCACCACCACCAGAGGCGGTGGGACCTCGAAAAGCTTGGGATTTTTCTGGAAAACCCCTTTGCTCACTTTTGGAAAAAAAACAGGAAAAAAAAAACATTAAAAAATAAATAAGAAGTGAACTTACAGGAAGTTAGGTCTGCTGTACCAATATGATAACATTTATGATCACATGTTTTCATGCATGTTTTAATCATTATGCTGAAAACGAAGAATCCACATAAGGTTCAAATTCAAGAGAAATAATATATAATCAACATAGAAAGAGATGAATCGTTTTATTGTGGTTATTTTTGCTTTTCTGTGACGGCAGAGATGATGAAATGCAGTTGAGATCCATAAAGAGAAAAACAAACATGCATTTAGGTACCAATACGAAGCCCGCAAACAGTTCAAACTTTAGCATCGTTTAGCATCTAAGAGCTAGCTTGTTGCTATATCATCGCAGCGCTGATGAATCTTCTCTGTCGGTGTTCGTCGTTTCTGCACTGGCTGCCTAAATTATTCAGAAGTTATTTGAACTTCAGCCGTCTGGACAAGAAGCCGTTATAAGCTAGCTCTGTCCACATGAAGAGGCAACACAAGTACTTCAAAATAAACGAAAGGTGTCAAGAAATCAGTCATCTTCACATGAGGGGATATTGTAAGTCGCTTAGACTTCCCTCTGTCTTTTGCGGTGCTGCATTTCTTCTCTCTGTATAGAAATAGCAATAATTAGCTAATGATAACTCATCTTGGTTGCACATGCAAATCCATACAATGTGGCCAAGACTTTGATGTTGCCATCTAAAGTAGGCCTTTCAAATAATTTGAACTAAGGTGTTGCAAACCTTTGTTCTACAAAATGCTTTGGACTGCGATCCAAAAGGTCTCATCCAGCATCAGTGTCTAACCTCACAGATGCGATTTTGAGAGAAAGGCCAGAAAATCATCAGCGGATTGTTCCTTCAGTTCATGTATTCACATTTACCTACAGTCAGACAAACAAGCCATTTTCGGCATTGTAGTCAAAGGAAAACTAGAGAAAAAGTATTCCCGAGAAAAAACAAAATATCCACTCTCTGCGTTTATGCTCGTCAGTCACGTTCCCATGACACCTCTGTGATTCTGTCGGGGCGTCAGGCTCTCTCCGGCCCATTGGGTCATCCTCGCCTTGCGCTGGCGTTGACACGGCGTCCTCCAATTTGGTCGCCGTGCGCGCTCCAAACAGCGAGAGCCCTTCGTCACGTTTGTTTAGGCGGAGTATTAAAACAACCGTTGGCTCACGCCGCCAGGGCTGACGGTGTTGATATTTGCAGCTGAGAGCGCCGTGGACCTGACCACACAATATGCTGTGCAGCTCAAGCAATTTGGTTGTGCTCCAACCAAGGGGAGGACAATATGTTCCCTGAAAACACGGCGGCGTGCACCGGGGTCAGCACAAAGGAAGATCTGACATGGCGGCCTACATGCGCCGGGGACGGCCGCATTCACCGAGCGAGACGTCACACGGTTTGGCTCAAAGGCGAAAGCATCGAACGGAGCAAATGGAAAGAGGCATGTGGCTGTTGCCATGGGGACCAGCAGAGAAGCGGAGTTTATTAAAGACATCAGTCAGTCTCCAGCGAGAAAGAGAGAAAAGGAAAAGAAATCTAGTATCAGGTGTTCAGCTGCTGTGCTGAGAGGAGCAATCTGCAAACAGAGAGATTCATTTTCCAAAATGCTTTGCTTTCATTTTGCTAATTGATTTTTAAATTCAATCGGCAATCCTTTCCACCAGTTCTATGCGCAAATAGACCTGCTAAGATACCACTGCAGTGCAAATTCTCTTAGTTGCAATCGGTTTCAATTATGGCGAAATTAGGCTTCAAATTAGGCAATATTGTGGCGCCTGATGTTTGTGAAGCGGCTCCAGTTCACCTACATTCAGAAAGGCCAAAGAAAGTCATATTTTAAACATTTTTAAACTAAATTATATTTCAATAACAATGTCCTGTTTTTGTCATATATATATATATATATATATATATATATATATATATATATATATATATATATATATATATATATATATATATATATATATATATATATATGTTTATGGATGTTTATATTCCAGGAGTGTGTTCATACTTTCACTTCGTGATGTAAGATGCAACAGTAGGTCAGATTTATAGAAAATGAGACAAAAAGAGATCGCAGTAATATTCTGGAGTTTTTTGGTCACAAATTTTGTTTTATAGAGATATTACCGCCATAGGCTATAAAACTTCCTTCACCTGAAAAGATTCCCATTCTGACACCCAACTGCATCTCACGCCTTAAGACTTTATTTTCTTCATATTCTTAACATTCGGTTGACCCCCGGTGTTTGGGGATCAAAATCTGCAAATACTTGAGGCCTCCTCGAAAAAAAATGCTCCCAACTGCCTATTTTAATTTTTCATACACCAAATATACCTCAATGTGCATATTGGCATGCAGGGCGGAAACCGTCTTTGAATATTGTGGATATTCAAAGACCTTCAAAGAAAATAAATAGCGTTCCTGTGCAGAAGCCAAACAATAGCAGGTCGAATAGGGAGCTATGTCAGCTCCCTTTCAAATATTTTTGACATGCTCTACAGAAAAGAATAGGCAGCTTGTCCTTGAGTCATTTCTGCATCCCAGTAAAAAAAAAAACAAAATCCATGAATCTGCAAACCTTGATCCTCAAATGACCGGAAGTCCGTCGTACACCTTTAGCTCGGCCGGCTTACCGATAAGCTCCTTGTTCCGAATGTCCAGAGCCATGTTCCTCAAGGCCGTGGCCACGGCACAGACCACCCGGTCGTTGTCTATCCTCAGTAACTCCACCAGGATGGGGAGGCCCTTCTCTTTGCGCACTGCAGCTCGGATGTAGACGGACCACTGGACAACGGGGCGAGGAAAAGACAGAATCAAACATTTGCAACACTTTCATTTTGTGCCAGTTGTTATAGAACAAATGTCGGCCGCTTAGATCATTGTTAGCATTTACAGGTAAATGTTTGTGAAATGCTTACAATTAAAAGAATATTGCATGATCATCACTCCCCCCTGTTAGCTTTGATGAAAACTGTTGAGGTTTCTTTCATTTGTCAACGACTTGGGCTTTTTCCTCTTTACTAGAACTGCGATCTCCTCTCCTCTCCTCTCCTCTCCTCTCCTCTCGCCTCGCTGCTCGGTACAACAATGACGGCTCTCACCTTCCAGCTGCCGGCGGCCAGGTTCTGCAGAGCCCCTGCTGCTCCCTCCAGGGTGTCCGGGTTGGAGCACTCTGACAGCAGCGTGAGGTAGGGCTTGACGATGGTGGGGTGCCACAACATCTGGATGCCTTTCGGAGGCTCAGCCAAGTCCGGGAAGGGCCCGACGCCGTCCCACTGCGGAACAACAAGACAACGGCTCAGAACGGAGGAGCAGTCGTGAGTCCCGGCGGCGCTCCCCACGGGCAGAAGCAGCAAACGAGAAGGAGAGGACTCCGATAAACAAAGCGACGCTCATCTGCTGCTTGGATGCAGATTCAGGCGCTGGTGAAGCGACCATGATCTACCTCAGAAAGTGCTGGCAAGAGGCTAGAAAAACAGACCGTGCGTACACTAAACCGAGTGACGAGAAGTGCATAGGAAGTCGCAACCTGCTGGGTTATCTGTCCGGCTGTAAGTTGCTTTGGTCCTCCGTTGTGCAGTGTGAGGGAGAAACGCTTCAAATACAATAAAGAGGAATCTGAAAAGTGTGGCATGGATTTCTATCCAGTCACCCTTAATCAATAAATATAAAACCAACTTTAGATGCAACAAAAGCTGCTGTCAATTGCGATGCATCTCTCTGCACACCTAAGCATTACTGTCCATATTATTGTCAGAGACACTCCAGAGGATCTAGATATGAACTTTGACTGGGCCATTCTAACAATTTTTTTATTTGTTCTTATCTGAAGTGTGTTTAGGGAAACAACCAACCTGGTCTCAAAACTCGGAGACGTTTTCTGACATTATGAAAAGCCTGCAAAATGAAATTGTCCTCCAATTTTGCACCAGACTGAATGCTACTGGTGGCAAAACAGAGAGAAAAGAGAAAAATGATGAACTACACCAATGGAAATTTTTGGGCTTGTTTGAATTTCTCACACATTTAATCGATTTAACTGTGTGACAAACTAAACAAATAACTACTTGGCATCAGGCCAAGTAGTTATTTGTTAAAACTAGACAAAAATTCAGATTTTTCTCCCATTTCACTCATTTGTGCTGGTCTGGAAACAACACTGATGACGTCACTCTGCACCATCAGGCTCGAATGATCTTGCAGATTTTATCTTGCAATCACTTTTTGGCAGATTCACCTGAAGTTATTGCTTCAGTTCAGTATGTCTTCTGTTCAGACGTCTCTGTCTCTCTGATACGACATAATATCAGCCCGTCTCATTTTCACGTGACTAACGGGCGACAGCATCCTTCGCCGCATCCGTAACCCTGCCAAGCGCTGCTGTCCGTCTTCCTCGCGCCTTTAACCTGATTGCGCCGCTACACCCTCTTCATCATCTCCTGTCTCCTCCTCCACTTCCACTTCCTTTCCCTTCCTCTCCTCTAATTGCCATGCAGTTGTTAGAGTTTTGTCCTCTTCGGCGCGCACACTCCCTAATCGCTGCTTCACGATAATCGCCCGCAGCTGCGCTAGAGTGGCGACGACGCGCAGGCAGAAGGGAGAGAGAGTGACGGATTCATTTTTTTTTTTTTTACTGAAGAGGTTATGATCTGTCCCTGCGTCGATATGATCATTCGGACCCGCCGTCCTCCCCACGAGCAGAAAAAGACGTTTGCCTGGAGAAAATCCGGGAAAAACGGGATGTAATAAAACCCGAGTCCCAAAACCGATTTCATAAACCTCAGCCAGATTCAGAAATGATTGGCAGAGGTGATGGTGGGGCGGAAAAAAATAGAGAGAAAAAATAAGCCATACAGGGAGGATGAGCAGTTCACACAGCTACACTGGAAGTGGTTAAAAAAACACACACACACACACGCAATACACACACAAAACAAGAAAAACGTCCCCCACTCAATCAGAATGATGCTGATTGCTCATTTGCATGACAAGAGGGCGGGGCTCGTCGATCTCTTGCTTCTGCCTCTCAGCTGCGTGGAGGAGAACGAATCCAGAGAGAGAAAGGTGGAATCAGCCTCACAGAAATCGGAGCGCAGGCGCCGAGCAGACTGAACCAAAACACTTAGACCCTGCAGAGCCTCGAGGAAGCAAGCAGAGCCTTCATAAGAACAAAAAACAAAACAAAAAAAATATATAGAAAAAAGAAAAGGTCCACACTCACGGCACGCTGTGTGGACGCGACTCAGCGTCTTGTGAGACGGACCAAAAACGAGTGTAGTGTGTGACTGTGAAGCGGAGAGGAACGTTTTCACGTTCCTTTTTCAAACACCTCTAACTAAGATCCGGGAAAGCTAGTTGTTTTCACATTCAAATTCAAAATACCTTGTTGATCCCAAAGGGGGAATCAAATGCTTTTGTGAATCAAAGTCACTGTGGACAGTAACTTAGACAACCAGAAGCTGTTTATCCAATTCGATGTTAGTCTATCAAACGAAATTTGAATGAAACATCAAAGTTTGCGGCTGTAAAACCTTCAGTCGGAGTGAATATATTTTTTAAAGGTGCTCTACATTTATTACATCCTGTGGAATAACAATATAATTACACCGTAACGTGTCACAGCTCTGGCCCCAAATAATTCAGAATGCACTAAATGGTACAATAGTCCATTCATTTAGGAACTCGGAGGACGGTCATGAATAAATAAAAACGTGTGTCTCTCCTCACCTGGTCGTGGCCCTTCTTTTTCTTCTTCTTCTTCCCCCAGCACCCAGAGCTCTCCGCGTCCTTGCCGCCGGTGTCGCACAACAGGCCGTCCAGCTCCTCGGAGCCGCCCTGCTGGCTGTGCGACGTCTCCGCGGCCAGACGGTAGGACAGGTTCCTCAAGATGCACACGCAGTTCTCCACAGTCTGGAGGAGGAAAGGTCGGACGGGAGGGGAAAGGGAGGAGGAGACGGAGATGAAGGAGGCGCGGGAAAGCACGGCGAGATGCGCCACAGAGATCACACACACACACGTACTCACACACACATTACTCCTATTGTTGAGAGTGGCAGAGCAGTCAGGAGTCACAGGCTTTGATCTTTTGGAGGATTTAAAACAAAAAATAAAAATCATGCAGAGAAGCAGTGACTCAGGACACACACAGGGGGGCATCGAGTCACCAACGGTGTTTCTGTGTCAGAGTTTGGGCTGAGTAATGTAACATGACAGAAAGCAGTTTAATTTCTAAGCAAAGACTTCTCATGTCTCATGTGTTTTATAATGTAAATATTTATACATTTTCTCTAGATTCGGCAAATATCTAGGAAATAAAAAAAGTGCATTCCGCCCTTTCCTGGTGATGTTGCGCAAGAGCAGAGAAGGAAAACACAACAAACCCATCAGAGCCAGTAGGAGGGTCTTGATGCCGTCAGTCAGCCTCACGTACGCGCTGCTCACACTCTCCCCGTTGCTTTCTGCCAAGTTAACGCTAGTTACCCCACAATGGACGGCGGCTGGATAAAGAGTTCTTCCGTAACAATAAGTTTTGTCGGCATTAGCACAACTGCAGCGCATACACGAGGAAGATTGACAGCATGAAGACCCTCCCCCTGACTCTGATTGGCCGTTTATGATTGAGCACATGTCTGGAGAACCACAGGAAGAGGAATTAGATTTCTTTTTATTGTAATAATATTGTGAAAGTTTTGAGAAATCTGTTAAAAAATATATATATTTTTTTTTTTACAAAAGCTGCATACTGCAGATTTAGGTCTCAAGTCCTGCATATAAAAACAACAGCCATGTTACACTGTCGAGACGCTGCTAATTTCCTAATTTTCACTTTAAGCCATTTGTCTATTTGTCATTAAAATGGCAGTTTTAAACAGCGACACTTCACACAAGCACAAGGTTATTCTACTCACGCAGGTATGAGCCAGATTATTAATAGTATGCGGAGTTGTGTGTGCCCTGCCGTGTGTGTTCCTGCATCACCTTGCTGTCTATCTCGCTGCTCCCCAGAGCCGTCTGGATGACGTAAAGCAGGGCGTCCGTGAGGCCTTCGCACTCCCTCATCCTCCTCCGCGCTTCCTCCCCGGCGGAACTCACGTTCCTGTTTCACACAGAGACACAAGTTCACGGCCTGCCGCTGTCGGCGACGAACAAAAAATGTCACGTTGACTCTTTGCAGTTGCGAGAACGAGACGAGAACAACCAGCATGACGACTGAAGAAGAGCTGTTTTTTTTTTTTCTTTTTAGCAGTGGCTTCTACTTGTTCAGCTAATTTGTCTGTGAACGCAACACGCCTGGTTGGGATCAGAGTAGTCCCTTCAAACTGGACTCAAGAAAGAGCAGAGCTGCTTTAGCCATCCAAAAATCACTCGAGGGGGAAAAAAAAGTTAAAAAAAATCCAAGTTCAGAGCAGCTGATCAAATGATCAATCGCTTAAAAATGACATCAAAAATACAGATTTAATTGGAAATTTGGGCATTTCAAGGACCAAAATGACAACAGTTCATACAAGTACAGAAAAATAACAAAACAAGGCCAAATCAAATTGATGCAAATCAGTTTCTTTCAAAAAAATAAAATAAAATAAAATAAAAGTGAAACTTTAACAAAAACTGCAGGTGTGAAATTTTACTCAAGTAAGGGAAGCGATACACCAAAAGTACAGAGCAGTAAAAAAATATTCCTAAAAGTACACCCCCCCCCCCCCCAAAAAAAAGTCACTCAAGTAAGTATAATTGAGTAACTACAGATACTATGTTGGGGCTCATAGACGATGGTGTTTCCTAAAGTCTGAGCTAGCTTAGCAACCGACCCAAGTTGTCTGGCTATAAAAATAGAAAGTCAAACTGACGTAAAAATAATTGTCAAGCGCGTTCGGCGACCGAAGCAGAAATGTCAGGCTGAACCAGATTTCCAAGAGGAAGGAAAGCAGGAGGAGAGGGAAGCTCGACAGATGTCAATTCTTGAATAATCCAATGAGAGAAACTTTTAAGCAGTTCTATGGCAAACATTTGGATTGTGGTTATTTATTCAACTTTTTAGGTAACAGGAAGACAGGAAAAACAAAAGTAATTTTCCTCACTCCCTCTCCGGTGGAACCGGGACCGATTTAGTCTGGACACCTTCCTCTCTTTACCCAAATCTAACAGCGTCAGAAAAGTCAGGACTCGCCTGCTGATCCAAAACCAGCGGACATCTGTATGCAGACGCCGTTTGCACATGACAGATTCATGAGGGGCCTGAGTGGGTCGGTGGAAAACCAGGTGGGAGATGTGAAGGTGAGGCAGCATTCTGTTTAAGCGAGGAGGCTGCTTTTGATTCTGACAACCTCCGTCGGTTTTCTACAGTCAAATGACTGCCTAAAAAAACAATATCGAGGTTGTTGACAAACTGTACTCCTCTGAGTCTGCATCCCCTCCGGCTGTTATTTGCTTCGAGTCGTGATGCAAGTTCACCAGAGCGTTCACACACACACAAACACACACACGCATGCACACACGCCCATGCACGCAGCAGGACGCTGTCAGAAAGCTGCATCACCTGTTCAGTGAACAACATGACAAAATCAGAATAAACAGCCACCTGAAACATCCAAATCGTAGCAAACAAGATCCACTTTCAACTGGCGTTAAGCGTACGATTTCTCCGATATTAGATTTGGTCTCCTGTCTATTAATAGGCTGAAATTAATTACCCTCAGTTGGTTAGAGGTAATGAATTCCAGTGAAGTGATTCCTTTGCAATGCAGCCGCGCTGTGAGATTATCTCTCATTATTTGATCTTTAAGCGTAGAGGATCAAAATAACAAGGCCGGCGAGAAATTACACCCAACAGATAACGCTGTGGCTAAAACTGAGCTTCTTTTCACTCAAATGAAAATGTGATTCAACTCCTAACGTACTGCTGCCACACAAAAAAATAAATAAATAAAACAAAAAAATCTCTCCATCCATTTTGAATGACTGTGCAAAGCAGAGGCCTAACATGGTGGGATTTGCTTAAAATGAGGTTTGACAATAGGAAACGCTGCATTTTCCTTGCAGCGAATGGCTGAAGGGAACCTGAACATGTACAGGTTCAGGTTCAGGTTGCAGCGCAGCGATCTCATTCTGTGAAACACCAAATCCCCCACAGGCGCTATTCTGCGAAGAACCTCGCTGCCACGTTGTGGTCTCAGTTTTGACTGGAACAGGCGCTGATTCAGAGCTGGGACGGTTAGGTCTGGTTACAGAAGATTTCTCTGTAAGCGATGATAGAAAAAGACCTCCAGGGGTTTCTATTGGGATTTTACAAAACCATTTTTTATTTCTTTGCACCTGTGTGTGCTGCTCGTTTTTTAAACATGTGCATTTAACTCCTAGAAGTATGTTTGTGGAAAGACATTCGCGAGAACACAAGGCATCGGTTTGCATGATATCTATGTTTCCATCTCAGTTGGTACTAATCCTTCGTACCTGAACAACCAAGTCCAACAAAACTTAAGCCAAACAGACTTACGTTCTGTTGATTGTTAAAAATAATAATACTGTTGTGATCGTATCTTGATCATATCTGTCCAACTCAAAAATGTATTTCAACTTCATTTTTATTATATTTTCACCCTCAATATGGGATCTAAACACAACATCCAGAGGTTTGGACACGCCTTTTCATTCAATGAGTTTTCTTTATTTTCATGACTATTGACATTGTAGATTCACACTGAATTAATTCACTATGAATTAACACATGTGGAGGAAATATGTACTAAACAAAAAAGTGTAAAACAACTGAAAATACACCTTATATTGTAGTTTCTTCAAAGTAGCAACCTTTTGTTGTGATCACTGCTTTGCACACACTCTGCATTCTCTTGATGAGCTTCAAGAGGTCGTCAACTGAAATGGTTTTCACTAGCAGGTTAATAAGTGGCTTTCTTACCTTATAAAGAGTCATGAAAATAAAGGAAATGAGAATTGAATGAGAAGGTTGTGTCCAAACCTTTGGTCTGTACTATATATATATCTACATATACACATACATATTGAAAGATGGATGGATGGATGGATGGATGGATGGATGGATGGATGGATGGATGGATGGATGGATGGATGGATGGATGGATGGATGGATGGATGGATGGATGGATGGATAGATAGGTAGAATGTTAAAGACTCAAGGTCGGCGTTCCTATACGTGATCATGTCAGTTCACCTAAGGGCTGGAAAATGACACACAAACTGCTGCTCATGAAGACAGCAATTTGTTGCATGTGTAAGAACAGAGGGCCCTTTAATCTGGCTAAGCAGTGAGTTAAAAAAGGCCTGATGACTCCTAAAGGAGTGATAGCCCCCAAAAGCTCAAAGTAAATGGGTTAATATGCTCCTTATTAGCCGCTGTGGCGTTTGCGTGGCGTCTGCCCCGTTCTCTGCGCAGAACTCCAGATCTTCTTGTTAGCTGACACAACAGGAGAGAGGCAGTGAGGAATGACAGGGTAGAAACGGCGACGGGGAGGGAACAGGCAGAAGGGACGACGGATAAAAGAGGGCATAATACGATGGAGAAAGAAGTATTGGGATAATGTGACAAGACGGAGAGAGGGAGAGAGACCAAAGAGGGGGTAAACAGAGAGAGGGGAAAATGAGAAATTGCGGATGATAATAGGAGACGGAACGAGCGAGGAAAAAGAGAGAGCAGGTGGCCGGCGATAGACCAAACCCGCCATGAAATATTCAATCTTTAATCAGACTCCCAGCATTCCCTAACGAGGCGTGAGAAGGATGAATTAGGCCTTCGAGTTTGGGGAGCCGAGCGGCTCAAAGTTATCTCGCACCGACACGCTCGCCAACAGACTCAATATCACACACGCACCACTGTACCAGATGTGTCCTCCCCCCCCACAAGTCTACAGTGACGAGATTAAAAACCCGCACGTGGTTGGATGGAGAGACCAACAGAAAACACCACAGAAAACACACACACATGTGCGTGTGTGTGTGTGTGTGGAGAATGCGGTGGAGTCGTGCTCAAGCCACTATTTTCACCCAAATTCTGCCCAGTTTGTATCCGGAAATATGCCGAAAAACTCTCCTTCAGGGTTCCTGCACATTTTTTCATATTTTCCCGACTAAACATGAAAGAAATTCTTTTCAACAGGAAGTAATGGGGCATATCTTTTTTTTTTCATACAGGTGGTCAGGCTTTAAATGTAAAACCTGCACAAAACCACAGACAGGAATGAAGGATAAAGAAAATGGATGGATGGAAGAATGGTTGGATTTAAAAGCGTCGTAAAAGTTTTGTAAAAAAAGTTTCATCGTAAAAGCTTAATTCGTATTTGCTCATTTCACATGAGCAAATACGAATGAAGACATTTTAAAGAGCCGAATGGATGCTGCCCCATTTCAGTGTGGGCTGTCACAATTAAAGTGGTGGCAGAACTTGCTGATGTTTGTTCACAGCACACTGCAACTCAAGTAAGAGTAGCGCTGCTTCACAGTGGTATAACTCAAGCAAAGGGAAGAAGCAGCGTGCATAGACGTAACTCCTGAAATCGTTTTTTGCTCAAGTAAATGTACCTGAGTGGACGTAACAAGTTGCTGCTCATTGACAGTCTGTGTCAGCCCCACATTTTCCAAACTGCACTGCACAACCAACGAGAAACTGAGCAGCTACACTGGTGAGTCATCAGAAATGAAGTGTTGACTGGTAAAAAAAAATATAATAAAAATAACACTGAACGTTTTCTAAAAATGCATGACTGTGTTATATATAGTCTGACAGACTCTTTTCTTTTTGGCTTCTTAATAAGAGAAGAAGAAGAAGCAGAAGAAGAAGTGTACTTCAGAACAAGCTCTGCAAAGTGTCAACTAGCAATCCGAGATACAAGACAGAGACAAATGAAGGAAACTAAGAACTGACCGGAGGCAGCCTGTGGCGTTGCGGAGGACCTGGGAGGAGTGCAGGTGAAGCTTGCGGTCCTCCTGGGTGTGGGGGGACGTGTCCCAGCCCGAGTGCGGGATGATCACGGCGTTGGTCAGCACGGCCAGGGCGTCCTGGATGATAGGCATCTTCAGGGCGTCGCACGACGACAGGTTCCACAGGACGCCTGCAGAACCAGAGCAGAGATGGAGGAGAACGGAAAACATGCAGAAAGCCGACGACACACCTGGAACATTTGAAAGACCCTGGAGTGAACTTTGACCTGGTGTTCATGTCTACTACCGGTTGAGTATAGAGATCAGTATCAGAGCCATATTGGCATTATTACTTTTCCAATACAACAAACTTTTAACACTTACAATCGCAGATTATGACGACGGCTCAAATCGGGTAAGAATCAGTTTCCCAGTTGGAAACTTTTAATCAGGGGTTCATCAGACAAAAGTCTAGAAATATGGCCTATTAATAATTAGAAAGATGTGAATACAGACAGACATGCAGTTCAGCAATATGCCATCCATATATTATTACTGCAAAGCTTTTATAATTGTTCCTTTTTAAATGGAAGGATGCTCTGTGGAATAAGTGCTTGGAAACTACAACTACGTTTCCGGTGTGTTTATTTTACAGATTTTAGGTACTGACTGGCAACTGGGAAGCAAACTAACGGAGGTACAGGTATCTTACGCTATATTGCGTGGCATGATGCAATGACCAAGACTCTCAAGAGAAAAAAATAACAGAGTCCCAACAGAGAAAAATAGAAAATACTTTGCTTTTCTGTTTTAAATAATAAAAAAAAAAAAAGATATTTTACAATGCTTTAATTGTGCAAATACCATTAGCTTGTTCAAATTGGTATGTATGATAGTGAATATTTGGTTGATATTCGATATTCTAAATCTCATTTGGCCAATAACCAATGCCAATATCAATATTTTTTTTTACTATAGATAATTATTGAAAGTATAAGGTTTTCACTACTGTGGATCAAAATTCTGCCACATCTCCATTAGCTTAGCCTGCTACCAAATGCAAATGATAAAAAGGTACGAAAGAGGTTGAAAATGCAACACTTTTGACTTGCATTATGTTTAATGTCAAATTTATTCAAGGCATTTTCTCTCTCCAAGACAATGACGACACTCGAACAGCGTGCTGTTCTGCAGGCATCATTGTCCCATAAAAACAACAGTTTTTATATCTGTGAGTTATTTTGATGTCCAATATTACATCTTACTGCTAATATTGGCCGATACCGTGCTGATAATATTGTGCACCCTTAGTTAAAACATTGCCCAAGTCTGCTGCTCTGCGTCTTTTTGAATATCCACACATTAAAACACACTTTAACATTATCAGAATGTGACACCCAAAGGAATTACTGAACACCATTTCTGTGTGTGTTCGTTTGAAAGAAAAAGTGAAGACAGTAAATCCACTGAACGGAGAACCGTTGCAGCTCTTCCCATCCCTCCTCTTAATTCTCTCCTGAATTCACCATGTAGCGACCAGCCAACCAAGAAAGTGGAGTTTTTCTCCTGCCTACCAATTACCAATCACCCTTACCGCCATCGGCCGCAAACTGCAAAACACTTTTGACCGGAACGGACAAAAAGGCCTTTTTTCTCTGGAAAATACCTCTCTTGTTGTTTGGAACAAGTAAGCTGAACGTTTTAGAAAAAAAAAAAAAAAAGAACGGTAGTGTGTGGGGAGACAACGAGGGAAATCACCGTATTTTGCTATTAACCACTCTGACTTCCTGAGTGTCATGAATGCAAACGTTGATGCAGGACGTCGTCGCTCTCGTTGACCTTTATCTTACAATCTTTGTATTGGTGTAATTATATGGTTTTTCCTCCGAGTGTCAGCCCGTAGTCATATCTGCAGGCATTGGCCCCGTTCCTTTATGACAGTAATTACAGCCGCGGTGGCGACGCATCCTTTCCGTCTGCGAGCGTTTAACATGTCTGGAGCAAGGCGTCCCGCTCTTCAGGCCTCTTGCTGTTCACCCTCGGTTCAACAGTGCCTGTGTAATTGCAGCTCTTCTTATCTGTAAATAGGATTTTTTTTTTTACTTGTGCGCGTGTGTTCATTTTTTATTTTATTTTTTTAAGTGTGTATTGCATCCAAGCCCCTTAACAAATCAAAGCTGACCCCATCAGCACTTTGAGCTTTTTGTTTTTTAAGGCGGACTGCTTCTGTTTGGGGGTCAAACACATTTGCAAAATGACTTTTGGATTCGTCGTTTAGAGAGTTCAGCTTTTTGTGGCGATCGGGACAAAACGGGTGTTCTGCTTGTTCAGCTAAAGTTTTGTAATTTTTCTTAAGATATTCATTAGCTAAATACTTTTCTTTTTTTTAAAAAAATCTGGTAGCCATAAAATAAATATCTGAACTTGAAGCAGGATTGTTTTTTTCCTGAGGGAATCGTCTTTCTTGGCTGCACAGAAATTCAGGTGACGGTCTTTGCTTGAGTGGTTGGGTGTGTGTGTGTGTGTGTGTGTGCGTGTGCGTGTGCGTGCGTATAATGCAAAAAACGTGGCCCACACGCTCACTCCCTATTAAATGCTTCTATTGTCCTATCCACATGGTTTTTACTCATTAAATGTTTCTTTGTACTTTAATGATGAAACAGAAATCAGACTCCTTGTTTGCACCCACAAATGCGGCAAATCAAGTTGATTCTGAAATATGCATTACATGCAGGACGGCGCCGGACATGTCAGTGTTTGTCCTCAGAAACAGATGCTCTGAACATGGAGGGCTTTGCATATTTTGTTGGTGTCGGCCTGACAATTGCGCATCGCACTCAGTATGTGCAATTATCAAAAAAAATTGTATGTGCCGAGCATCTTTCCTGCAGCATCTATCTGCGAAGTGTGAAGATTGGAGATTTTTCTGCCATCTTTATGAAAAAAATGATTCTGTCCATAATTATGCTGAACATGTTTTTGCTCTCCAAAGCAAGTGTTTTGCACGGTGTAGTTAAAGAAGAGTTTCTGCAGAAGCTCTGCATTGTAGTGTTTGATAGAGTTTTGTTCCGACAAAACCCCTCAGTCGTGCGACTACACGTCTGCTTTGACGACTGGCGGGTCGGCGAGACGATCTCACGGATCTCGCCTTTCGTTCTTTGAAGTTAAAGTTTATAACTTTTTGAATCTTCTCCGGATAGTCTCGCGTGTATTTTCCGGTGTCTGTGTGAGTGCATTTAAAGCGCAGACCGAAAAAACAAAAACAAACGAGAAAAACATCGAATGAGAAAGAAAAATAACAAAATCCCCCTGTGAGCAAACACGACGCTTCCACCGCCGTGTTTTACCAGGGCAGGTAATTACTACGTTTCTTGTAATTGGAAATGCAACGCATGATGTCGTAGCTGCAGCTGCGAAGGCAGAGATTCTCGACTCTCTGGGGAAAATTCAGCTGTTTGCCAGCGTCGCCTCTCGCTGTGCAGAGAATGACATCATCTCCCCGAGGTGAAAGGCAACGGGAATTTAGATGTGATCAGAAACGCGCACAAACTCGCCGACCGTCTCAACGCCGCAAACAGACATCCGGCGAGGGGCGCACACACACACACACACACACACACATAGAGAGCAATGAGTGTCTGACAGATGAATGAGGTTAATTGCCACAGCCTTACATCATGAGTGGCAACAGGAGGCAGCGGGTGTGCCGCTACCGAGAGGGAGAGGAAATGAATATGTCGGCTATCGCTCTGTGTCTCCAGAGCCATTTCCCATTTGATTCACAGTTTGCTTGGAATCGTCGTCCCGCCACGGTTCTCTGTTTGGGCCCCCGCGGCGTTGATGCGTCTTTGGTTCTCCCAGACCGTTCCATGTTTCATCTCTTATTGTTCCGGCTGAAATCGTTTAAGGTGCTTGATGTGAGGCTACAGTTTTCGTCATAGTGAATATTAACGTCTCTCTGGTTACTTTAAGGTAGAGAAACAGAAAAAAAAAGGATCTTTGGAGGCTCAGCAGCAGTGTTTTGTGAACCCTTTACCAAGGCACTATATGTACATTTTAGCTTCATATGCCCGTGACGTGTTGCGTCTGTAAGTGGCCCCAGGATGAGGATTTGACCTTCAGAATGACAGCCGGTCTCCATGACGAATGAGAAAACCCTCCACATGACGAGACACATCTTCGTGCATTGTTGGAGGATGACTTTGTTTTTGTTTGTTTTTGGTTTGGCTTTAAACAAAAAGTAGAAAGTAGAAAATTGTTAGCGGCATTTTGAGTTGTCAGCTCTCATCCTTTTGTCCCAAAATGTTCACAATGTAAATAAACAGCATTACATTAACAGATTTATTTGGTTACAGACATTTAGTATAAATAAAGGGCCATTTAAATTTTTTTTTTGATTTTCTAAAATACAGAACGCTTCTTGTTTCTTAAAGTTTCATCTTTTAATCCGTGATTCCAGGTCTAAACGAAGACATTATACATCTATGTTTCTGTTGACTACCCAACTCGTTTTACTCAGTTTATCCAAGGTTTTTTTTTTTTCCACTCGGGTACTTCCAGCAATGTCAGGTCCAGGCCGCCGCTGCTCTTTCTGCTGTGGGTCGGCCAATCAGAAGACCGCTCAGGCGTGAGATACACTCTCACAGCTGGATCGGCTCCAGAGTGGTGATGGGGTGTCATAAACGGCGCGAGAGGCTATTTTCCTCCGGTATCAGCAAATCATTGTTCAGGAAAAAGGAAAAATAGAAAAAGAAAAAAAATCCCACAATATATATTTAAGTGGAGAAGGGGAGAAATGTAAATCGGTTGACGAGTTCAGAAAAAAGAAATGACGAATAAAAATCGATGATGAGTTCCTAATCTAACAACCAGCAGAACCGCGACGTTTCAGTCGGGGAAGAACGGGCCACTCTGGAGGACGCCTCACGTTGCTACGAGTCCGAAGGTTTAAACCGGTCCTCAACCAGAGAGCCGGTGAAGTAATCAATGGGTCTCCTTTGTATTCAGGGCGGGTTTGTGGAAACTCTCTGCCACGACGTGGACAGCAGGCCCAGTGTTAACCCAACAGGAGGCAATTATCCTGTCCACAGATTTTAGCCTCCAAAACAGAAACAACCTCCACTGAGAAGCGACCTCTGACAACCTCGGCTGGTTTAAGCACAACTACGGACATCCGTCCAGTTTTAGTTTGTACAGACAAATCCTTGCCATCGCTCCCAACACGCTACGTTTGGGTCTCTATAGAGTCTGAGATGTGACTGGTGGGGCTTTCGCAAGTTTTCTCGCATGTCGGACACAAACGTTTTGGCGCTCACCTCCAGACCTTCAAACGGCCAAAACCAGCCTTTGACACGGCAGTCGCGGTTTCTGGTAAACAACTCACCGCGTCAGCGTTAGTAATGCGGGGAGACCTTTAAAAGAAAAAGCCTTGTTGAGTTTTCTTTCAAGCTGGAGGGTTTTTAACAGGTGGAATGTAGTAGGCAAAGTTTCTCTGTTCAATTCAGTCGGAAAACTCGAAGCTTTCAGACGGATTTCACTGGATTCACAAGCAGATTTATTATCTCCTTATTTTAAACAACTAATGACCACTTATAGTAAAAACGATAATTTTCTTCTATACTTGGTCTTCCAAAGAAATCCTAGCTGGATTTATTAGCATTTCAAAGCTTAAAGAAGAAGAGAAGAGTTCAGCTGAAAAGTTTACACACATTTTTCTTTTTGCTATTTATTTTTGCTGGAACTAGTATATAAATGGTACGAAAGCGTACGAGCTCAGAAACAAACTTACTAGTAGCTCAGGAAAAACGTGAAAACGTCCTCGCAATAACGAGACGCAAAACTCGTTAGAGCGAGAAAGGTTGCTCGTTTCGATGAGGTTAAAGAAACTTGTTCTGATGAGACGCACAGCTCATTAGCACCAAAATATCTCCTCTTTTTAATAAGAAAGGTGGTAAATAGCAACAAGTCGGGATTTTTTGATGTTGAAGCAGGGAAAGGAGAGTCGTATCAAGTCTCATTTGAACAAAACGTTCCGGTTCTAAGGAGAAACTCTCGCTTTGTCTTGTCGGAACGAGAACGTTTTCTCGTTTCGATGGGAAACTTTCTCGTTATGACTACATACAAAGACGATCTCGTAACAAGAAACTTTCTGCTTTAATGAGTCTCGCTGTGGCGTCCAGCTGTGACCAGAAACTTCCTCGCTTGGAAGAAATGTTGCCCCTGAATCTGTTCTCAATGCTTCCGTACCGTCGCTAGTTTATATTTTCCTTTTCGTATGTGTGCAGCTGTTGCATTTTGTAAGGTAAGAGATGAAGGGGGAAGATCTTGTCCTTGTCTGGTTTCTGCATTCCACACACCGCTGACTGCAGATCGCATTTATTCTGTGCAAAAATGTTAAACCTGGGCTTAACAAACAGAGAGGATTCTTCAGAATCTGAAGAAGAACTCGTCCAAGAGGCGGGACATTTCAAGTTTAAACATCCACATTGAATATGTATGTAATATTTGCTCTGCACGTTGAAAAATCGGACTTGTTATTCCACCCACACGACTTTTTATTTTTTTTTTTAGAGGAAACCGTAATTACACTGAAGCAAAAGGAGAAGCACTGTTTGTGTGATTACGAGTAGGTCGGTGTGTGTGTAAGCGTGTGGCCATCGAGGCAGGTAGCTGGACTTCCTGCTGTGATTCTGATTCAAAATGCTCACCAGACAAAGAGAAGCGAGCAGACGAGGCTGCTGATACCGAGGAATGGCGAAAGGCAAAAAAAATAAAATAAAAGGACAACGGAGAGACGGGCGGGAAAAAAATTCCCCCAAAATGACAGTTTAAAAAAAATAAAAAATCCAACTGGAGCGAAAGAGAGAGAAGGAATAGAGGAGAGACTTCCTGTGGGTCATTGAAGGAGAGCAAACAGAGCGCTGCGCGTGCGTCCGGTCGGTCATTGAGCTGATTAATTTGTGACGGAGGGGATTTCTGTGCTCCACGCCATGAATTGCAGCTCTAATTTATATGGTAATCTTTAACCCACTCGCTGCATACAAAACACTTTTTATTCACTTTTTTGTTTTTCTTCTTCTCTTTAAAAGACTGACACCCCTCCGAGCCTCGCAAGCACGCTCTGTGGGGACAGGGACGGGAGACGACGTCTCTCACTGTCCTGTTAGCACCGCTTGACTACGTCACACCGGTCGGCGCAATCGATGCGTCACGTGTTTGTCGGCTTGCGTTTCAGGAGGGTTTGCAAGGACACTTGAGTCGAAGATGGAAAATATGTTTGAGTTTGAAAATAAATAGATAAATAAATGAACACCTGCCGGAACTTTTAGATACAGTATTTCAAAATAGTTTTGCTGTCATTTCATACAAAAATGACTAAGTTGAAATAAAAAACAAAAATAAATCCCCAATATTTGCTATCATTTTGTATCGAGTCTCTGACTTATGGGCGGCATTCGCAAAGACAGAGTAAATTTATTGACTTTCTTTTCAGCGGCACAATAAAAACATCTCAAACTACTTACAAAAGCCGTTATTAAGTCTCTGCATTTTACAAAGCGAAGCTCTTTTAGGGCTGTCATTTCTGACTCGCTAAGGATATATATATATATATATTATATATATATATATATTATATATATATATATATATATATATGCACAATGGGTGTAAAATCTAAATGTAGCAACGTGACAGAAACATTAGCAAAGCATTGATTGATGACTCTGTGTTTACATCCCACACTCAGCTGTGAAATTAACGAACCATAAATCCATATTCCATAAGTTGCGTGTGTGCAGTGGCGGTTCTGGAAGCCACAGTAGTGACTGTAGCCTCACGTTTCCTCACAATCTCTCTGTGTGAGCGCGTGCATGCGTGTGTGTGGGAGGATCCTTTTGAGCTCCTTTCAGAGTGAAGCAAGGTGAACCTCGAGTAAATTAAATGTTTGTGTGAGGGATCACTCCCAGTTCAAACGCAAACAAAACCCCCATTACCACCAAGTAAAAAGAGCAGCAGCCGTTTTGTTCCGGTTCACAGTTAACGCTGAGGCGACAGGTGTGTTGTACCTGTGAGCAGCTCCCTGATCTCCAGGTCGGTGGTCTCAGCAGTCAGTCGCAGAGCTGCAGGATCTTGTTGTCGTGTTTTTTTCGTCAGGTTCCTCAGGGCTCCGCAGGCGCTGCGGTGAACATCTGTCATCCGGTGGTCCAACAGGTCCACCAGCAGCTGTATGCCGCCCTGCCGGCGAATCTGCACACGAAGGAAAGAATAAAGAGCTGCACACGCAAAAAACGCCTTTCAGAACGTTTTCCTCATCAAACCTGGGAAATAATATACCAGTAACGAACTTAAAAATAGGGCTGTAACGATACACTAATCTCACGACACAATATGATACGCGATATTCTGTTTACATATGATACATATCGCAATATTCTGCAAACAATACGATTCGATACATTTTTAAGATTTTCTAAAAGATTTTAGAGGGACAGAGGGATTTTGTGACTGTTCTATAGACTCGGATTGACTTAATATAACTGATGGTGTAATATTGGTGTAATAAATGTTTTTGTCATACATTTGTTGTGCATTTGCTTTGTTTAAATGTTAATTTAAACAAAACTTGGCGATGCAGAAAACTAACCTTCTTTCTCCTTTTTACTTATGTTAGAGAATGTAAGTGATCTATTTCACTTCTTTAATGAATTAATTGTAACTGGTTGTTTCACTGCATGTCATTTCTGATGCACGCGTGCAACTGGGCAAAAAAATGTTACATGTGACAGCTGTCATTTCATTCATGTGAATTTGACATAAAGCTCAAGGTAGGATTTAATGAATCTATACTCGCAGATGAAAAATCAATACTTTATGAGAAAAAAATACGTCCTGCAGCTTCATCCGATCCGATACTGGTAATTGTCTTAAATTTTGATTTCTCAAACAGGATTCTGCCTTGCACAGAGAAGTTACACTTTTCTCGCTGCACGACAAAATCATGAGTAACTTTTTTGCCACTGTGTGTGAAATGATGGCTGGAAAAGCAGATGTCTCTGTAGAACGGTGGGCTCAAAGGATAACACTGCTCTTTATGGCTGACAGCTGACGGGCATTTTGATGCTCTGTGATCATTTTGACGCAAACCAAAAGTGAAAAGCGGCACACACGACGCGGGGAGAATCTGTTCTCCAGCGGCTAAACATGTCAGATTCAGTGGCGCCTCCGAACAATAAATTCTGTGTGGTAAAACACGCAAGAAAAGTAAAATACATAGCAGACACATCAACGTGCAACGGCTAATGATTTTGGTTTGAGCCGGACTCTGTGTTTGTGCCGGGGAGTTACGGTCATTCAGAGACGCACGAGCCAGATGGAGCGCCCATCCAACGGAGACTAAGCGCCTCGCCTTCAGGCAATGCGCTAAATAACTATTTTATGCATTTGCACGTCTCTGTGTTACAGACAACGGCAGGACAACAGTAAAGTAAATTGGCAGTCGTCAGACTTACCACCTGCCGTTACAGTATCTCGTGAAGTTGCGTGGTCGCACAGGAATCATTTAAATTTAAGCAGTGTGATAAATATAACAGCGGCCAGGATGTTAGCAGCTTCAGCTCGATAAGACAATACAATTAGTAAACTCTGTCTATGCCTGACTTTTCTTTTTTTGTCACGTCTTAAGATTTTTTTTGTTTCTCTTTTGGATGGATCAACACAAAGTGAAAAATGTTTGTGAAGAGGAATGAAGCCAATACATGTTTTATACATTTTTTTTTTTTTACAAATAAAAATCTGAGAAGTTTGAGTGAATTTGTATTCGTTCAGATCGTGATTCACCGCCTTTTCCTGTAATTGTAGCCACGACTTTGTGTTGTTTTTTTTCCCTGCCTTTTGAGATAAAATAATATTTGAAATGAACATCTCGAGACAGATCTTTCCACATTCTCAATTGCAGAACAGCTCAAACTCAGACACATTGCACGGTGGAAGCCTGTGAGCGACGCTTCGCCGCAGATTCTGTCTGTATCGGACTTTGACTGGGCCGTGCGCACAAATGTTTTTCACGCCATGTAAGCGGCTTTCCTCCCCGGGGGTCCTGTACTTAGGATCCAGGTTCGGCCTCCGAGCTGACAGGAGCCACGTCGACATATTTGGGAGAGCGACCAACTATTTGTCAGGATAAATAAGAACAAGATGAGTTTCCATGGCTTGCGATTTTAAGACTTTCAGCTGCATTGTTCACATGTTTAGATTGAAAGTTATTGTTTTATTCAACCAGGCAGCGTTGACACAGCTGTCTTCCAGAAGATAATAAAACAAAGACGGCCGATAACCTCTGTTGATTTTACGCACATTTGAACAAAAACAGAAAAATCAAAGACTGACTATGGTATCAATTTTTTTTTTTCTAAACTTGGACTTTAAGGTTGGAAGACCTCCTTGCCATCACCCTAATCTCCAGCTCCCTTGACCTTCAGAATGTAGTTTCAGACTTCGCATCATGATTCAGTTTGATGGTCTTGGTTTAGGAGTCCATCGGATTAATCTTTATGCTAATTAAATGACTTCTGAAGACAAATGGTGGCACTTAACTTTAATAAGTGGTATTATAAAAAAAAAAAAAAGATCCGGAGGACCTTTTCTTATTCTGCTTAGCAACCCAGAAGAGGAACATTTAGTTTATAACTTCACTCAACCCAGAGCAGGAATAAAGGAATAAGAACAAACTTAGATCCCAGAGACTCTCCTATTTGTTTATCTAGAGAAACTACTCATTACATCAACACCTACTTTATAGAATCAAAGCTGAAGAACCAGGAGTTGGTTTTAGTTTCATCAGATCAAGAATCCAGAGAAACTCCCACTAGTTTATAAATTTGTATTCTTATTAAACCAGGGGAACCAATACGTAGTTCCATACTTTTACCTTTCTGTAAACTTTTCATGCTTCCATTCTTCTCTCGTTTTGTTTGCATGTCCTCTAATTCATTGTGAAGCACTTTGAACAGCCTTGTTGCTGAAAATGTGCTACATAAATAAAATCACCTTCCTCAAATTGGAATTCGAAAACAATGGCACACTTAAAAGTTAAGCATAATTTACAAGCAATTGAAGACCATGTCATTTTACTTCCCCTTAACGAAAACTCACTAAAATAAATTTGTTGCCACAAAAACGGACGTGTGCGATGCAGCGCAGCCAAATGTGTAACAGGTGAGCCTATGGGGTATAATTACTACATGTGGTCTTTTAAATTGGAATATTTCAGCATTTATGTCAAGAATCCACACAAACATATCTGAGGCCGCTCGGCTCTGGGAACTCGTTGACAACGGGCTTATTGATTCCTGTTTATTTGGATTACATTTAATCAGTGAGGCCATTTTGAAGAAACCATAGTCAGGCAACACAATTCTCCAAACAGAAACGTATGCCTATAAAGTGTCCCCCCGTTGTGTGTTTTCTCTGTGCTTTTTGTTTTGACACTAACAGAAAGTGCAGACTGAGGAATAATGAAAGCGCAGCATATTTTATTTGATTTATTCTTTTCCCTCCCCGCAGGCCTCCAGATCATTATCCATCTTCCTGTTTCAGCTCCGTCGCGAACGCAGGCAGCAGAGGCAGATCCACGACTGACGCAGAGGAAAACGGGTTTTCAAAGAGACGCCCGAGTTCAGGCAGGCATGGCTTTGAAAAATAAAAATAAAAAGACTTCGGCGATGGTATTGGACAATTTGATGAAGGTATGGTAAAGGTAATTTTATCTATGCAGCACATTTTCAGCAACAAGGCAATACAAAGTGCTTTACAGGAATTAAAAGGAAATACAAACCAAAGGAAAGAGCAAAAGAAGAAAAAGCTAATGATGTCGATTGATCCAAAGTAAATAAACCAGACACTCCTATTCAGGGTTGGTAGAGAAGTATAAGTAAGTAAGTTTCCCCTGGACTTTCTAAGAGTGCTCTAAATTTGTAAAAGTGAATTTGTGGTGATTGAAAGGTGAAGTGAGTGAAACCAGGCAAAGTTTTCTCCTGTGGTGATGCTGATGTTCTCACTGCATTTTGAAATTGGATTCTGGCTGTGCATACGCATTTTTGGGGAAAATTGTGGATTTCAATTGGATTGTCGTACGCTCAAATGTTTTGCTTAAGTTGGAAGGCCTCCTTGACATCACCCTAATCTTTATCTCCCTCCAGAAGTGCTGCATCAGGTTCAGGTCAGAACTCAGGCTCTGGACTGTCACTGTTACTTCACAGCTGGCTTGATTAAAACATCTAAACCAACCAGGACTGTGATTTCCCAATGAGCTCCAAAGATCGCAGATGAATTTGATCGCAACTTAGAAGACGCTAAAGGTACGGTAGCTCAAAAAACATCTCCTCCTAAGACAGAGTGTTCCTGAGCTGTTCCCCCGTTCAGAGTTCAGTACCTCAGATTTGATCTTGTTGTCCCCGAAGCAGAGGTGCTGGAGGTAGGCTGCAGCGTTGGACTGGACCGACGGGAACTGATGCTGCAGCATCTGGATCACTTCCGGCAGCTCTGGATCCCTCCAGCCAAACTCCCTGCAGACACACACACACAGACGCACGCACACAACACAAATGCTACATGTTACCAAGCAGTTGAGTTTTTGTACCGTGATCCTATTAAAACACACATGAGAAAACGGGGATAAATGGAAAAAAGTGGGCCACAAACGCAGGCTGGAGATGAACTGAAAACAAGAAGGAAAAGAAAATACGAGATGCGGTTAAAACAACACTTCAAACTGGCAACGTGCCAACAGCTTGAGAGTCTGTGTTTCGTTTTATTTAACCGTCACCACACAACAGCTGCCCTGTGAAGCGGCATTGATAACTTTGTCATGATGTAAATCGTTTCTGCGATGTCTGTGCAACCCCAGGACTCCAGCGGCAGCGAATGTATGGCAACATTTCAGGAAGGTATAAATAAGACTGTATATGGTTTTTCACTGGGCATGTACATATTTAGGCCCTATTTTGAATATGCTTTCCATTAACACAGTAGAACATACAGAAATAGGAACAAACAGTTAAAATACCAAGTTTGTGTGATTGTGGGATTGTGGAAGAGCAAAAATGATGTCAAGCACTTCAGAAATGGAATGAATGAAGGTGTGGTGAGACTTTGTGGTAGATATTTGCTATTGTTAAATGCCATCATATTATATATGTAAATATAAATATGTATATATCTGAATATTTTTGATATCGACCGGTGAATTTTAGCTCTCATTTTTATAATTATCCTGCCTTGCATCCGTGTTTGGACCAGCAGACATCTTGTGAAATATGACTAACAACGAGTATAACTAGGCAAATTTCTGCAAGTAGATATGACTTATTGAATCAAAATTGAACCACATTTAGATACAGAACAGAAAATACATGATTAGTTTCTCAGGTGCAAAACGTGCCTTTAATATCCTGTTATAGACGGCACCAAGTGGAGCAAAAAACAACCAAGACTACTAAGATATGAGGATTTTAAAAAGGGCCAAACTCCCTGCCAGCTCCAAAGCAGTAAGAACTCACAATTGTTTTGCAGAAGAGAATAAAGATTAGAGCTTCAGCCAGTGTGGGGTCTTCCTCCCGTTGAGATGTTTGGCCCCGACTTCAAAATGCCCCAGCTGCTCCAGTTTCAGCACCTTAGCAGGGGTCTACAGTGACGCACCCTCTGGGTTGTTCTTCTGGCATTAAGACACGCCGAGATACGAGCATTATCTCTCACCATACGCATGTGTGAGCTTTTGTGCATGGGCGGGGGGACCTCTTTCCATGCAGGAAAGAGGTCTGGGTGGGAGACGAAAGTTCACCAATAAAGATCATCCGTGAGACCGACCAAACCTGCTGCCGAAGCGGTGAAAAGTTTCATTCCCATACTCGGGTCTCCCGACTCCCGATGCGACCTGGGTGCTGATTCAGCAGCACAATTGTTTCACCACGCTCTGCTACGTTTGAGCATTCTAAACGTGCGTCGACTCCGTTCCATCCGAGCTTCCTCTCGCTTTGATTTAAATCTCTCTGACAGCGCAGGAGGAGAAGTTTGGGCTCGGCACAGACACTCCATTTGCCCGGTTCTCGTGTGGAACTCGTTTCTCTTTGATGTCTCTTATTCTGGATGCAAAAAACAGCCTAACATCCCCATGGAGATGATTTCTGTTGGGCCTAATCTAAAATAAACACATGGACACGCTCTCTCACACACACACACCCACGCGCACACACACACACACACACACCCACACACACACACACACACACACACACACACACACACACGCATTCACACGTTCGCACAGTGCCGTAGGTCAGCGTGCCGCTTTGAGAAGTATTAGCCATCACCCACACACACACACACATGCACACCCACAGACATAGTTCTGTGTCCTACTATAGGAGCCAACAAACACTTGTTGGCTTTGCACACACAGTCAGCCATCAAAGGGTGAACAAAGGAGTCCGGATTAGAAAGCTTTTGTCTCTAAGTTTTATAATAGCTCATGTTATAAACCCAGTGCTTGGGAAAAAAAAAACTGAATAGAATAATTTCAAAGCTTATTTCCTCCTCCTCTCTCTCTTTTTTTTTTAAACAATTCTCTATTTTTGAAAATCTCTTGTCTCAACGCCTTCCATTCATCACCGGCTCGCCTCAAGGCGCGTTCCCACATCAACATCCGCCGCCGTTTACTGCTCTGCGCAGGCACAGAAGCATTGTGGCCCAACGGGACGTTATTAAAGATGACATACCCCCGTGTAGGTCATCTCTCGGGTTAACAAGCTGATAAGGCATCTGATGCTTCGCCCGAGCGAGCTGATGCGAGTTTATCTACGTGTTTGCGTCTATTTTTGGCTGTGTGCTCACAAGAAAGCTGAAAACCAGTCGCAAACCGGGGCGTCTGTGGCACACGTTGTTCGTGACGGCTTGTTTTTAGATGACGCTAGCCCAGGCGGCTAATTAGCCGTTAGATCACTTGATTAAAATGGAAAACGCAGAACGTGGCTATGTACTGCTACAACCTTAAATCAGAATGACTTTTTTCCCCTCTGAGCCAAATTATGATGAAATTGATTTTCTTTTTCTTTTGGCTTTCTTCAAATATTCAAGTATTTTCCAAACGGATGCTGATGTCCTGGCTTAGCAAGCTTTGAACTGAGGATGTATTTTAAGGCTTCCTTGTGTGGCATCAGGGAAATAACTCAATCGGCAAAAATATCAGGAAGAAAGTCGTTGACCTCCACAGATATAGTTCACCATCAGGTCCGATTTCCAGATGTTTCTGATCCAGTAACTGTTCAACTCTACTGTGTGAATCTGTTGCACGTTTAAAACCATGTGAGGCTTTTTGGTTTATTGACTTTGGATGGCATTTGAATCTGTATACTGGTACACAAAATCTTTACCAGCATAAGCAGAAACTAAAGGCATTTTCCATCCAGTAGTATTTGGATTAAAACCTTATTTATGATCTGCCCAAAAAGATTAATTGGTTAAATTAGATTTTGTGCATCATCCTCAACATGGTATTTCCTTCAGATTCAAATGAGCAACTAGTTTACGGCTGGACAGACACAACACTGTCTGCAAAAACACAAACTCTTACCAAGTCATTTTGGTCTAGTTTTTAGTGCAAATGAAATAGTACAGTTGAAATGAGACAAAACTACTTTTTTTTAGTTAGTTATAGGAACTTGATTTAGGGCAATAATTCCTTATTGATGAAAAGGTACTTGTTCCACTGGCAGATGATTTCACTTATAACTGGACATTTTCCCCATGGTATAAGTTTAGTCTGCATTATTTCAAGTGTGATAAGATATTTGCACTCAAAACTGGACCAAGTTCAAGCACATTTCACAAAATTTGTATTAATTGAGAAAATATTTGCATCACTTCAGAAAGGATAGGGTTATGGTTAGACTCTCCCTGATTCCCTTCTGAGTGGATTGACAATCTTCTCAATCACCTCTGTGTCTATGCACCTTTTTTCTTCCACTGAACTTCCTACAAATACACAACTCTTTCCAAACAGCTTTTTAAGCAACGCCCTCCCTCATCTTACAGCCAGTGAAACGGCTGTCCTCTGGTCGTCTGTCCAGTCAGCCGTCTGACCCAGACAGAGACACTTTCGAGGGTCATGGAAACCTTTACATGGGTCTTGAGTTAACTCGCTGATCAGGGTATGACAACACGTGATCCCAAAATGTCACATTTTCAACAATAATCACTGGATTCTTGGTTCCCGTTTTTAGTCACCAAAGAAATAAAAAGCCTACAGCATGTCCCTCACGTCTGGTTTTCCTCCCATCCCTCCACATGTGACCCGCAAAATGATTCCGACAGCATCGACATGTCCTGCGGACATGAAGGTGGATGTGCAGAAGATTGAAGCTTTGCTTTACTGTACAGCAAATTTACAGTGACAGACAGTCCCATTATAACAAAAAAAAATAATAAAAGACAGCTGAAGACGGATTACTTGTCAAGGCTGTTGGCAGCGCAGAAAATGGGTCTGTTCTGGAACACCAGGCTTTAATGGGGTGTGTTTGTACCGTTGGGCTCCTGCCCGGGGCTCCTGCCCGGGGCCCCTCATCGCACCTAAGTAAGCAGTGATGATGTGAGCTGAGCTTCAATGTTTGATTAAGAACCCTTTAATTTCCATTTCAACATTGTTCATATGGCAAACATTCAGCAATTCAATGTTCTTTAAACAGAAATTACAATATAATACCATAAATAAACAAAAAATAAAACCATTCCATAGCAGAGGTAAGATAAAGAGAAGTTATGAAAAGTTGCAGTCCAGACTCAAACTAATAATGTTCCAATTATTGGTAACTAAAGGCAAGTCGAATGTGTTTTTTCTCTTGATTTACAGGAACTCAACGTGTCTGCATTTTTGCACTTTTCTGAACATTTGTTCCATATTAGAGCGGATTAGATGCATCTGAACAGGGGCGCAAATTATTTTTTAGGTGTTTAAAGGCAAATACAAACTCTGTGGGCATCGTTTTACTTGAGGTGACAACAACAAAGAGGTGGTGTCAGATCAGGACATTTTCTTCTACATACTCAAGTGTAGAACTCAAAGTTCACTGAGGGCCCTCCTACTGAGCCGTTTATATATATGTATAATAGTTGTCAGAAACTACACAGTGAAAAAGGTTTTGTACAGACTGTGCATCAAGAGTAAGAGCTCCCTAACTTTGAATGTCTTTGAATGTTGAATGTCAGAGTTCAGTTATAGTTAGAAAATTACCAAAAGAAAGCGGACTGGTAATGAAAAAAGGCACAGCTTCCAGGGATTATTTGAGCCTACAAACCTCTGGTTATGGTTCGTAGTTCTTGGATGACACCCGTGTCTTACAGTTTTCAAAGAATCCCAAAGCCTCAGGCTTCAGGGTTGATAAAATCAAAGTTTACTAATTCTGCAGTCACACTAATAGTTAGAAAAGTGTTTCCTGATCTCATGTTTATGTCACTGGATGTAAAGTCTATTTAAGGACAGGTTCAGTGTTTCACCAGCGATTGCTCTATAATAGTCTTATTACGATGATAATAATAATCATAAAAATCAAAGTCAGGAGCTGAAATTAAAACTAGCCAGCCACATGAGCACAGCCAACACAGGCCACCTGAATAGACAATGAAGACACAATGAGAGACGAAACCAACCAGCAGACAAACGGATGGCGGGATGAATGGGTAGACGGCAAGCCAAAGGAGAGAATGAGGACTGCTCAGTCGCCAAAAACAACACAAAGCAAACAGACAAATACAAAAATAAAAAAACACAAACAACTAAAATATAGGAACTGGCTGGATTATGTCTGCAAACTGACAGCGCAGCCTGATTCACTTGGATGTTGTTTTGTTTTCCAATCTAATTTCAAATCCAGTTAATTCTGGCTCCCAGTTCAACCAGCCACTAAATAGGTGACAGGAACAAATGTGAAATGTTGCCATGCTACCGTTAACATTTGCATCAGATATTAGTGCCATGTGGAGATGATGGAGAGATTCGGTGGATGAGACAAGAGGTCAGATAGACAAAAATGTACATTACGTAAGAATAAATAGTTGGATTACTTTGTCATTCTTTGCTCGGCTTGATTTTGATTCCACACAAGGAATTCGGGGTCGTACCTATCGAGGGGGGACAGGCAGAGAGAAACAAGAGAGTTGTAGACGTTCGGTGTCTTGCAAGAAGTTGTTCAGGTAATTGTCAAAAAAATGATGATGATTAGTAAATAGATATCAAGACGCAATCGCTAGACTCTTTCATCTTTCTCTCTCAACATTTAGTTATCAGGCAATGGGGGTGGAGGAGGTCCGGGTGGAGGGCATGCATGCTGGGTGAGTGGAGGGAAGATGGTGAGCATGACAGGCAAAGAGAGGGTCGGTCTTGGGGATAAAAACAGCTTGTTTTCATTTTTCTACACCTATAGAGTTAACTTGTGTCTACTTGAGGTTTTGTTCGGTTATCAGGTGAATAATGGTCTGGAAAACAAACATCATCGTTCATTTGAGGACGTGGTTTGTTCTGGAGTTTAAAGCGATCGTGAATCGAATCAGAGTTGCCATGTAATGAGTAAAAAAAGACGGCCTTTGCACGTTTTGTGAATACCGTTTTCGCATTAATCGCTTAAGACTAGAATTAAGAAATTATTTTTAAGAATTACCGGATGGCCACTTCAGCAATGCCCTTATCATAAGCGTGTTTATATATGATGAAGTCTTTTCCTTGAGAGTTAATTTTCCCGGCCCACACGTTTAGAGATCACAAGCGGTAACGATGTAAGACCTGACATCTTGGTTAACCTGATACTTCTGATTATTCCAAACTTTTCTTTTTGTCAGTAAGTCCCACCCAAAAAAGGAAAATGATAATGTCTCCAAATGATAAACTGTAGCTGTAGCTGCTGTTTTCTAGATGGTTGAACGACTCAATGTGGGAAAACATGAGGATTCAGATGAGAGTTTAACAAATCAGTTTAGGTTTTATGAAATCTTAGATTTTATGAAGTCTTGAGCTCTTGTGATTGATGTATTTTATAACACAAAATGTTTGTAAACTGGATTTAAATATGAATCGGAATTTGAAAAAGTAGGAATATTCTGTTGAAGAATGTTTTAATCCCAATTTGCTAGATCCACACAAGCAGTTCACCTAAACACATATTTCCCTACAATTCGTTTATGGTTGTATCTGATAGGACACAACAAACCCAAGGGGTACAGATATTACTTTCACACAGAGCAGAGTACTGTGGCGCTAGGTGATGTTAGCGTACGTCCTCTGTTTCGATACGACCTTGTTGTAAATTTGGCTTTGCAACAGAATTCAACGTAGTTGCACAAAAACTTACAGAAACGCATCACAAAATTCAATTCCCAATATTTGTGCACAGTGAGAAGAGTCGTCACGCAGACCGCGAGGAGGCTGCAGCGGCCAATACAAGCTCTGCTATACTATGAACTTCCTTGTTAAGGAACCCAAGATTAGCAACAAAGCACACCCATTAGGGAAACACTACTGTACGCATGTGTGCTGCATTTTAAAAAAACATCACTATTACTAGTGATTTTTTGAAGCCCAGGATTGGATCTAGATATCTTGAATTGTGCGCTGGCGCTACATAGATGGACTAAGTTGAACTGAATTAAAGTGAAGTAATGGGATTTGTTGACAGAGAGATGCAGATGTATTATTGAGCAAGTTAATGTTACCACAGATCACTCTTGTTTATTTTATGAGTGTATTCTTGGAGAGGCGGGGGGGACCCTCACGTTAATGGAGGAGCTAGGCATGGTTAGCGCTGATGCTGAGCGCGCGTGTCATGTACATTAAGGAAAGATGCTATGGGCTGGCAGGTCTGCTCATTCCACGAAGCAGGGCAGATGTGTTGAGGGCACAAAACAAATGATGCCGGAGCAAAAGAGTGAGCAAACAGACACGGCGGGTGCAGTGTGCACAGAGAAATAACCACTTGGAAGATGGGTGAAGAAAAGAGCAATGAAAACTGCAGGAACAGTTTTGAGAAGTAAAAGTTACACATTTCATTTTTTTTTTTTTTTAACTGTTTCTGGAACAGCACAACACTTTGATGGCGCAAAACATGAGCTGAAAAGCCAAAGTGAGAGACTTCAGACTGTTTCTGTTGTTTCCATCAGCTGGTAAAGAGAAGGAAAATAAATAATCTAAGACACATTCAGATTCTAGTTTTAGTGCCTGAATATTGCTTAAGAGGGAAGAAACAGCCTTTAACACAGCTAGTAAGCTCGCTGTCTTTTATGCGCATCTCTCTTGCTGGTCCTTTTTTTTTTTTTTTTTAATCTCAGCACGCCTCCACCGCGCTCTCAAGCAGAGCTCTGCTTCTGTAGAAGCAGATTTTGCTGCAGGCTTTTCCACCTCAAGCGTTTCTCCCAGACGCACCGGATGTAGCCGACCGATGCCGACGGAGAGGAATGTCACACCTAACCGTGATGGTGAGGTTTAAAACAGGCTCTAGAGGTGCTGCGCAGGCATTCAAACAGCTGAGTGAGGGAGCTTTAACACCGGTCAAACCGGAGGGGACGGTGGAAGATGTGGCATGACGTGCACCTCGTACTAAAGCCCAGATTCAGCCAACCTTTTGTCTACCAAAGCCTTCAAAACCCCGACAGTCAATTGCCCGCTGCCGCAGACTTTTGGAGCAGCACTCGTCTTTGGCACTCATTTGTTGTTCACTTCTAGATGCTGTTGGTGTCAATATTTCTCTTCAATGCTCGAAACAAAAAAAAATAAACAAAACAAAAAAGATTTCTTTGGTGAATCTGGCCCTCAGTAAGTTTTGTGAAAGTGGAGAGGAAGCACAGTAAAGAGCTTCATCAACAAGTCAGAGCAATTTTTCTTTTGTCCTCACCTTGGGTCCTTTTGGATGCTGTCCACCGACGGAGACCTGCCCAGAGCAGGTTCAGGGGGAAGGGCCGGGCCCGATTTGCTGTAGGGGGACTCGGTGGAGGGACAGAACTGCAGAGTGCGGTACGGATTGGCGTAGTCGGCCGCCCCGCCTCCCGTGGCGAAGCTGCCTCTCTGGAAGGTGCCGGCGGCGCTCTGGCTTCCCGTTCGCTGCAAGGGGATTGGATCAACACCAGGGGAGGACGGGGCTAGAGCGGGAAGAGGAGCGTAAGGATGAAACAGATAGTTGAGGACCTCTTGGTACAGCTGGTTCACCACTGGGGGGGGTTGAGGTAGGCGGGGAGGGGGTTTGTGTCAGCAGGGAAAGGGGGAAGGAGAAGCAAAGCACAGGCAAACACGAGCCACCCGCCAAACCCGAGGATCCACGCACGGGAGGCAGGAGCAGCAGAGAGCAACGACACCGGAGGGAAAAGTAAAACAAAAGCACACGTCATGAGACAAATACAGACAACTTCAGCTGGACAAGTGGGACATCAGATGAAAGTATTTATTTGAAAAGTGTACGAGTTGTTAGTGAGACCAGCATAAAAACATGAAAAACGTGACGATTACTGTGACGTATTGTTCTACGTCAGCCGCACTGCGTTAGTTTATGGCTGTACGAATCATAAAGTGAAAGGAGCATGAATATGTTCTCAAAATGATTTCCGTCCCTTTGTGGACTTTTGAACTGTTTTTATTTATTTATTTTTTTGCAAAGCTAAATTTACTTCCCCTTAAAATTTATACAAATAAAAATCATTTAAACATCACATTGACATATACATAAAACTAGTTTCTTATTTGCCCATAAACTTTCAGTGAAGCTTCATACTTTTCTTTACTTCTAGTGTGTTGTGATGCTAACGCTAGCTGGATCACACAAACTAAATGTGGCTCCATTCTAACAATCAATAACATTTATGAGTTTTGGGAAATGCATCGAGGACCCTCCTGTGAAATTTAGTACTCAGATTCTCACAAAGCTTCTGACATGTCAGGGTGCTATTTGTTTTGTTTTTGTTAGGGTTAAGTTCTGCTGAATGCATTTGGTTTACCATGGGAAGCAAGCTTTTAGAAACTAATGTCACTTTGTTGTAAAGATGCTGATGAAATAAAAAAACTGTAGCTCAAGATCGTAAAACAGTCCAGGAGAGACCTGGGTCATGTAATTGATGCCGTCTCTGTGGGAGTCCAGTTGGGTCATCTTTCGTATACATAGCCAGATAACTACAGGACCCCCTGCAGAGCCTGGTGATGGGCCGCCTGCTTGTTTCCGACTCCTTTACGAGCCGAACCACCTCACCGGTCTGAATCTCACTCATAAGTGTGGAATCGGGACGTCACCTTCTTCTTATTTCTAAACTCCTTGGTTTATTCTCCTGGTACTATCAGCATCAAAATCCTTTCAGTCCACAGTGGTGGATCGGTCGAGTGAGCCGACTCTCTATGGGATGGAAATTGGGCTCCTAATGAACTGGAGCGTGCTCATTTCATTCTCTTCCTGCGCATTACTTCTGTCGGCTGCGACGTTCACCCGACCGGGCGACTAGATCCGTGGCGCCGCTCCAACAACGTTTCGCCGCACGCTTGATTTATGTTGATTGCGAGGCGCCTGATCTGACGCCCGAGGGATTAATTGAGATTAATTTTCTTCTTTGAGACTAATCAGTTAACAGACTGTGACTGGAAGACAAATTGCCACCGAGACTCCGATTGGATTTGCCTACCTGGTCTGGTTAAAAGCACTTCCGTCATCAGACGGAAAGAAGAGGATCTCCTACGTATATTAACCCGGGCTGGAACATGACATCATTAAAACGCTGGTCGACGGGAATCAAGCTGTGCCTGTTTCTGCTCTTTTCATGCTGTGTCTGTTTGATCCGGCACTTTATTCAAGGTATCGTGTGGCGGCGTCTTTTACGGGCTGATTTCGGGATGTAATTGGTTCAGTGGACAGGAACACTCCGCAGGTGTTTAGCGCTCCTTCCTGTTGTCTTCCTGGCCTCATTACCTTGCAAGTTCTGCAGCAAACTCCTCGCATTTCGCTTCGTGCGCCCTAAGGGAGCTTTTCTGAATATTCTGTAAAGTTGCAACTAATGACTGATAAGTTATTGACAAAACGGGGCTGGATGAATATAATTTAGGACGCGAGCCGGTTCAGATTGGTTTAATTTAGGCCTCTTAATAAACCCCAGCAGTAAACTCTGCTTAATGTTCCCTCTGAAAACACCTCAGCTTTTTTTTATATTGAAAATAAATTGGAGTTTAATTAAATAATCTACAAGTCCAGTAACATTTTCATTTGAGTCTATGGAACAAGCCAAGAAAATAAAGGTGCCAATGAAGGTGTACTCTGCCTGCCTCTGTTTATTTCTCACTGCAGCCATTTTTACACTCTGAATTTTGCTTCTGGATCGTTGTGAAACAGTCCTGATGCCATCCCTGCGTATCGTTTCAGTGCAGCTCCGTTTCACCTCTGGCTCTCTATCTCCTGTTTGATGTGTTGACTCTCTGCTTAGCCTCCATCTGTCAAACCTCCTCTCTCCACCCTCCCCTCCTCTCCTGTCTTGTGGGATTTTGCTTAATAGACCTCAGCACTTATAGACATCCCCCTCTGTGCCCTAAACACACAACCTCTGTCAATATATGTCCGCTCACCTTGTCCTCTAAGGTTGGGCTTGGTGTAGACTCTGTCCTCGTAGATGGGATCAATGTGGTGCTCAGGGGACTGGAGGGGCCGCAGTTCGGAGCCCAGGTGACTGTGCTGGCTGCTGTACGAACCCCTGGAGCCTGGAGGACACAACGTGATTGACTTTAAACAAACACGTCTCTGTTGTGTGGAAATATTGTTGAGTATTGTCACCAAATAGCGTGTTGCGTTAAAAGCCATGTTAGTCATGCCAACGAAGAAGATGGATGACGTAAAAGAATCTTTGTTTGACTTCATATTTTTTTTTGACAATTTCTGTAAAGATTGCGAACAGATGGACGGCCGAACATGTCTCCATCTGCTCCAATCTGGGAAAATGTCAAAGAGTACAGGCCCCAAACGACTGAAGGCGACTGAATGTGCTAGTAGCCGTGCTTAGAACAGGGGGGATTTTCCTCAGTGTTAGGTTCTGGTGCTGCAAAAATAATAATAATGTATTTTAAGGATTTTTACACATTGAAAAGTTGAGAAAGATGAAAGCCTGAAATGTCTTTTGAGAAAAAAAAAACATACAACAAAATTATCTGGAGAATAGGTAACATATCTCATCCACGTCTTTTTTTATACATCTAATGGATTCTGAATAAAATATGAAGCCGGTTATATCAGACATTAGGTGGCATGTGTTTTCTATCATAACTCTGTCCCCAAGCTGCTGAACATTAATCACACATGAACGGACATCGGGCTCATGTCACATTAACTAGCATCCACAAAAATTAAAGAAAGCCCTTAAGAGAACCCACGAATCTGACGAGATCGCTGGTGAAAAGGGACGAAACAGAAGCGGAGTTCGCAGCAGACGAGGGACACGGAAGCCACAAAAAAAACACAAAAGAAGAAAAAAAGAAAAGGAAAAACTAATGAAATGACGAGTTGTGGACGTTTCACGTGACGTGACAAACACGCACACTGGAAGAGTAATAATAAAATTGCCTTGACCTCTACCTGCCAGGCTCCCAGGCCTTTGCAGGGTTGCGTTGGCGTAAAGCTCGTGGGAGATCTTGTAGCTGTCCGCGCCGATGTGATGCAGCATGCGCTTGGTGGGCGACAGGGTGGCGTAGCTTCCCACGGCCGAGCTGAGCTGGTGGATGGGCGATGAGGTGTGGTTCCCACCGGGGGAGGTGGCCATGGGGAGCGGGGAGGAGGAACCGGCCGCCATATTGATGGGCGATGAAGTGCTGCAGGGAAGGGAGGAGAAGGTGTGTTTCGGCATTTCACAACAGCAGGTCTGAACAAAAACGTCGTCTTCTTCATCGTTTACTCAAAAAGACGGCGTAACAAAGGAGCCTGGGGAAATCGGCTAATTTTCAGCTAAATTGGCCAGGCACAGACAGAAGATTTTCAAAATCACAAAACACGCCAAACTAACTGCGAGCAGGCTGAGTTAGCAACACTCTTCATTGTGGAAGCAGTAACTAAACGAAGCTAAAGGAAGTAGTTCGGTATTGTACCTGTCTTACCTATTTTCAGTTTAATTGAAGCGTTTTATGTGCAGAGGAAGCACAAAGATGTAATTCTGTCAAAATTAATCACAAGATTTGTGAGTTTTTAGCAAATATTTACTCCTTTTTCTCTATCTACAAACACCCGAATGCACCGTCATAAAAATCCCTTTCATGTTTTGGACGGACGATAAATATATTCCTTGATTTGACGTTGTTTTGGCCCGACACTACTTTTCAGTCTACAATTTTTGGCTACATTGCAAAACGTTTGAAGCCCCTGGTCTGAAAAGTGCATTTTTGTAATGTACTTATACTGATAGATCAGAATCAGACGATGCAGGCATTGGTAGGTCAAACCTTCGTATTGAAGACCAGAATGAAGTCATAAGATCCTGATTGTTGAACTAGTTTGGACCAAATGTACAGAAGGACTCAGATTTTATATAGTATATTTCAATAAAAACATTTAATTATTTTAACTGTTTAAATCATTTTAAAATGTCAATATTTCTGGGGCCTCTGCAGGCTGGTGACGACAACTGAAAGAGGCGGGCTGCACCTTTAACGCTTCTGTCTGTTTCAGAAGAGCCAATAACCCGGAAATAAAAATTTGAATCCGCCACAATGTTAAAAGAGTTTTGAAGCGTATTTTAAACTCCTTCACATCGGTCCGGCTGACGGCTCTCTTGTTTGGGCCGCGTTTCCACACAATTACCTTTGTGCAGAACGTGGAAACATGTTATTTAACAGCAAACTCATCTGCACAGATGGTGGTGGTGGATTTTAGTGTTGGAAAAGCAAATCACAAGACACAAAGCTGTCTGTGTGTCATTTTCTTTCGCTTTTATTCCCTCGACAAAATTAAACTACAGAATGAGACTTGCTGCTATCAAGGTACACCGTAAAAAAAAAAAAAAAAAAACAACAGTAAAATACGTATTCATACTGTTCATTTTGTGCAGCCACAGCTGCTGGTACTTTAATGTAAAAGTAGCGACTTTTTTTTTAACAGTGTATACCAAATTTAGAAGTTATTGTTCTAAAACTACTGGAAAATTTTGATAGCCAAAGAAAAATCCCTCGACAACGACAGGAGACGCCGTGTAATGTCAACTCTGATGAATGTCAACCGACCTGTAGGATTTTGCAAGTCGGCTCGGTGACTGTTTGGGTGAAGACACTCTCTGCAGCGTGGCGTAGCTGGGCATGTCGGCGGAGGCTGAGGCCAGGCGCTGCAGCTTGGTGGGGGATCCCACCGCCTGCAGAGGGGAGCTGACACGCTGCAGTCCAGGAAAAAAAAAAACAGCAACAAAGCATTAAATTAAATCATCTGGACATCATTAAGAGGGAACGCTGGCCAACTTCAAAAAGCTTCCCGGGTCTTCCATTTTCGAATTTTGTTTTTTTTCCAACACGTGAAAACAGACAAACAAACGACAAGCCTGAGACGAGATCTCTGATGACGAACAGGGAGTCGACATGCAGAGCTGAACTGTCGAAAGGACGTTTCTGATCATTCTTTATCTACACAGGATTAGTTCTTTGGGCACAATCAAAATGACAATCTGTGCACATAGAACGGCGGGCGCAAACCAATCTATCTCAGTTCAAACGCACAGAAAGCTTGGCTATTTTCATGCAAAAACAGGATCAGTAAATTCGTTTTTCTCTGCAAATCTTCAGCCACCAAGTTTCTATACTATGTGCGACATGGCAAACTGCAGCGAATCAAAATACTTTTGTTTTACGCAATCATAACAGCAAGGTGACGTTTTACAGGAGCATCCTACCAAACACTTTATTACTGTTATTTTTTTGTCTGAACTTTCAAAATGAGATCAGATGATATTATCGGATAAATAATGACACTAAGATTTATTCTGTTGTTTTTGCTACATTACAGCCTAAAAGCCCTAAATGCTACAAAATGCTAAATTAAAATGCTAAAATGAAAAACACAACTTAGTTATTGCACCACAAAGACGTCTATTGTTCCATTTGTTGTCACTCTGCACAACTAATTATCAAAAGTTTAATTTTACATACCAGGATTTGGAGAGGAAAAGACATTTGGGCTCAATTTCTATTTATCACTGTGTTTAATGTTAATAGCTTTTACATAAAGCAGAGTTATGTTATGACTAACAGCACGAGCCTGGACGGTCTAACAGAATCCGCTCCAATCCATCTGTAAAAAAAAACCCAACAAAAAACCAGACCTGAAACTGAAAACCGCTCCAAGAACCAGAAAATCGCAAATAAAATTTAGCTTCAGGTTGTAACGGAAAACAACAAAAACAAAAAAACATGGTGTATGAATTCGTTTTGCAAAAACGAATTCATACACCATAGCAAAGTCATTTTAGCTGACTTTGCTAAAAATGAGCAAAGTCAGCAGCTTAATGGCAAAAAAATAAAAAATGAGATATAAGAATCAGCTTTGGCTTGATATTTCTGCCACATTTATCTCCACGTTGGATTTGTCCTCTCCGTTACAACTATGAAGGCCTTCATTGATTTGCAACCTCTACAAAAAAAAAAAAAAAATCAACAACCACAATAACAGAAAAGGCAGCTGCAGAGTTTCCAGAACCTCGATCCAACCGTTCGGGACGATCATTCAATGCACAACGTGAACCACGACCAGTACCTGAGCAGGCAAAGTGGCACAGGAGTAATACATGGACGGTCCGGCAGGTGCGGGTCCGCCGTCGGTGGACATGTGTAAGGCGCTGCCGAGGACCTGCTGGGCGTACGGGTCTCTCTGGGACTGAGAGGGAGAGTCCGTGGCTACCAGCTGGGCGGCTGCACGGCTGGATGCCACCTGGACGGGTGGAGGGGGAAGGAAAACCCGGGTTCAGCGAGAGCATCGGCGGTGGGTCGGCAGGAAGAGAAGAAGAAACATCCACCTGGTTGTAGCTGTGAACCGCGCCTCCGACCTGCCCGCCCCGCGCCGCCACCGCCTCCCCGAGCGTCAGCCCTTGGTTGCTGTGGTAACCGGCAGCTGCATAGGCATCTTGGCTGTTGAGCTGCAGAGCGCTTTGAGAGAGCAGTCCTTGTCCTGTTGGGAGATTGAAAGAGAGGACCTAAAATAGCTGAAAGCGGAAGAAAGTGGGGATGAAAGAAGAACTCTGTCATTATTTCTTAAAGAAGCACAACTTTACCGCGGGCAGATTGTTAGAGAGAGTGGATTTAACATGATACAAACATGTTAAATCTTGAGACAATTTGCAAAATATATAAATATGTCGAGTGCTCGCTCTGTCAGGAAGACGTAGGAAACCTCCTGACCTCTCTCTCTCCTCAGAGGGAGAGAGGTCAGGAGGTCAGGGTCGGACGATAACGAAATCCCGGCCGACCCGGTAAGAGAGCGGAGCCGGCGAGAAATAATAGCGTGAGAAGCACGTTAGCGAGGAACGACACCAGGTTACGTCACCGACTGGAGCAAACTTCTGTCGAAAAGCCTCAGTCTCACTTGTGTCTAATGGTTTCTGTGTAACTATTTTCAGACTCTCCTCTCTCTCTCCGGCAGCAGTCGATCTTTGCGGAAAGACTTATTCTCTCTGCGGCCTTGAAGGCATTTTGCAACCTAGTTTACATCCCACGTGTTACACAACGCACTGCTTTATCTTTTTTTTTTTTTTTTTTTTGCACGGGTTCGAAAAAGCGGCAGGTTTGTAACGAGCCTTGAAATTAAACGATGAGAGGAGGACAGAGAGTCCGGGCTGACAGCTACATTCCACGTTTTCTAGTTTTAAGAGACAAATTTGCTTTTTTTTCTCTCTCTACTTCTCTGGGTTGTTCTTAGTGTTTTCCTCTCATACTCTGTGACCCTTGAACCTGTCCGTTCCTGCTCTCTCTTCTAACTGGCTCGTGTTTTGCACACTGCAATGCCAAAGTCTTTGGAAAAAGGACGACTTCACGACATAGGAATTGATCATTTCCCCCAAAAAATCTTCCAATTTCTTTTTTTGTTGTGCTTTTTGTTCTTTCTCTCGTAGTTCTGCTTCTTTGCTCTGCTGTAGCATTTTTAAATGGTGAAATTGCGCTGACCAAGATTAATTGCCTTGAACTGACGGAGTCTGATGAGCAGCATTTTGGGGGGGGGTGTAAAGCAATTAACCTGAAGCTTTCCGAGAAAAACGCAGCGCCCCGTCACGCCTACAGTGACGTGCGCATTTAGATCCTCTGCAAGCATGCAATCGAGGGAATCAGTCGACATCCATAATATTTATTGATGATTAATTTCTTTTGTACTGTTTTTTTTTTATTAACTGTCAGCACCTGCAGGTGAGTCATCAGATGAGCGTTTTGTGAGAAAACATGCAGGAGAAGCACAGCGGCGCGCAGCCTGAGCATGACGGCACCAAAACGACGCTGCGCTGCTAATTTTAGGAACCGCTTCGTCTGAATTTCAGAAGCTCTTGAAGTGTCACGCGTTGGATCGCTTCGTTTTTGTTTTTTTGTGTTTTCTTTTTGGGGGTGAGAGGGGTGGGGGTGGTGCGAACACACCAACAAAGTCTGACACAAAGAACATGCAGATGTGAGCGTGCTCACTGAGGAAACCACATCGCTCTGAAGCCGTGCTGGAGCTGCAAAGTTGGAATGTGCGCTGATGGTTCCATTAAGTGTAAAGTTGGAAGTTAAATTAATGTTTTTGAGGAGAACCAGAGACTGGGAGCCTTATGAGGACGTGCCAAACAGAAAAAAAAAATGCTTAGACGTTAAAATACTCATTAATTTTTTATAAATCCCAACATTAATCCACTTTTGCTGATCAAAGCACTAATCTGCCCTATAAACAGCCCTAATTACAGATGTAAAACTCTTTTTTTTTTTTTGACGCATTATAGCAAAAATGTTGGCTGAGCCTGGATGTCCCCAGTAACTGCATGAACGCACGCAGCGAGCAGCATGTGCAGTACGGTTCGGTCCTGGTGCTGCTCTTTGGAAAACGGCCCACATCACTGCAACACAGACGTCCCGACTCCATCATAAAATCTTGAGCGTTTTTCACTTGGAGAACTTTTTGAGCTGTCCTCTTTAACAGAAGTCCAAAGAATGTGAAAAAAAAAAAGAAATAAAATAAATAGGTATGCAGGGTTTTATTGGCATGGTCTTGGCTGACACGCTTGTTACTTGCAAACAGGTTGAGTTCAGTTTTGTGATGATTTACAAATCTGCAAGTTTCAGTGTTGCCATTGTCTTAGAGAGAGCAAATGTCACGAATAAATTTGACATTAAACATAATGAAAGCTGAAAGTGTTGTAGCATTTGCATTTGGTAGCAGGTTAAACTGACAAAGAAAACGTTTCGAGTAAGTAGGAAAAAATATCGGTACTGGTATCGGCAATCTGCCAAGTGAGTTTTAGTGTATCGGTATATCGGGTATTGAACAAAAATCCAATATTGTGCATCCCTAAAAAATAAATCAAACCCTGAAAAGCAGATGAAGGCACAAAGAGTCTTTGCGTGTTTGCGATGGGATCTGAGCGCGGCGGTTAGCATCCGCTGCATGGGACGGATTTAGTCACCCGCCTGGGGCAAAAAGGAGTTTGTCTAGACGAAGAAGGCTGGAAAATGAAGCTTGACCACAGTGGGAAAAACAAAAGAAGAAAGAAACTGCTTTAGCGAGTGACGGAGCAAACGTTGATGGCGCACGATTTAAAACGTGATGTTGACCTCGCGTTCCAGGTAGCTACATTTCACTGGGTCAAGAGCGACGCGTCCCATCAAGGACGAACGCGCGCACAGGAACGACAGAAAGTTGAGCGTGCAGAAATCGCACGGCCGATGGGAGAACTTTGCACTCGAGGCTTGTTTTTGCATGGATTCACATTCACGCGCGTTTGCACACAAGCCCCAAGCCGGCGGTTATTTTCCCAGAGTTTTGTTGTGTTTTTTTTTTCTGTTTATTTGTCACTTAAGGTGCGCTTTGTATGGCTCGGGGAGCCTTTTGGGAATCAAAAAAAAAAAAGAAAAAGAAAGAAAGCCTCATAAATGCATTATCACTCAGATGGCAAACACAGAAGGCTTCACTGAATCCATTTGAGAAACTGCCGTGCATATCAAGCCAAATGCCCTCCATCTTCACGTCTTAGCAGTTTTATTTATTTCTTTTTTGCCATTCATCCACAGGTTATATTAGAATTAAGTGAGTACACGCTCACAGATGGCTCATGCCTTGTGATCTCACGCATTAGCACACAGCACATCTGCGTACACCTGAAGCGTGTAATCGTGTAGATATTCTGACCCGGATAGACCCGCTCGTTTTCTTCCATTCCTTTATTTTCCACTCTCTCTCTCTCTCTCTCTCTTTCTCACACACACACACACACACACACACACACACACACACACACACACACACACACACACACACACACACACACACACACACACACACACACACACACGAAAAGGCAGAGTGGTTTTCTTCGTGACCGGAGTCGTCAATCGGCGCATTTTAATATTTCATCCGTTTTCTATTTCAGATAGATATTCCAGATGGCCGACTGAGGATGTGCCGAGTCGGGAATGCAAGCATTAAAAAAAAAAAAAAAAAGTGGATCCGAAACGGGCGAGTGCAGAGGAGACACGCAGATTAAGATGCACAGCGGCTGACAGCACCGGCGTGAAGGCTGAAGCCGCTCTCTGTAGTCTGAGACAGGGCAGACTCTCTGCCTATGTCCCTCTCCTGCGTGCAGAGTTCTGCAGTCACTATTTACTGAACCGCATTTACTCGAGTAACGTTTTGGAAAAATAAATGCACTTTTTACCAAGCTGTACTTTTTACTTTTACTTGAGTGATTTTATCGTGAAGTGTCGCTGCTCTTACTCGAGTAAAAGTTCAGGGTCGTCTGCCCACTGTGAGAAGCTTCACTGAAAGAGCAAACGCCAAACGCAGCTTTTGTTCAAGTTTTATAGTTTTAAGTTTCATTCACCTGGTTGGTGTTCTTTTTTTTTTTACTTATATGGATTTGTGTCACTTTCTTGCTTAAAATATAAAAAATATCCAATTAACTTTATATGTTGCGCCATCTAATGATCAATCTCTTAATGTTAAGAGATTGCTCATTTGATCAGTTACTTTGTGCTTGAGTAGACTTTTTTTTTTCTTTTAACCAAATAATGCTTTAGTCTTAATTGAGTAATTCCTCGCATGACTACTTTTACTTTAACTTGAGCAAAAATAAGTTGAAATCAGTGGTAGTTCCAGACTTAGGCGCCTTGGGTAGCATCTTGTGCAACTACCCCTCTACTGCTAGCATTTTATAGATTTATGCTGTATAAAAGAATGAGAAAGGTTGTATTTCATGCTATTTTATGTTGCAATGGATGCAAACTGACTTTTTAGATTCTAAAGAAACTTACATTAAAATGGGTTTAATTCTGGTAACTTGAAAGTTAAGTTTCGTGTTTTTGGAGCTATCCAGCTTCCATCTTTTGTCTTTTATGGACATTTGATTTGTGAAGGTAAGAAACTACACTTTCTAGTCTTACACTGGCAGCTGGTAGAGCTGACTGCACATGTTGTAAAAAAGTGAAATCACTTTGTATTTGTTTAAAAACGATAGTCACTTCCCGTTTGGTGAGTGATATTAACTCGTCGTGGCGAAGCACCGGCATCTAAAATTGGTTTAAAAAAAAAAAAAGACCAGAAATTGGTCTCAGATCTCTGATCAGGCTGAAGTGAGCAGAAAACATTCCTGTTCAGTACAACATTTTAGCTTGACTTTGCTTTTTCCTTGTTTTTTGTTTCCCCTTCCCCAGCCATCCACCATCTTTCTGTCCGTTTACGTCCGGTCTGTACCTTCACTCTCCTTCATCCGTCTTCTTCTGGGATAAATCAGGTGGCGAGTTACATAACTGTTATGTGAACATTATAAATATCAAGCAGATTTTCTGGTACCAGTATTTGGTGCATGCTGATGTACGTATCTAATGATGATGTACGTATCCTGCATGCAGGACTCGACACCCGTCTGTGGTGCCTTCAGTGCAGAGGTATGCATTTCCCACTGTTAGTGTGCACACACGTCTTTTTTCCAGAGCTTGTGCAAAGTACAGTAGCCACATATTTGTGTGTTTGCCTCTCCTCTCCGCTCTGCAAGCAGCAGGCCAGCTGACATCTCAGCAAGGATGGATTAGCATATCAAGCTACTGGCACAGCGCTGCGTGTCTTCTGACAGCTACCTCACCCCACAGGGGTCGAGTGTAGCGAAGACACGGGTATCATCTCCAGGACCGAGCGCGGGGAGATCACAGCGGAGCGGGAAGGCGCAGGGAGCGGTTCGGGATCTCAGTCAGCGCATCTGTTTTTATGACGTCGCTGCGCGGCGGATTTAAAACAACCCGTGTTTCTATGGCCCCCCGGAGCCCGCCGGCAACGTCCGACGCAGATTTGCTCCGCTGCAGTTTATCAAGCCACCACAATACAGGGACGTGTGTGAAAACTGCAAAAGAAAGTGGATGCTGAAAGTTTTTGTTTGTTTATATCGTGTCTCTAGCTGAAAAGACAGATGACCCGTTTCCTGTCTTCAAGGTGTTAGGATTGCAGAAATTATTTCTATTAGCTCAATGTGAGAATTAGTGGTGCGCCGACTGCAGTTTTCTGGCTGATCGTCGATTACTGAGATTTAAAAAGCCTGACTCGTCAATTCCGATTTTGCCCAATATCAAATTTTTGTGCAAAATGTCGCTAATTATAGGAAGAAAGTCACCGAGTTGGTGCATGGAGGCGTAGATTTTCAGACCTTTGCGGAGGCAAATCAAATGTCTTCACAAATAAAAATCGGCCGACTAAGGAAATCGGCGCAAATAAATCGATAAATCGGTGCACCGCTAGTAAGACTTTCTTCTTCCTTTTAAGCATTATCACTTTGTACAATTACAATTTTTTTTGCTTTTCCTTTCTTCAAATTTAAAAGTTCATTTACATTTTTTTAGTATTTGGTAGAATTGCAATAAAAATGGTCTGACTTGGGTCCAACAGATGCTCCTGGTGTGCTGCTTCAGATTTCTGGCGGTTCTGTTTGTGGCTTCCTACAAACAGAACCTGTGTGTCATGCCAACATGCTCACACATCTTTTTTGGGTTCTGCCCACAAACTCTCTATCGGATTGAGTTCAGGGCTCACTCAAAGACACTGATATTGTTGACACTTTTTTCTAATTCGGTGTCCATCTGTGTAAATTCATGTGTTTCTTCAATATTTCAAAAAATCCCCAGTGATATTACATAATCAACAAGGTGACGTTACAGGAAAAAAAAAACACAATCTCCACACTGAAAAAACTAAAAATCTTACCAAGTATTTTTGGTTGTTTCTAGAGCACTAGAAATAAGACAAAGCTAACTTATAAGAAACATTTCAGTAAGATATAAGAGTTTGTTTTAAGTCATTTTCTTAATTTTGTGCCACTGGCAGATAATTTCATTTACAACATGGGAACAATGTCTGCCATTTCCACTGCTAGCAGTCAGTGCTAGCTAATATGAAGAACCTTTATCATCAATATTAAGGAATTATTACCTTAAAACAAACTATTGTCTTCCTTAAAAGTTACCTAGGAGTCAATTTCGTCTTCTTTAAAGTGTATTAATATATTTGCACTACAAATTAGACCAGAAGTACTCAGTCCAAGCCATTTATCTTACTATCTCCTGTAGAAGCGTCCTGCGAGTCCAAGATGCCGGACTCTTGAAGCGACCTGATGCACGAGTCTACGAGCTCCAGGCCAGTCGTCAGCTCCTCCTCTATGTCCTTCTGCCCATCTGCATGTGCATAAAACAGTGAAAAGACAAGAAGTGATCGGTCTTCATCTACGTTACGATTTCTAAAGGTGTATGATTACAGAAGCAGTCCTGGATTTCACCTGAGTGTACTTTTCACCTAGTGTGGGTTCTAAAAGGATCTTGAGGTTTTAGGAACGACTAGATGTTAATTTAGTAACCGTGGGTGTGACAATAAATAACCGGCTAATAATTTCAGACAAAAAAATAAATAAAATAAAGAACATCAGACACATTTGGAGGAAAAGACAAAAAAGTCACGTTAATGTTGGTAGTTTTTCAAATTTAGAACCAGGCAACTTGTTGAAAACTTTGTATTTCTTTCTTTTTTTGTCACCATTGCAAACAAGGTTTCTATAAAGTATATATATATATATATTATATATATATATATATATATATATATATATATATATATATATATATATATATATATATCACAACAAATGATTGGTTGTGATATATATATATTTAAAACATATATATTTAAAAACAGACATAGGGCAATAGCCTTTCAAAAAAATTTCAATTTAAAATATCTTTGACTTTTCTCTCAAGCTGAGTTGAAGCAGCACAACTGATTATTTTTGCTTTGTTAAAAACACCCGGCATAAATGTGGCTTGAAAAAAAAAAACTCTCTGAATAAAAAAATAGCAAAGTCAAAATGATTGGTTGTGATCGCAAATTCTTGACGATCATTCAAGGTTGACGCAACCGGCTACGGGTAATTACTTTTTTCCCAGAACTGTTACAGTTTTGGATAGCTCCTTTTCCTTAGCAAATGTAATCGCCATTTGACCATGTTTGTATTTTTTAAGGTTATCTTTGTCCGACGTCAAAATGTTCTTTGATACGTTGAATTTTGACAAAATAGCAAAACCTGACGAAATCTGTAAGTGAGGGGCGGAGCAGTAAAATCTTTTCCTTAACACTGCCACCATAAACCCAGTAGGTTAAGGGTAAAAAGCTGATCATTTAGCAACAAATCTTACGTACTGAGGTCCACGTTGTACTGAGATACGAGCCGTTTGTCTGTCAGACAGCGGCTGATGGCACGGCCAGTGTTTTCCAGGTAGAGACGACTGCCAAGGAAGATAAAAGCTTACAAATGAGTCTTAGCGGCAGCATTAATCTCTTACGGAGATGGAAGGAGAACGTTAATAGTAGCCGCCTTAGTGGGAGGATTTAGGAGGCCTATTTTATTGACTTCGAGTGATGCCTTTGCAGACTGAAGCCTCTGCCGCTATTGGCAAAAAAAAATAAACGCTTTCAGGATTGACTGCGATGTTTCGCTGAACTGAGGCAAGGCAGATTTATTTGTAAGCAACGTGTTTTTAAGGGAGACAAAAAAAAGTGGACCACAGATAAAGTCCCATCAAAAACAAAGCAGAAAATTTAAGCTGTACAGAATTAAAAATCTAATTGGAAACAAAAAAAATAGACAAGATTAGATACAGTGAGATAAAAGATACAATATGAGACGATACGACACGACAGTGAAATATTTTTTTACCTTCATACTACAGCTGCTGTAATCAGTCATGTTTTTAGCTGTCATTTGAAATTTCTGCACATTTCAGTGTTTGGCTGAAAACACTGAAATGGTTGTGTATTTTCAACCATCTAGTAGTTCCTTATAGATAAAAATAACACAATATTAAAATATAAGAAAAAAAAAAGAGACCTTGAGGAACTCCTCAGGATCTCTGCTGACGAAGTGATGTGGTACAAAACATGACTGAGAGCATTCAAGATGCTTTTTTATTATGAAAAATATCATATCTGCACAACTAAAAGCATAAAACGCAGCAGCAAGTCGGGGATTTTAGCTTTTTTAAGCTTAATGAGCGTACAGATGATCAGAAATGCTATAACAACTTTATCCAAACAAATGTTATATATGTATTTCTTTTTAAACTTTTCAATGATTTGTGAGTGTTGTCACGATTATATGTCTGATTGGACGACAGATGGGTTTATCGTGGAACAAACCGAGTCCGTCTCCGTTTGTTCCAGGCCGGACAGTGAAAGCCTTCACCACAAAACCTCTGGGATCGTAGTGTTAGCCAACTCTTTGTTGGCAGAGGTCACCCAGGGTGCACTCAGCTAATCAATCTGCTCTCCACATCCTATAGATCTGAGCGAGGCTGACAAAGAGGCAGGAAGACTGACCCAAGTGTCAAGCATGTTTCTTTCTCTTTTTTTCCCTTTTCCAACTAAAACACTGTCAGAAAAGTGGTCGAGCTCGGTGAGGTGTTTTCATTTGACTTTTAAATGACGCGGAGGCCCATTGATTCTGTCTGCCACTTGTGAGACGCACGCCCCATGCGAATAAGGCCTGGGGACCTTTGGCTGAGTTTTACTTTGCTTTTACAAGAGGTGAAATGCAGGAAGAAATGTAGGATTCGAAAACATATATTGCAACATTTCAGATTACCTTGGTTGTTCCAGCGAAACTTCTCATCTGCTGAGCTGCAAGATACAAACAATGAAAACACAACCGGGTTAGAAATGTGCTCAACTTTAATGGCTATTGCACTGAATATCTGAACTGAAATGCTGCAGTTTAGCTCTGGTATGTAGCCTTTTCAGATTGTCTGTTTTCATCCAAATCTAATAGAACTACACTGAAATTTACTAGGAATAACATTACGTTGCAAGAGTGAAGTAAATATTTAAAACCTTCGAAATTGACATTTTTTAAAGTCGTCTGAAATGTACTGCCAATTGCATTTAATAACATGGCTACACTTATCAAAACAATAAAGAGAATGATTAAAATATTTTTTTCTTCCTTATTGAAGCATGCTTGCCTGAGGACAGTGTTGTCTTAGGGAAGGTTTCAGAGGGATAAAAACAAAAACAGAGTAAAAAATGGTAATAGTAGCAGAAAAATATCAGTGGAGGAAACTATAAATACGAGATATGAAGAAACGTAAACATAAAAGTGCAGCATTCCTATCCAACATTAAACACACAGCTCATAACTCGAGCTGTGTGTTTAATGTTGATAAATTCTTTCTTTCACAAAGTAAACAGTTTGAAGTTGAACCGTGTTCAATTTAAAACTTTGCCTAAACATGGAAGATATCCAATTTAAAGGTTTTTCTGTGGCCTTTATTTGCAGCAGATCTGACAGAAAATGATCAGCAAGAGAAGAGGGGAAGACATACTAGAGTCCTAGAGTCTGGATCAGGACTCATGACTTTCCTAAATGGGCGTAATCATCTCTACGCCATGCAACGCGCCAATCTTAGCTTCCACATTTATGCTCCGCAAAAGTTAGCTGCTCGCCAGAATCATCAAATTTTAGCTTTATTGACGAAACCTCAAATGTTTACCAATGAGGGCGGTTTCAGATCTCTAACAACAATCTTCAGTGTCATCGGTGTGGAAGTTGTAACTGAGTCAAGACTCAAAAAGTTAGCCATTTTCAGTATTGGTGATATTTTAAAAAGCGATTTAAAGGTAAACTATCCTGTCCACAATGATTTCACGGGACACTGATCTCCATGAGCCAGACTTTACCTCCTGACAAGTGACGCTTTTTTAGCATCCAAGCTTCTAGTGGTGAAAACACGTAAAAAAGGCGCCTCTTTAGGTTTAATGAAGGATTGTAGACACTCATCAAACCGAGAACTGAGAAAATGTTTCTGGGACAAAACGATTTGCGCTGGACTCTTGCACAATAAGGGGATGGTTGGCACGTGGAAAACATGAGTGTGAAAAAAACCTGTTAGGTCTATGTGATGGTAGTCAATATGTGTTGGTTAGAACCCTTTGTGTCTTGAGATTGGAAGGAAATTTTCTACAATTGAGCAAAGAGCTAAAGGTAAAGGTAGCTAAAAAGTTTTTAGCTACCTCTAACCCATTCCTCCTAAATCTTCCCCTGTGACAAGGGTTTAACAAATTTCACAACTGCAACGTCAGCAGCCATGTTTTCTCTCGTCCATTCTGCTGCCTGGCCAAAAACCAAAGACGTAAAATGATTAACTCCATCGACTGGCCGTAAACAGAGACCAGATGCCGTTAAATCACCCCACTGATTGCCTCCGCTGCGTGTATGCAGAGTGTGACGGATTGCGGCGACTGGCCGAGCAGCACGTGTTAATGGAGCCCTCGGCCAGCATGGCGGCCCCTCATTCATCAGCCATTGTTATAACCAGAGATGAGCCATGATATGTGTACAGAAATGGACGAACCCTAACGTCTTTTAGGACGGGAGCTGTAGACACGGGAGTGTTTACAGCAGACAAACAGAGCCGGCTGGAAGCAGGATTATTATCGCCAGTCTGCTTTCTGCGAGGCAGCTACGCTAACTCTGCGAGAGAGGCCGTTTTCTCAGCGAAGGCCGGGCTGGTCCTGTCCGTTTGCTGGTGTCAAAACGTTGCCTCGGTGGTGGTGAGCGCTTGTTATTTCCCGCCAGCCGGTGGGAGACCGAACGCAACATGAGACACCTTGCTGCAAACTGTGAGGAAGGAGGCCAAATGTTGTTAACATCAAGTAGTTGCATGTAGAGAAGTGGGCTGAAGGTGAGGAACAAAAACAGCCCAGAGGATGTCGGATTACTGTCAGGAAAAAAAAAGGAGAAATGGGAGGAATCTGTTCACACACAAAGGGAAAGATAAACGGTGTAAGGGGAGGGGAGAGAACAGGAAGAGAAAATCTAACAAGGTTTGGGTTTTTTTTGGAAAAGGGAGACATGAAGAACACACAATACATCACATCAGTTACAGGTGGTTTCAATCTGAAGTAAAAGTTTAATTTCCAGGTAAAAAACAAAAAACAAAACACCATTTCCTAATATTTTCCTAATATTTATTATTTGGTCTGACCAACTCGGCTTCTGCATTTTCAGTGCAGTTCCACAAGTTTCAATGTCCTCAATAAGGACCTAATATGATACAACTGCACAAAAAAGTCCAAAATTGTTAAGTTCAATAAAAAGAATGTGCCGATACTACAATTTTTACCAAATGGGAATCTAAAAGAGTCTGTCCTACTTTGGTATTTAGCTCCAGAGGCAACAATTTGTCAAAGATCCTCTTGCTGCACAGACATCGTCTCTTCTGGCTTTGGAGCATCAAGAGACCGAGATTTTTGCTCTTTTGTCTTTTGAAAAGTGCAGATCAGGTCACGACAGATCGGACGGAGAGCGAATGTGAAAATCAGGTCTCAAAACCGACCACAAATTCTGTCCGCAATGTTGTTTTTTTTATGGCCACACTTCCGTAGAGACCAGATTGATGGAGCGCTTGATAAAAATGAGGTAAAGGTAATCATCTGCATTTTATTTAGGGGTATCAGAGTGGAGCTTAACACAAATGCATGAAATACTTTTCAAATGTTCTTATATAGAAACATTTTTGAAAACCGTGTCAGTATGGTTCCTTTACACAAGGCAGTTGTTAATTACTTATGTGGAAAAGCTGAAGCGATGCAAACACTTTTGTGCGGCACAGGTGGACCGATCGATCCAGCATATCGATAATATCAATACCGAGTCGATACCAGTATCGGATCCATGTCTTGAAAGTTTAGATTTTAGCGAAATCTAAACTTTAGTTTCAGATTCCTTTGTGAAATTTTCAAGACACTTTTCTTTTCAATGCAAAGTTGTCACTTTTAATTGACTTTTTATGCTAATTTTTAAAGAATTTTGTCTTAAAACTGTTATCATTGTAAAGTAATGTAAAGTTGACACTTTTAATGTAGTCAACTTTATCATTTACAGAGTGATACTTCATGACAGCAGTTGTAAACATTCATAAAGACTCCTCCATGTTCATGACAGGTGTTAAATTATTGTAGTAATCATTAAGTGTAATGTCAGTCTTATGCACATCCCTTCAAACAAAGTGTCACCAAATTTTGTTTTATTTTTGGCACCGCAGTTTCTCCTCACTGCCTCGGAGAAGATTTTGTTTCAATTTGCTCCCAAACTACTTTATTTAGAAACAAATGTACACAAATCAGATTAAAATGTGAAGAGAGTATTTTGTAGTGATTTGCAGCTTTCGGTTTGAACAAAACAATTCACAGGAAAAACGCAAACACACTTAAAAGTCAGACGTTTTACATCTCAAACTTAAATAAAAAGTACTGAATTCATCCCAGCGTGTGCAGTAACACCCCTCTGTGTTGCACGGTGTCACAAAAATAGAGCCAGATCTGAGTAAATAGGTCACCGAGAAGCTTCCGGTCTTGGAATTAAAGTTGTGCTTTGTGAGTTCAAACAGAGGGAACATGTGGGACATCCCAGTGAGGCAGACGGGGAAACCTCTGCACCCTTTGGAAATCATCCAGACAGTCGACCTGCCTCGCCACGCACCAGCTCGACTCTGCAGAAACGTCAACGTCTCACCCCTCTGTAAACCTAATCAGTCCTCACCAAACTGAAACGACTCACTGACCCAATGGCCCCGGATACAGATTCAGTTTTCTTTTTCGTTTTGTTTTTCTTTCTCTCCCTCCTCCCAACACCTGTGAATCTTTTTGAAGCATCAATAGAGCCTGACAGAGTCATTAGCGGGACAACAGAGGACTAATTGACAACGTGATCAGTTCTCGTGCCGCAGGTCACTCCACGCCACAGCCCCTCATCACCGCTAATGATGTAATGCAGTTTTGGGGGCAGAGTGTGTGAGCATGCCTCTGTTTGTGTGTGAAAGGAGAAGGGGGTGGAGGGACGGCACGCATACGCAGTAAGAAAACAAAAAAGATGAGAATGATACGAATTTGTTGTGGCCGATACCGAAAACACTGACATATTGCGTAACAAACGGCACCATAATCTGAAGCGGGGGGGAAACAAAAAAAAAAGGGACAGCATGCTGTTAAACTGCTTGGCAACAATACTGGATTATCCTCAAAATGCCTCCAGCTGTTTTTTTCTTTTTTTTCCCCTACAGAGCTGAAGAGACTGACCTTGTTAAAATGGGATGATAACATTGGACAAAGCCTTCCCTCGAGTGTGAAAGTCATACTAAGAGAAGCTCTGTCCTCATTTCCTAAGAACTGATAAGTAAATTAAGAGGAGGTAATTAACTCTTCCTGTCTGTCACTATTCAAAGCCACAGTGCTCCGCCAAAATATTTGGAGAGGACAAGCAGTGTGATTGTTGCATGTGCTTCGACGGAATCAGGAGAACAAAATGAAAAATTTGTTGAACCGAAGTGAGAAGCTCCAAATCTGAGCGTTGCCTGATGATGAACAGGCGAACTGTACAGGGTTTTAACCGCTTCCTGTCAAATGACCGCTGGAGGAACCACATAGAGTTTTGTATCCCAGGTTCACGCAGCAAGGTTTTAAAACTTGCAGACTCGTTAAACCTTATCGGACCACACACGGCAATGAAAGGTATAACAGGTTTGGTCGTAAAGTGTCTGTTGTCTAGGAGCAGATGAACCGATTTCGTTCGTGAACATTAAGACGCCAGACGGGAAGTCCTGGAAAACCTCGCAAGATCAAAC